TTCTAATCCACCTGAGCGAGATGACCTTTGACTATCCAACAATCTGTTGGTGTTATTTCATCATTCTGTCAGTCTATAAATATTTAAGACAAGTCGACAAATCGACGTTGCATGGTTTTGACACACTCCAAAACAAATCAGAATATACCAACCTGAATCAAAATTGATTTTATTTCATTGTAAAGCGCTTTGTTATTTGGCGTATGGAATATCAGCGCCTCAATTCAGAACGAAATACTATGCAGTTAACTGTTACCTACTGCTAAACTTAAGTCTTTAAGGTAAAATTAAGTCCCATTATTCGGCCTATCTAGTGGGCGTATTGACCATCGGTCTCAATTTGTCTACAGTTTCTAGGGATAACGAGTTTGCTTAAATTAACGGCTAAGCTGAAGAGCCAAGAGTTATAAGACCAATATTGAGGTTTAGAGTTGGTTCCTCATAATTGACAAAGATGTCGTGCGCTATTTAAAAGGAACTTTCCGAATTAATTATATTGTTTTGATCGCAAATGGCGCACCGAAACTACTGTTTTCACTATGATTTTTTCGTTCAAATTAGTCCTCAAGAAAGTGATAAGATTTTTTCACATGGTTTAGAAAACCTTTGACTTCTTCTTTTGTAGGCTGCATTATACTTAAATTATCATCCTATCTCGTATATCTGTCGCACTTTACTCCAGGAAAATAGTTCTGACGGACACTTACCAGTTAATGCATACATATGGCAGACTTCTTTTCTTACTCATCTTATACAAGCCCCAGCAATTGACATTGACGCGTCTTTATCTTTGCATTATACTAATTGCAATGTACATATTCCACTGATCAGTACTCTCTTACGTTATAACTGAACTTCTTATATCTAACATACGTTATACGTTCACAGTCTCTGATCCTAGTATTAACCCGGTCAGTACTTAATAATAACTATACACTCAAATATTATATTTTAGTTAGACAAACTCTTTACTCACCCAGCTTCAAATTATGATAAGCAACTCTAGTAAAATAAACATTTCATCAACTCTTAGGCAACAAAAAGATAAAAATATGTATCCACTATGACTGACAACTCAGTACCTGACAATGATAAATATTTATCTCCTAAACCGTATTTGTCTTGTCCAAAAATATCACCATCACTACCTGATTCTCCATCTAACAGCCCCTCAACCTCTCCGTGCAGAATGCCGACGGTAAGAATGGTTGATATAAAAGGCAGGATACCCACGTGCATCGAAAAGTCAACACAAATTACCAGACAGTATGTTTTCTTGAGGCATAAATTCAAGATTTTTAGATCCAAATAGTCTAATAGCGTGTCTCACACATACGAAAATACTGATCGATATAGCACTGACATCCGTCCGTCACAAAACTGTCTAACCCTAACTAGTGGTAGACTTAACTAATTAGCGCCCGTCACACACACATAGGGCCTTAATACTGATATAAATCCTGAACAATTCACTGGAGCTGAGTGTCAATTAGAGTCTGCGGCTGAAAAAGTGACGGAAAGAGTGATGTATTCCCGCATTGCAGTTGTATACAATCTCTCTGATCGCACACACTCAATTACGTTAACGAATATTTGCCTTAGAGCATGCGTTATGCCGAACATCGACTGCCAAGCCATCCGCCTTAGAGTAAAGTCGGATAGATTGACTTTCTCTCTCCTGATTGAGTTTGGTTGTTACAGCAATGCTAAAAAGTTTGTTGATTTTAATGAAAATATTAGCTAATTTATTCCACACAAGAGCATAAAAGTCACTCTTGATCTAACGTCTGTCAACGTCGTGTAAGAAAACGTGAAGCGATAGAATCGTGTGATTGTTATGGTGAATACAAGCTAGAGACAGTTTGCAACACAGTAAATAGTTTAAAGCGCATTAACGACAAGCATTATGTCACTCCACAAACGGCAGATCACTTTGTAGATCTAGATGAGTATACAGATCAGGAACCTCTGGATAAGATATGGATTCCAACTGCCACTAAAAAGCATAACGACATCCCTAATTCCGGCTGTTCGTGCAGCACAGTACTTAAAATTGAGCCATGTGACGACATATGACTAACTGAACCTATTCACTTGAAAACTAGTCTCCTTAAATATATTCTACAAGAGGACTCGACTGAACTTCAATTCATCTCACAAAGGCAACGAAACTATCCAGCTGTTTGGGGGGACAAACTCCACGGTACCGAATGGAGAAACACGTAAGATTGAGACCAACAGTCCTGTGGGTATCCCAACAACAGTGAATAATTTCTACCCGTTGATACTATGTAACTTGCCATCAACATCTCCAAGTAGCAAAACGGCTAGAAGGCTTGGGTATAACAAACCTTTTCACACGCACACTCACAAAAAACAGTCGTAACTACTTCTAGCTACGTGCAGTAGATCCTGCCCACGTTCACACTAACGTAGATAGCTATAAGAAAGTCTACGAGCTTAACCATCAAGACCACTTTGCCACAGCACATTACACAGTGAACCTGTACAAGATTTTTCTGGAATACAGCCTCTAGTTGCACCTCTGTTGAAGCATACAGTTTAAGCCATTCCAAAATACATGCAGAACATAAACTCGCTTCCCTCGTACAGCTCTTATCAGACAGTACTCCCTCTCTTTCCTCCTGGGTAAACTCCCCGAGCAACTTCACTTGCTCATTTGATACACACCACACTAACTCTAGCTATCAAAATAAAGAGCTATTTAATAACACTCAATCCCTCACTTCAAAACCCACATTCCACCAGCAAGGGTTATTACAACTTTAGTCGCGATGCTCTAACTCATTTTTACTTTGTAGGCCATTTGTTTAATATGTGTCTTATCAAAGCAAGGACGACCTGTAATAAAAAGACGAGTTCGGTCTAGTTTGTAACCACATATAAACCATCTCATTCAATGATTTATGAAGCGTGTACTAACAGTAATATCTGTGATCTAAGTATATCTCTCGATAACCATTTCCCAGATCAAAGTGATAGGTTGAAAAGACCCTGCGAAGGGTGCCATATTTACGCCCATTCTAGCTTAAACTCACTAATATGTGAAGTGCCTGAACTGAACAAACTGAAGGATTCCGTGTGGATTGTTTTAAAGCCATCGAATTTCCAGTCAAGGCTCCGAAACGTTAAGAATCGTTAATTGAATGTCTTGGACTAGGACAGTGTACTCAGTATATCAGTAGCCCTACCAGACATAAAAATACCTTGGACTTAGTCTTTACCAGCTCTAATACTGTATATATCGGAAAAACCTCAATAAACTTCGGTCAAAATATTTGATATTCACCATTTATGCAGATAGACATAGAAAACTCCCAAAATGGATCTATTATGGACTTTGAGGATTGATCAAACACTAGCTATCATTTTTACGTTGGAAAACGTTGAAAAACGACCAGTGGCCCTTCTCTCCATACCTCCATACCTTCAAAAAGTATGGAATCCCTAGTATTCGACGGCATACTAGAACACTTATCATCCTCAAAGTTCTTCTCGCCTCAACAGCATGGTTTCAGAAAAGGTCATTCTTGTATGACCAACCTGCTGACTGCGGTGGATAGATGGACAACCATCCTTGATCGCAAGGGGAAGGTTGACGTCATCTACCTGGACTTCTGAAAAGCTTTTGATAGGGTCAACCATGCATGTCTTATCAAGAAGCTTGGACGATTGGGTATAAAACCCCCTTTAATTGACTGACTCTCTTCATATTTAGAAAACCGACACTTTAAGATCAGGGTTAACTTCACTCTCTCTCAGGCTATGGAATGTCCTAGTGGGGTCCCCCAGGGTTCAATACTAAGACCTCTTCTCTTCTTGATTTATATTAACGATCTTCCTCAACAAGTTTCATCTGACTTATTGCTTTTTGCTGATGATGTGAAACTTTGGAGAGAGATACGTTATCATAATGATATACTAGTTCTTCAGGAGGATCTGACTCGACTTCAAAGTTGGGCAGACGACAACGGACTTACCTTAAACACTTCAAAGTGCAAGGTAGTTCAACTGAGACATGATGCAGACTACAGTTATAACTTAGGTAACTCACCTCTAGAAGTTTCCCAAGTTGAAAAAGATTTAGGAGTGTTGGTACCCTACGACCTGAAATCGTATGCGAACTGTGACAAAAACGCCTCTCAAGCAAACCTTGCACTGGTAACATTGAAGCGTATTTTTGGCCAGTTTGACGGTAGAACCTTCCATATAATCCTCAACAGTTTTATTCGTCCCCACTTAGAGTACGGAAACATAGTATTTCCTCCCTCCCTCCAAAAGGATAAGGTCACTCTGGAACGTATACAACGTCGAGCCACGAAATCAGTTCGGGGTCTCAAATTCAAAATTTTTGAAGAGGGCCTCAAATCACTTAACCTTTACCCGTTAGAGTATAAGCGTCTTAGAGGTGATCTTCTTATGACTTAAAGTATCCTTAATACTTCTGGTCATCCCCTTAAACAACTTCTTAAGCTTAGTCATAACACTAACCTGAGAGGTAACACCCAGAAATTGGAGACCCTACATAGCAGAACAGACTGCAGACACAACTTCTACTCCGTTAGAGTTGTCAAGTGCTGGAATTCGCTGCCGACTGAGCTAGTCCAAGCGACCTCTCAGGAGTCCTTTAAGAGGAAACTTGACTTATTCTTAAGGAATAAGGATAACATATTATTATGATTTACCAAACTTTTTTTCCTCTATTATCGTTCATATACCTAGGTTCTTACCTGGAGGTATTGGTGATCCACTGCTACCAGACACGGAAGCCCGTTAAGCGAAAGCTTCTTCTATTCCGTCCTCAACCATTTGAACCATTTGAACCATTTGACTTGAAAATATGAAGTGAAGTAGCAGACATAATAGCCGTTTCAAGTCACCCCCTAAATTATGAAACATTCGCTTACACAGAAAGCCATCTTAAAGTTACAAATTATTTGTTTCCGTTAGGTATAAACAACCATTGTTTGTTGAATTAACTCGACCTTCAAGACTAGGCAAATAGACCAATCAAAAGCTCACCATATTGCGGGCGAAAACAAATTTCACAACATACAATGGGCGACTTTAAGAAAGTAGGCTACTTTTGATTAGATTTATTTTTCAGGGTGACATTGTGACGTTTGTTGATCAGGGTTCGCAGTCATTCGGAGAAATATTGCTAGTGAGAAATGATGACTGTGACGTGAAAGTACTAATTGATAAAGAGGTAGTTTACCATATAGTGCATTTAAGTATCTTTCAAGGAAAAAGTTATGCGAGTCCCTCGTTCGCGGATGCAGAAGAGTGCCAAGATTTTAGCTGAGGATATGGACAACATGGTGAACTTGCCGTAGGCTATTTATTTGAGTTTTTGAGAAATATTTGTAGGAATATGTCGGCGATTTCTATGTTAGAAACGCTTAAACTACGTTACTCGCAGTCAAAAATTTATGTAATCTTTTATTTTCTGAGTTTGCTTTCTAGACATATATCGGAAATATAGTTGTTTCTGTAAATCCATATAAAGATCTATTAATTGATGGACCAGAAGTAATGGTGAAGTATTTTAACCGAATGCTTACAAGTGTTCCAGCGTAAGATTAGATTTATCGCCTGAGCCTTTAGGCATTTATACGGACTTGCAGAAACGTTATATCAAACTGCCTTAAGAAATGAATGCGATCAAATTGTTGTCATAAGGTTTGTTGTTAGTTCGTTTCTGTTCTGTTCTTCACTGTTAATTTTCCTCACAAAGTGCCTAATAAATAACCGCTGTTAAATATGGCTTTGATATATTTATTTGTTCTCTAATAATATTTGTTACCACAAGGAACATGAAACCTCAGGAAATAGTTACCTGTTTTATATCGTCATATTTTATAATTGACGCACACTAGCTGGGAGAAATATCTATGTATTTTCCCCATCCATTCTGTGTGTGCAGTTTTAACATCATTTTAGAACAAATAAGGAGCTGGGTGGCCTATATTAGTCCGATGCAACTTTTACATCGCGTTGACTCAAGTTTCGGCGTGTTTAAAGTAAAGGGTTACAGTATTCGATTATTTGGTTTGACTAGATTGCAGATACCTGGATATAAACTAGTAAAAATGTTTTCACCGTCCTCGTAAAATATCTGCTGTAGAAGATAATATGGATGAAGAGGTGTTTGCAAATTATTACTACGTTATTTGGAGGTCGTGATTATGCTACATTTAACATTTCTGCATAACAAGAATAATGAGTTTGGGTTAGCAAGTCTCTTATGATAGACTTGAGATTAGCAGATGGGCTAGGTTTTTCAAATCTTTTCTAACATTTCACTGTCGTTTCCTTGAACACAGTTTGACGGCATGTATTCAGTACTCCAGTTTTGGCTGAACTAACGCTATGCACAATGCTAGAATTGTGTTGACACGTAGCTGACTGAAGGGTTCTAAAACTTTCCACCGGTATCGAGTATCAATGTGCAATGTCTTTCTTTAGAATAGCTTACGACAAGACTGATTATGATAGAAGACTAGGAGAGTCATTCACACATCTGAGAAATAACGAGTCTGTGGATGTACACACGTGTTGCTCAATTTCTTAAAACCCTCTATCACCGTCAACTATATAGGATGAAACAGTATATAATTCGTTGTAGTGAAACCTTGTTGCAATATTAAAAACACGACTTTGCAAGCGTTTTGAAAGTATTTGCTCCGCTTTAATTTCTCCTACGTGAAAACTGAGGATTCATGTCCTGAATTATCGTAGTAAAGAATAAACATGTATTCTTAACGAGTGACAATTATGTTAGTATCGTTTGCATATTTTAACAAGTATCAGTAAATTTTTACTCAATCTAAAACATAATCCTTATTAGTGGTGAATCTGGCTCAGGAAAAACCGAGGCGTTTAAAAGAATCACGCAGTATCTTGCATGTACTAGTGAGCAAGGTAAAAACAGTCTGAGTTCAGTGGCTAGACGAGTTTTGGAAAGTACTCCAGTTCTTGAAAGTTTTGGAAACGCTACAACTGTACGAAATGATAATTCTTCAAGATTTGGCAAGCTGGTGGAAATATTCTTTGCAAAGTATGCTTAAAGTTAGTGTGTGTTGTTATCATTTTGTATTGTTGCTTGTCATATTTATTCGCCTAACGGTGTCAGACTACACTCAGTTTAGTCGAAGTAAACTACACATCATAGTTTTTAGAGCATCATAAATGTAATAAACATGATTGAGTGATACTTGGTTTACAGTATAAGTGACAACTACCTTCATACCTGTAATAGCATGTACATAATCAAACCCCATTCTTATCATTTAAAATAAAAAAGTATAAGTTCAGCAATCCACCACTTTAATATTTTTAAGCGAAGTTCATAGGTCATCTGTAGAAGAGATATCTGTGATATATCCGATCGCTTCAAGTATATTAACTAACTAAGAATTTGTATAGTAGCAGGAGGCAAGATGTTTTTAGTGGCTATTTTATGCATTGTCGATCAATGCGAATATCTTATACAAGTAGTGTAATTTCAAGTTCGCAAGACCTCTTGCTTTATCTTATATGTCAATAGTGAGAAACATAGCTAAGCACTCAATTCTATGTAGTACTCGATCATTTAACAGTGCTCCAAAGTTGGACGAGTAAAACATGTTATTTGTTATTGCCTGTCTATGTGTGGTTAACAAACATTATTTCTGCTTTATTCAACTGCTTGCTGGGCTGTTCTGAGATTTCTTATCGTCACTGTGGCATAAACACATATTTCAGTTTACTACGTACACGAAGTTACTTTTTATCCTTACCTAAGTTATTAGCTGTAATAGAACTTCAGTGATAAAACATTTACTGCAGCCAACTTGAAAATAACATACAAAACTCAAATTGAAGGCAATTTATTTGATTTATGGTGGCTTCATGTTTCTATGTGCTTGTGAACTACCTGTTTTGAGGTTGCTTTTCCACGGACACTAGTGTTTCATAAAATTCCTTCATTGATAATAAAGAATCATTTTCAAAGTTGCCTATTGTTATGGCCTATGGTTTATTTTGAGTCGCTTGTTTCCTGGTAAATATGTACAGTGCAAAAAGTTCAGTAACACCCTGTTGTCAGTTTCCTGTTTTCTGTCACACCACTACGCATTTCAATCTTCAGTAGTTTGCTTATAAATCAGGTAAACTAAGATAATCTTTTATTTTTGGAGGCTCACCTCAGTAAACGTTCTCTAAATGACTTCACAATAGTGTCAGTATTTTAAATGCACTATCATAGATGTTTGTTCATTCTTCTTACAGATTCTATCTCCAAATAAAATGATTAAATAGGTTGACAACAGCTGTCTAGTAACCGCATGCTAATTATTTCAAAGGTTAATGATGTGTTCAATAAAGTGGGTTGTTTGCTCAGGTAATGTAATATTAGTCAACCTGATTCAACTGTCCACTGGTCTTTAAAAGTGGTTTTGGTATATATAATCATATTAGACTTGTGCTGAATAATTTCTTAAATGCTTTAATACATGAAAATGTGTTGTTTTTTAACATCGTTATAAACGAAAATGCTCTTAAACCCAGGTGAAGTGTCACGAAATCTTAATGGAGAGTTAATGACAATAGTGATCACTAGGGATACATGTGTGTGGTGGTAGACGTGTAAAACTTTGTACTGATAGCATATGCATGATAAGAGAATTAGATTTTCTTTTTTTTATGTGCAACATTAAAAAGTGAAGGGGAAGTATTACAAAAAGGAAAACAACAGCATCAGGAACGGTCAGAACTAGAACCATGGTGAAAGAAAAGTTAAGAAAGGTAGTAAATAACAAAATGTGAAATGTCTTTATACCATAATCTAGTTAGATGATCTCATGACAGACTGATTTTCGCGACGTTGAATAGGAGCATTATTAACTTTAAGAGAACATTTGTGGAGGTTTAAGCCCTCTCTAAATACTACTACTAGTTGTAGCCATCACAATCAGTTATATTTCCTATTCTACAGTACTTGATACTTATCTCCTTTGTTGCTTTTTTTTCAATCAAGCATCACAATACTATAGAACACTGAGTCAATATTCGCAAAATTTAACTATGAACTGATCTATGATTATTTTATTATTATTATATCATTTAGTGAATTATGAGTCTTATGACTGTTGGACTGCAAGTAAATTTGAACTTGACAGCTTAGTTTCATCACATTTTTAAGCGTTTTTTTGAACCATGATTAGTAAATATATTATTTCTGACTATGGAAATCATATATATATATATATATATATATATATATATATATATATACTGTCACTTGTTCATTTCAACTATGTTGTAGATTTCATATGCTTTAAAATATCGTGCATCCTTGTTTATGATTTGTGTAGGTCAATAATTATTGGAGCGAAAATCACTAACTTCTTACTTGAGAAATCTAGAATAGTGGGACAGGTGAGAAAAAAATTTTATGCTCGTTTTTCGTATTGTTCTAGTTTCCTAGCTCTTGTACGTTTTTCCGAAACTGAATAGTTTGGTTGTAAATCTTCATCATAAATTTAAAAGAAATTATGATTTTGATGTTTACATTCTCTATTGAACTTTATCATCATCAATTACTTTGAGACGTGTTACGATTACTACTTTCTATGTTTCATTATATGGTCAGTCGGGTCACTAAAATTGTTGATATGATTCAGGCGGTCAAAATATTCGTTTAATCACCGGATCGATACACAAATGCCAAAATAATATATTTTAGAAGATGAAACCACAGGCCCGATGATTGGCTGTTTGGTTATATACTAATAAATGAAAGCTACTGTTTGTGTTCAAGATTGCGAGTGAAAATGAGTTACTTACCAATTAACAAATTGGCTATCAAGAGTGAACAAAAATGTTACGAAAGAGACCGATAACCCTTCTTTCCAGATCATCGCAAGAGTGAAAATAATTTTAAAATTTAAGAGTTAATCTGGTTTCTTATTTTTTATTGATGATTGGTGGCTTCAAGCGGTGGTCTATCCCTAAAGTAACTACATATCAGGTAACTATGAAGGAAGACAATTCGTAGCTCAGATTGAAATTTAGCATTTTAACAATTCTACTGTAATCGAATTCATTTCAACTTTCATTAACAAAATGTCCACTATATACTATGAAATTTTTATATTACCTTAGGCTACAGTCGAATATTAGTTTTACAGATAAAACGATTTTCCTTGGTCAAACAAAAAATTTACAGTGAAGGAAACACAAATCAGATTTCTGTTTTTTCTTTGCATATATTTCTTATGTTCATGCAAAGTACGTAATTTTGTTGTTTTTTTCCGAGTCACAATAAATATACATGCATACTTTATTACCAAATATATTTGTTGATTATTAACAGTCTGAAAAAGAACGTAACTACCATGTGTTCTATGAACTATTAAGTTCACTTGATAATGAGAGTAAGGCAAAACATCATCTTAAAAATGTTGAAGATTATCAATATTTAATGAAAGTAAGTTAATAATCTATTAATTTGTATTTTGCTTATTATTGTCTCCATTACTACGTTATATTTAGCATTAGCAACATTAAATGCATAACAATAGAAAAGATATGCATTACCTACCATGTAAATCTTTGATTTCTTGTTTAGTTGAAGATTACAGTGAAAATAAAATCATCTTATTCGCAAATCGACTCATATGACATTATTCTTCTCTATGAGGAGAAACTAACTGTTCATTTGGGTATTTAAAATACACTAAAGTAAACAATTTAGCCCCCGTACACCTCAATAAAACACTCTGACTAAGTATAGCAATATCAAGTCTATTTTCAGATTAGAATAAATACTTTAATTTAAAAATCAACTGATTCAGTAATGGATGGCTATCTATCATAACTTGAAATTAATTTTCGAATGAGTTTCCTGATATTTTAGAACTTCACACGATGAAAAAGTTCATGCTTGTGGATTTGTAAGTGTTAGACTAGCATATTTGTCAATCAACATCAAATTGAATTTTTATAATAAACGATTCATCAAAGAAAAACTGACCGCAATATGATATCAGATATCTCTTGGTATTACCATGTATTTTGAAGCATACGCTACTCCACCTTATTTTATTATATGGAGAAACATCTATGACAGCCTTTCGAAATACAGATTTTTATAACTATGGATCCAAAGAAAGTTTAGTCTTGCCTATAACAAAAGTAGTAAATTAAAATGTTTACGTAATCGTATCATTTTGTCAATCAGTCACTTGGATCTTTTAATTAGTTCTCTCATATAATAGCCTGTTTTTTCATATTGACAATACGTTTTTTCATTATGGTATTTGACAATCAACTTTTATTGATTAACTTACGTACTTTAATCCTTAGTTGGGAAAACAACGATTCAAATCAGAAGATAACTTTACTTATCCATATTTTTGAATTCTGCAGGATTCAAGGCGTGCATTTAGTACACATTCTGATCCTGACGGTTTATCAATGTTACTTGAAAGTTGGCAAACATTAGGACTTCCACAAGATGAAATGGATTTATGTCTTCGTGTAGTATCTGCTGTATTGCATCTTGGAAATATAACTTTTAAAAGTGATAATGATAAGGTTGGTTCTGCGCAGTTTGTTTTATTGACTGTAGAAAATGAACTTGCCGATTTTGGTGAACTTTCTTTGTTTTTAAAAATATTCTCTAGTTATTTTATTGTAATAACTAAAGTTTATAATTTTGAGTTATAATTTGGAAAATAGATTATGCAAATTTTAAAAATGAGTAAATGTGTTAGTTTGCTAATGTATACTCAACGTATTTTAATTTGTCTCTAAGCCAGTGTATGAAGTGATTGAAAGTGCAGATAGGATCTGTTTAGTCTATGTCGAGTTCAAAGTGAGAAATAAGCGTTAGTTGATAGGTTTGCGAGCTTTCATTGGATGAGGTATATTATTTATTTGCATTAAACGTGTTGGACTATGACAATGAGTAGAGATCATTACGGATGTATACTAGAGTGAATAACAGAACGCGAATCGTACATAGGATAAACTGCCTTCTCGTGGCGGGGGTGTTGTTTACGAAAGTGAGAGGACGAAAAGCGAATGTCCGGCGCTATAACCGGATTGGTGGACACGGAGGGTCCACCTAGGGGAGTTGGAAAACCCTGATTCCAAACCAATGGTGCACATGGGCTCCGGTATCCTGATGGAACGAATGGCGGAAGAACCTGTTATTGGTCAACGGCTACCATGGGACTGCATCTCCTCACGATGCTCCACTGCCTTGTGGATCAGACCTTTAGGTCAAAGGCTCGGGGTGTGGTCCCCTAAGAAAACCACCTGCTTCTGTTTGGGCACCTGGGCAGTATCACAGCCCACACACAAATTATTTTGTGTGGCGCATATGTAGCTGGTGCCCTTTTGTACCAATATATATGTGTTTAAATAAATAATAAAAATAGGATAAACTATCATTTTTTGTAAACTGAACTTAATAACAAAATTAATATGAATTTCAAACACGTAAAATAATAACCTTAGTGAGTGGAGTAGACAGTAATAGTAAACTATGTAATCGATCTTACTGAAAACCATACAATATGCAAATTTTTACTTTTTACACTGACTATTTTAAAAAGTTTCAATCACGAAAAGTATTTCACGTATGACATGATGGGCTGTAATTCTACTAACTAGTGTCGACTGGAAACAGTAATTCATTCGTCTGATCCCAAATTGGAACACGTATTGGAAGCAAATAAAAGAAGATACAATAGTAAGAACATAAGAGTTTATGTAAAACTTATGGTTCGCCTAGGATCTTTCTAATCCATCCACCAGCTGTGGTTGGTGGTCAACTACACTGTTAATGGGAGTTATGAAAGTCTTAAAATTGTCTACTAGTAATAGGCTGTGGACAGAATATAGTATAAAGTTGGTAAACAAACGCCCAAACTCAATCTGAGAATAAATTGAAGAATATTTCTGAAAGAATAGGTTTCATCAAAGTCCAGTTAAAGCTCATTATTATACTGATTACCAAGATAGAGAACAGTGGTTGTACACCCCAATATTTGCACTCGAAATTTCATAGAACTACTCTTTTTTTACCTTGGCCATAGGTGTAGGGGTAAGTTTTAGCTGGACTTCGATTGAACCCATTTTTTCAAAGATATTCAGATAATTTTATAATTTCCTTTACTTTTGTATTTTTACAAATTCTCAACATTCGTCTCTTGGTTTCTACATAACTGCAAAAATTTTAAAAAAGTAGCTATATACTGAAGTACCTAAAGAAACCAGTTCAATGTTTAATAAAAGTAGTTACCTGTCTCACAAAAACGATTTAATCAAATGGTTCATTATGTAATGGGACAAAGTGCTCTACAAACAATAGAATAATAATCATTACAAATAAAGAAACACAGTTATAAATATAATCTATTTATATAATTCTCGTTTGATGAACCCAAAATAGTTCATTATTTTCAATCTCTTCTTTTTTATTAGGATAACACATTTATTACTAATCCATTCGTTGCTGAAATTGCAGCTTCAGAGCTTGGTGTAGATGTGACTGAATTAGCTAAAGTGATAACAATGAAGTTAACAGTAAGAATTACTTTATCGTTTAAATCATGTACAGTCTGATTGTCATGTTGTATAAAAATTTTAGAATTTCTATAGATTTCCGTAGTTCAAAATCATTGTTTTATTATTTTCTTAACTGAATGGTATTATCAGTAAAAATTACTAGAATTATGATCAATTATATGCTTGAAAAAGCGATTCATTTTTCTACCTTCTTGACATTATGGTACAGGTTGAATAGAGGGCTGATGACCAGATTATTCGGCGATATTGTATCATTAAATTAAATAAAATTTCACTGCCGCCTGTTGTAAAACAGTTTCTTTTAGCTACCATATAACCCCCACCTGTAATGAATATCCCCAATATATGTGTATATATTTGATATGACTCTCAAACATGTAAGCTACTTAAAATGTTAAAAGAATAATAATTTAACAGCATCGAATGCATGACTCTATCGAGGCTCTCTACACAGGATACACGTATACCAACAAAGATCCATTAAAATCCAGCCAACATTATTAACAGCGGGCTAACACAAATCCTTTCTAATAATGATTTAAGTTTAGCAACATATTTACAACATCAAATTAAATTCATTTATATTAAGATGAACCTTTTCACAACTTCAATGGGTTTCATACTGTAAATACTTGTAGTTTTGTTCACTAATAAATGATACTTTTAATTTATATTTAAACTTATTTTCCTTTTAACAATTTCCATTCAGGAAACATCTATTGACAAACTTTGGAGTCCGGTTAATGTTGCTGGTGCAATTGTAAATCGTGATTCTATTGCGAAAAGTTTATATGCAGAATTTTTTGATAGATTAGTGGAGAAAATCAATATGAAAAATGCGCCACCGGATTACATGGATCCAGACACAAAATCATCATTACGTGCGATCGCTTTATTGGATATTTATGGTTTTGAAGTAATTATTGGTATTGATTTGAAATCGATGCTTTTCAATTTCATACTTATTCAGTTAAATACGTTTTATATTGTTTTCACCTATTTGTTCGATGGATGTTTTGTTTATATGTCATCATCGTTTAAGGGATTTTGAGCTTTACATAAAGGCTGTAGCAAAATAGGTGGTAACAATAGAATGTTGTCGATCTTTGTTTCATACATTTACAGCATTCACTGTTGTAACCATTCTTATGATCTACTTAACTTGTCACTTATCGAATGTAGTGTTTCTTTTAAATATTTTTTGTTAAATGTACCAATCACTTATGGAACCTAACAATCAAGGTTATGTTCAGTCGAAGTTTTGTTTTTCTAATAGTTATAAGATAGTGGAATTCTTCAGTGAACTTTTCGAAAGTAAAAATTTTAGCGCTGCGGAATGATTGATTCACTATTGTTATCATTAAAGGTGAAAGATTTATGAGTGGTCGTAAAAAGAATGTGAAGCGAAAGGCTAGCGATCAATGTATATCCAACGCATAAGCTTGGACTGTAGCTGTGGAAAGAGATCTTGAACATTGTTATAATCAGCTGTGAAAAGTGATGTATTGTTTTTAGTTTGCTTCAGTCCGTTTAACCTAGAGAAAATATTTAGCCTGTAAGGAAGATATTACCTGTAGATTTTCCAGTTTGTCCTAACTTTTGTACAATTTTAATTTGATTCACAATGATAATTCAGATAATGAAATGAGAACTGATGGCCGGGTAGTAGATATGAACTACTCAAGGGTCTCATAGTTGGAGGAAATAGTCTTGAAATACATTCTAGCTTTACAATCGTTGTCTAGTTAATGTCAGTCGTCGATATACATTACACTGAATAGTCTATTGTGAATTAATCTTGTATTGTTAAATATTATAAACAAGAGAGTAGACAGAAATTTAATGAAATTTATTGTGATGATTGTGTGTTGTAAATTCTGATCTTGTAATTGCATGAATTGAGGTTACCAGACATTTCTCTGCTGATTTATTTCCGAATGTTTTTCTGGGATCTGGTGGTTTATGTTAAAATCACTTGCTTTACTTACGCTCGTAACCCATTGTGGAGGAGCATAGGCCGGCCACCAGGATTCTCCATCGAACTCTGTCCCGGGAAATACTTTCCAGTTGTTTCTGATTGCTATTCATTCTTTTGATAACTGTCTCTCTTGGTCTTCCTCTATTTTTCTTCCCTTCTGGACTCCAAGTTAGGGCATGCCTCGTGATGCAATTTCTTGATTTCCGCAATGTATATCCTATCCACCTCCAATATTCTTACTAATTTCTTTTCAACTGGAAGTTGATTTGTTCTCTCACACAGTGGGTTGTTGCTAATGGCATCCGATCAACGGATTTAGATTATCTTGCGTAGTCAACTGCTTATAAATATCTGTACCTTTTTGATGATAATTGTAGTGGTTTTCCAAGTTTCCGTACAATAAAAACAGCATCAGATCCTCCTTGTTTATCAGTAATACTGCCCAGGTATATAAAACTTCTCACCTCTACATTAAAGTAGAACCTAAAGGAAATGTAATAGATGTTAAGCCTTTCATTAAAATTTTCACAGTTAAAGTAGTCCATAAAGTATACTATCGGACCTGTGGGCTAATACATATTTCCTAATGAATAATAAAATAGATAACTATAATAAATCTAAGTTAGTTTGAGTTGTTAAATCATCAGTAAGCACTCTCCTACTGTGTCAGAAGGGTTATAAAGAAGCTACATTGTAACACATTTTGTACAAAGCAAGTTGCACTCAAACTTTTCAGTTAGTTATTAACCTTACAAGCACCATGTATTTCTGCTTATCAGCTCTAATGCTCTTCTTTACTTGCCTGTCTGCTTCTGTGTATTCAGTCTGTGCCTTGACTTTCTCTGTTCTTGTTCGGCTGTTGTTAATTGCTGTCTTGTTATTCCTTTCTTGAATCCCGCCCAGGGTTTCGACAGGGATCTGTTCCTTATGATGATGCTTTCCATGGCCCAGGAGCTCCTGACACGTTGAAGTTAGTACTTCTTTGATCCCTTTCCAATTGTCCTTCATGGTAGTTTTCTCTTCTTTGAATTGATCCTGTAAGTCTTGGAACCTGTTGTTGAGTTTTATCTTGAATTCGTTGAGTTTGCCAGCATCTCTAATGAAGGCTGTATTGAATCTTGTAATGCTGTTTCCCCAGTTTTTCAGTGCTTCTTTGGTTTTGATTTCATCTTGGCAGCCTCCAGGTGTTGATCTGAAGCTATATTAGCTCCTCTCTTTGTTCTTACGTATTCCATTGATCTTCTGAATTTTGTAGTACTGAAAATATGATCGATCTGGTTTTCTGAAGTGTGGTCCGATGAAACCCATGTAGTTCTGTGTATGCGTTTGTATGGGAATATTGTGCCACCTATGAGCATTATGTTGAATGCACACAGATTTGCATATCTGTTACCATCCTCATACCTTTTTCCCAGTCAGTCCGTGTTGTCCCATGATATCTTCATAACCGTTGTTGTTCATTCCGACTTTGGCGTTTAAATCTCCCGTCAGGATGTTCAGTTTTTTCCTAAGCACTTCGCTATGACTGATTGCAGCCTCTCATAAAACTGACTTTTATCATCTTCTTGCTATCACTGGTGGGTGCATAACATTGGATAACATTTATTGAGATTCCCTCCTTGTTTGTTTTGAAAGATGATTTGGTGAATGTAGATACATGAAATTCCTATCCTATAAGTGCATTTTGTGTTTCTTTATACAGCATCAGACTAACTCCCTGAGTGTATGGAGCATTTCATTCTTCATGACCAGAGTGCAGCAGCATCTCTCCAGAGTGTAACCCTTTCTGTCGAGCTTGGGTCCAATGGGTTTCACCGATTCTGAGAACCGCCAAGTTATATCTCCTCATTTGTGTAGCTATTTGACTGGTCCTCTTGGTCTCCCACATTTTTCGGACACTCCATGTACCTATAAAAAATGGTTCCTCTCCTTGTTAGAATGGTCGTCGGCCTCGTGATTTCCAAATAATCTCGAATTTCACCATGTGGCATCACAATTCTTCCGAATAAAGGTCGTTCAACTCAGGGGACAGGGTTTAGGTTTTTTTTCTGTTTAGCGTTTTTTCAGCAAAGTTGTTTTTCATAGGATGGGGTTGCTGACGCCACGCCTAACCCTCCTTTTATCCGAGCTTGGAACTAGGAGTAAACCTAGAAGGGCTAGAGGCGGAGCTATATTAAAATCAACTGTTTGTTAATAATCAAATAATGATAATTGACAAAATCTGTGTTTTGTTTATTAGACCCATTACTTTTGTACTAATTAGTACATTACTCTGATGCCGTCTAGAAATCTCACAATAATTGAGAGATATCTGGGTTAACGTGAGAAGTTTTTGTCAAAAAATAATAATTTATGTCACTAGAGTGAATTATAAGAATTTATTCCTGAGTTAATTTCAAAGTTGTAAATGTACTTATGTAAATTGGATTAAAGAATTTATTTTTCAAAAAAGAACCATCAAAACATCCATACCTCTTGGAAGTTCATGTAATTCACAAAATGACAATGTACGCTCTCCATATATTATCACACAGTTATCCTTTGGTGTTTATCTTGGTTCCGATTTAAGTTATTAAACGTACGTGATTCATTAACAAAAGTTCGACTGATGTGTTTACTTATAGATGCCATTGAGAGAATTTAACAATGTAATCCTTTCAAAATGATATTGTTTTTATCTTTCGACTTTTAAATGGAAAAATATTGTTCAAATTCATCGCATGTTTTATTTCTCAAACATTTTTAACCTCAGTTGACTGGACATCTAAAAATAATTGTGAAATGACTATATCTGTGTATTACATAAAACATAACAATATATTGCTAAATGTAGTTTCGCGACCTGATGTTCTCTGATATTAATAAAATGTATCAGGCAGTTTGTTACTGGTTCATCTTCCTAACTTTAATTTCTACTTTTAATTTGTGGATGGGATTTTAACTCTGGAATCTAACTGTTCTTTCAATTTGGATATTGTGGCCAACTAGCTACCACCAACTTTTAAGATTGGAATTTTATAATACATGCTTTGATGTTTGAACAAACAGTAAAACCAAGCGTTCTCAAAATAATAATTTTTTATTACTTTTCTTGTTCAAATTTCTAAATAATAATGAAAGATGAAAAAACACCTAATAAGATATAATAATGGGTAACGAAGTGAAATAATGTTGCAATTGTTAATAATTATAATCACGACAATAATAATTATGTTTCTTCATTGATTGTCATTTCTCATTTTACTGAAATAAATTGAGTTAGTTTGAGTCAGAATCTTCTCATTTCATCATGATTATTTTGTAGAATCTCCCAACTAATTCATTAGAACAGTTTTGTATCAATTACACAAATGAAAATTTACAACAATTCTTCAATCATTACATATTTGAATTGGAACAAGAAGAATATCGAGCAGAAAATATTAGTTGGCAATATGTTCAGTTCCCGGATAACCAACCCATTATTGATTTAATAGCTGGCAAACCAAATGGAATAATGCATTTATGCAATGATGAAGCCAGTTTAGTCACAGTAAGTCTACAATCAGTTTCTAATTTACTAGTTGAAATCTCAGTCTTCACTTTTCATAATTAATTGATTAAACAAAAGATTTGTCTTTTTTTTGAAGTTTATTCATTTAAAACACAATTATATGAACGAAGAATATTCTTTTCAATAATTTCTCATCAGGTTCTACAATTATAAATTAATAATCCATAAAAGAAGATTGGCCAAGTTTAAGGCGGAGTACATCAATTTAAGAAACTGTAATATGTGAATCAAGGATTGTTTGTCATATAAAATAAAATAAGATCGAATCGTTAATGTTTTTGGGATGACTAATATGATGTGTTAACTTGAATCAGTTTATAGGTGAAATGAAATCGTAAGATAAATGATCAGAATATATATAGTTGACATGGGGGTGAGAGATAGAACAATGGGATTACAAATCGGAAATTACGTAATATGTAGAATTATATAAATTAGGTCAGATATAGTAGATAGGGGGTGGATGACGAATAAATTTCTCTAAAAGGTTAGCAGGTGTGATAATAATCATAATAATAATAATAAAGATAATAATAATAAGAATAATGACTGATAAGATGTGTAGATAAACTAAGTTTGAGATATAGAAGTGAACATTAATCAAATTAATGTCATCATATTACAAAATTGATCATTAACAAGTTGACCCTGAAGTTGGCCAGGGTAAAAGGAGCGGCTGTACATATTTCTTTTGGATTCAGAGCTCTGGCTTTTTGATCCGAATAGCGATTGCCTCAGCCGTCTGCAGGATTCTTTGTCTGACAGAATTAGGTAGACTACTATTAACACGATATATTACTGTGAAGGATTGCTCGATGTCGGCTCTATGTCCCGTCTGAACTAAATGGGCTAAAACAGAGCTGTTAGCCGTTCTGACTACACCTTTGCTTAACCACACTGGAAGGTGTTCACGAGCCCGAGTATACAAATTCCTAGAACATCTGCCTATATAACTTGCTCCACAGGAGCAGTTGAATTGATAGATACAGAAGGAAGTGGCTAGTCTAGGCAATTTATCTTTCAACGTCGGCGTGATCATTGAGCGTGTGGAAAACATTAGTTGTAGTTTACCCGCATTAAAAGTCCTTTCGATTGATCTTCGTAGTTTCAATCTTACCATTTCGCTAGGTGCGTCACCTCTGAATTGTAGACGTATATACAGAGGCTTTTTATTCACAGTTAAACATTCTTTATCGTCTCTTTTACTAGTTATGTTTTTGTTTATAAATTTCTCCGGGTATCCATTTTCCCTCAGGGTCATATATAATGCTTTTGTTTCTTCTTCGACCATATCTTCAGAGCATATGGTCTTAATTCTATAGTGTAATGTCTTAATTAGGTTCCTTTTGTACTGTAGAGGAACAAAACTAAGAAAGTTAGTATACTGACCCGTCCACGATGTTTTCCTGTTTATATTTCTCTTTAGTGAACCGTCTTTTCTCCTTGTAAGGAGAACATCTAGAAAAGCGATCCTACCTCCATTTTCCTCCTCACATGTGAATTTTATAGACGGATGAGTTGTATTGAATAGCTGCAGTGTCTCCATTAAGTCAGTATAGTCGTTACATAGGATGAACGTGTCGTCCATATATCGGCAATAAAGTGAAAACTTTTCAATCTGTTGTGTGAGTGGCCCGTTTTCTAGTTTCGCGAGAAAAATATCAGCCATTATGGGACCTAGAGGTGAACCCCTCGCGACACCATCTATTTGTCTGTAGATTTCCCCATTGAATTTGAAATGTACATTCATAGTACATTTTAGTAGTAATTCTTTGATGGTCTCCACAGGGACTGTAGTTACTGCTTCCTGTTCTCTAAGCTGTTCACAAATATATTCTACAGTCTCTCTGAGTGGGACATTTGTGAACAATGACGTTACGTCAAAGGACATCATCTTTAGACCTTTGGTGTTTATGTTTTTAATCTTCTCGACGAATTGGAATACATCCTTAATACTGTGTTTTACTAGTTGTTTGTGAAGTGGTTTTAAAACGGTTACTAACCACTTTGCTACCGTATGGTAAGGAGAATCGTACATGTCTAAAATTGGTCTATTTATTTATTTATTTATTTGAACACACAAATATTGATACAAGAGGGCACCAGATATATATGCGCCACACAAAACCATGAGAATGGGAAGAGAGAAAGAGGCTAAGGTGCATATAAGAAAACAGAAAAAAAGAACAATGAAAACCACAGATTAGTGTATGTTAGTGTAATAAGAAGAATAATAGTGGGGGAAACAGAAATGTACAACCAGAAGAACTCTTTTATTTAAGGAAGTTATAACCACTCTTTATGGTGAAAGTAAAAGAAGGTTACAGCAGGCTCGCCACTGGCTTCTATTCTGAGCCATATCCGATAATGTCTCTATCCACTGTATTTCGCCATCTCTTGGACCCCGACCAGGGAGTTGTGAAGGACCCACAGAAGCTGGTTTTGTACAACTTTCTTTCATACTACGACACCATGTCATACACTGACCACCTCTATGCTTTTTCCAACCAATCATAGCATCGGCAAATAATGCACGACGTGGAATTCTATAGGGCAACATTCGTAGAACATGTCCAAGCCACCGAAGTCGGTGTTTCAAGATGGTGACATCAATTGAATTATCGTCTCTGCGCCCGAACACACGATGCTGAACCTTTGCATTACTAACATGGTGTTGTCGCTGGGTGTCAGCTATCCTTCGGAGACAACGATGATCAAACACAGAGAGTCGTCTAACATCCTCAATTCGGAGAGGCCAGGTTTCACAAGCATAGAGCAAAACTGCTCTCACTGACATGTTGTAGATCCGACCTTTTACAGCCAGACTAACATCACGAAGGCGTCAAAGATGGCCCAGATTGGCATAAGCAGCTCTGGCCTTCACTATACGTGAATTAATCTCATCACTCACGCCACCATAAGCACTTGTGCAGCTACCTGGATACACGAACATCTCGACTACTTCAACCTGCTCACTACTCAGGGTAAGTACAGGATTAGAATCCTGCCAGTCTTGTAGGACTACTTTGCACTTCGAAGGTGCAAAGCACATATTGTACCTTTGGACACTGATTGCCTATTGGGCTTGGGCATTATCGCACAGTAAATCAATATCATCCGCTTACTCAGGGTCGAGAAGTCGTTCTTCAGGCAACAGATCCACACCGCCATTGCTTACATCCATCAGAGCTGTTTCCAGATTGTCATCGACAGCAAAGTTGGAGACAAATGGTGAGATTGAGCAACCCTATCTAACCGTACTTCTTGAGGGGTACAATGAAGGGAGTTTCTTGACTGCCCTCATTATGCCTGAGGTGTCTGTATATGGGGCTTTTAGGATGTTAATAAACTTCTCAGGCACACCCTTCTTCAATAGACGATCCCGGAGACCAGTCCTGTCCAACGAATCGAAGGCAGTCATTATATCAATAAACACTAGGATGGTTGACCTGTGATAAGTATGACGGTGTTCTAACATTTGGCGTAGGGTGAAGATATGATCAATGCATCCTCGACCAGAACGAAAACCAGTCTATTCCTCGTTAGTCAATCTTTCTCGGGTTTTGAACAACCTACGAAGTATGACGGAAGTCAACAGTTTGGATGCAATCGGAAGTAGACTTATCCCCCGATAGTTGTTACAGAGATGACGTGAACCCATTTTAAAGATAGGGACAACTATCGACTCACTCCATGATATTGGAACACTTTCTAATTGTCAGACCTTTGTAAACAACTCGGTCGGTTCCTTCACTGGAAAGTCATCATCATCTTTAAATATGCCCGAAGGTAAGTAATCTGGGCCTGGTGATTTGTAGCACTTCAAGATTTAGAGTTTCTCGAGCACTTCCTCCACGATAGGTGGATCAGTCGTCACCGGTAATGCAGTGCAGGACAGTCTGATTGATGTTGCAGAAGCAACAGAGCAGTTGTACTGTTCCTCGAAAAACTCTCCCCATCATATAAGACGTCGATAGATGTTAGTGATTGGCATCCTGTTATCTTCACAGATTGTTTCACTCACACCAGACTTCTTTCTGCAAGTGTCTCGGATGAGTTGAAAAACATCCAGCAGTTACCAGATGCAGCTGCTGCTTCCAGCTCATTAGCACGCTCCGACCACCAGACTTCTCTTTCCTTAGGCGAGCTTTGTCCAATTTCATTTCGTCACAACCTTCGTTTAAGGTCAAACTCACGGTCACCCGGAGTACACCGACGGGCTTCGATGAGTTGTAGAGAGCCTGAAGAAACACAGTGCTTATAAGCGGGACGTTTTGCGATGCCGCAAGCGACTTTACTCGTCATTTTCATGGCGTTATGCAGTTGCATTCAATGCTCATCTATACTTTTCGGTGGGATGTTAGTTAGCCTAGATGATAGCTCGGTTCGATACTCGCTTGCAACAGAAGTTGAAACCAATGTACTGACATCAGTCTGTTGATGACGATCAATTCGTTGGCCACTGAAACGTAAGGTAAGATTAGCGCAAGCAAGAGCACTGCCCAGATGCCCAAACTGAAGCAGGTGGTTTTCTTAGGGGACCACACCCGGAGCCTTTGATTCAAAGGCCTTGTCCACAAGGCAGTGGAGCATCGTAAGGAGATGCAGTTCCATGGTAGCCGGTGACCGACGATTGGTTCATACGCCATTTGTTCCTTCAGGATACTGGAGCTCATGTGCCACATTGGCTTGGAATCAGGGTTTTTCAACTCCCCTAGGTGAATTCGCCGCGTCCACCGGCCCGGTTAAAGCGTCGGACATTGGCTCCTCGCCCTCCTAATTTCGTAAACAACACCCCTACCACGAGAAGGCAGTGAGTAGAAATCCCCTGTCAGAGGCTATATACGCGTGGACATGTGAGAGCATTTCGAGAGGGAGGGTGGCACCTCCCTACTCTCGGACATAACAGGGCATTTGGGGGCAGTATGGCAACTGGCTGTTGCAGTGTGGAAGTGCCGGGCACCGATACCGGGCCCTCTCGCATGCTAAGCGTTTTTCTTTTCATTGAAATTCTGCATAATTGAAGCAAAGTTTATTTTAATTATATAATGAAATGGGATTTGTTGCTATATAATGTAGTTAATTGGATATAAATAAAAGTATTTAGAAATCATGATAAAGCGATTTAAATAAGAAATATCTATCTATCTATCTCAGAATATGTCATAATCGAATATAGAACCGTTAAAAATTTCCATGAATGGAACATAAACATTTTTGAAGTTTATTATGGTAGTCACAGCATCAGTTGTTTGATATTGAATTCTGCAGTGATTAAAATTTATTTTGGAACGAACATACATTTTAGTGGCGTTGTATCTGAATCCAATCGGATCGTATGAATGATTGGTATCGAAATATACATCCTTAAATATACATCCGATATATACAACCTTTGTATATAATCATAGACTTAAATCCCTTAAGGGAATAACGGGATTAAAATTAGTCGAATACGAGATATTTCATACACTCGTTGATCTGAACAGACGATCAAGGGAACGAAGCAAAATAAATCACAGATATGTGATGAATAGGGTAAGCAATTAACAAACATACGATCATATAAAACAGTATTAATAAGCAAATAAGTGACAAGGTCAAAATATGGTCTGAGAAGAATAAACAAATTGGTATTTTCAGAAGCTGGAATAACTTATGCGAGCTGAACATAGTATCAGCCACTACAAAATCATTATAGATGATTCTCCTTTATATTTTACCTAAACTGCTATCGGAAGGCAATGGATGTTATTTTGTGTATTTAGCTATTGCAAATTAATAACTTGGTATTGGTTGGTGAACTAGATTCATATTCTTCAGTTTCCATATATAGTAGTGGTACTACCAGGGTACCAAAAAAGGCGAATATGGGATGTAGCTGAACCTGGGATCCAAAGCTGATTGTTTTAACCATCAAACCATCTTTTTAACATATAATTGTCAATAATGACTGGAATTTTATCTAACATCTTTACAGTTTGTGTTACTAGCTATGAAGGATGAAAAGCGTGGTTTCAGTTGTTATCTAATAACAGATTATTCTTTTTGATTAAGTCATAACTGAAATAATTTAATGATAAGCTATTTAGTAGTATTTACAAAATGCTCCAAAAATTCCAATGCTGAAAGTAATTACCAGAAGTACTTAACCTTGGTCATTGGATTTGTATTATGGTTTAAGTTTATTTATTACCAAATCTATTTCACTTATTCTTTTCTTCGATTTCTGTGAAATTCAGTTTGTTGTGCTTTCATAATCAGAGTATTCTACATGTGTTCGGTTCTAAAAGAAATAATTCACTTACATTCAATAATAATAAACTTTCCACTACTTTTTTGTTCTCCAGACAATATCAGATAGCTAGTGGTTGAGCATTACAAAATTAGGTTGATAGAAAAAATTCTTCCTTTTGAGTAATCCTTTTAAATTAAAGGTAAAGTTAAGAAGAAAAAGGATGCAAAAATATGTTTATTGAAAATTAAAGTTAAAAAGAATACATCCAGCAGGTAATGATTGTATTGTTCTCAAAAAAATGTAAAAACGTTTTCATGATAATGTAAAGCTTTATAGTACGTCTACGGGGATGTTTGATAACTGACATATCTCATAAATACACAGTAATTCCAGCTTAAGTCCTTTGGATAAGGAGTTATCAACAGCAAAGCCAAATGAGGTCTTATGTGGTTGAATTTCCCATCTGTTCAAAATGTTTTATATAAGTGGAGATATTTGATTTTCATGTTATTCTTATTTTGGAAAACTAGTTCCATTTCGTCATTTGAATACTTTGGGAAAAACCTATGGGTATCAATACAAATATACTGTCTACAGTATTGTTGCTTATGCATATAATTGTGTGGGATAGAGAGAATATAAATTCTCCTGATACACATATTACTTACTTACTTACTTACTTACTTACGCCTGTTACCCCTTGTGGAGGAGCATAGGCCGCTCACCAGCATTCTCCATCCAACTCTGTCCTGAGCCTTCCTTTCCAGTTCTTTCCAGTTGCTATTCATCCTTTTCATATCGGCTTCTATTTCCCGGCGTAGTGTGTTCTTTGGCCTTCCTCTCTTCCGCTTCCCTTCCGGATTCCAAGTTAGGGATTGAGTCGTGATGCACATTGGTGATTTCCTCAATGTATGTCCGATCCACTTCAAACGTCTTTTCCTAATTTCCTCTTCAGCTGGAAGCTGACTTGTCCTCTCCCATAAAACGCTGTTGCTGATAGTATCCGGCCAGTGGATGTTGAGTATTTTGCGTAGACAATTGTTTATAAATACTTATACCTTCCTGATGATGGCCGTAGTAGTTCTCCACGTTTCAGCTCCGTACAGTAGGACTGTCTTGACGTTCGTATTAAAGATTCTGACCTTGAAATTGGTTTAGAGTTGTTTTGAGTTCCATATGTTCTTCAATTGTAGAAATGCTGCCCTTGCTTTGCCAATCCTCGCCTTTACATCTGCATCCAATCCTCCTTGTTTATCAACGATGCTCCCCAGGTACGTGAATGTTTCCACCTCTTCCAGAGTTTCGCCATCAAGTGTGATTGGGTTGGTGTTCTCCGTGTTGCATTTGAGAATCTTGCTTTTTCCTTTGTGAATGTGGAGGCCTATCGATGCGGAGGCTGCTGCTACATTTGCTGTCTTCATCTGCATTTGGTCGTGTGTATGAGAGAGGAGGGCTAGGTCATCTGCGAAGTTCAAATCATATAATTGATTCTGAGAAGTCCATTGTATTCCGTATTTCCTTTCAGATGTCGAATTCTTCATAATCCATCAGGATTGTGAGGTCCTTTCTTGAGCACTTCTCTATAATTGATTGCAGCCTTTCATAGAACTGATCTTTATCATCGTCGTTGCTATCATTAGTGGGTGCATAACATTGGATAATGTTCATTTTGATCCCTGGCTTCTTTGTTCTGAATGATGCTTTGATTATCCTGGGTCCATGAGATTCCCATCCCACAAGTGCATTTCGTGCTTCTTTGGACAGTATTAGAGCAACTCCCTGAGTGTGTGGAGCATTTTCCCCTTCGTGACCGGAGTACAGCAGCATCTCTCCTGTACCTAGCCTTTGTTGTCCAGTTTGTGTCCAATGGGTTTCGCTGATTCCGAGTACTGCCAAGTTTTATCTTCTCATTTCCATTGCTATTTGGCTGGTTTTTCCTGTCTCCCACATCGTCCGGACGTTCCATGTACCTATAAAGAGTGTTGCTCTGGTTGTTAGAAGGTGCATCGGTCTCGTGACTTCCGAAGAATTTCGGCTTTCATCATGAGACGTCATAATTATTCCTTCAACTCCCAGGGCAGAGTTTAAATGGTTTGAATTATTTTTTCTGGTTAGCGTTTTTTTAGCGAGTTAGCTTTTCTACGGGATGGGGTCGCTAACCCCATGCCCAACCCTCCTCCTTTACCCGGGCTTGGGACCGGCAGTAACTCTAGAAGAGCTACAGGCGGAGTTGATACACATATTGTTTGGAACCAAAGAATTTATGGAATTAAAGCTATTAATTATCTATTAAATGAATTTATGATATGTGTATTGTATAGTAATTTAACTTAAATCAAAGATTTCTCTCTTCCATTTTTTCATTAAAGGGGACAGATAAGTCGTTTCTACGACAATGTCAATATCATCATAAGAATCATTCAAATTTTAAAATGAATAAGATACAAGGAAATAATTCGTTTACTATTGTACATTTCGCTGGTGAAATTGTTTATAGTGTGAGTAAGAATAAAATGGTTGTTATGGCGAGTTCTTTCATTGATCATTTGATTATCAAAGTGTTCTGTTTTTTCGTTTAAATACAGGTTAGATTCGCTTCAAATGAGAGCGATATATCACTAGAAGCTACTTTAAATAAATAATTATGTTGAGTGAAACATGTTTATTAAAAACGGCTTACAATAGAATTTTATAGTAATCTCATCAATTAATTATTGGTTTAAACCGAAACTTGACTGGTTGTACAATGGGTTTTTTAACTTTCCTTAATTTAATCCATTCTTACCCTGCTAACTGTCCGATAAATATTCATATTTGTGAACTTCCTTATTTTTTTAATATTGTGACTATTCCAAAGATTTTATTCAAGAATCAGTACCCGTTAATTAGCTGCTTGATTAATATGTTATATTTCAAACTAGCAAGTACAATTCGATTCATTGATTCAGTTCTCTTGAAGTGTACGATGGTCCTGGAGTAGGTTATGTTGATTCATTATTGCATAAAAGATTTTGGGTTATTTAGGAATTTTGATATGAAACTTCAAAATCGTTTGCTAGTCGATAGTTTATCAATCATTTTCTTTTAATGTGTGCTTATTTAAACCATGAATTGCGAAAATTTAGTTATAGAATTTCCATTTTTTAGTTGACCTTTACTAAAAGTAGCAGGAGAATCAATTGGTAAATGTTCCAGATATTTTTTAAAACAAAAACCAGTGAAAACTTAAAATATCAAGAGTTGTCTTTAAAATTCAATTCTATCAATAAATTTTGTCTCTACTGTTTAATATTATGTCGAATAGTCAAAACTACTGTACTTATTGTTACCAGCAGTGTTTAATTACTAAAAATATAGATTAAAGAGGAATCATAAATCAATAAGGATATGATAAATGTACAAATTTATTATAGGTAAATGGATTTGTTGATAAAAATCGTGAGAAAATTCGTGGTGAACTGCTTGCTTTATTAACTAAAAGTAAAAATTCTGCAGTAGCAACTATGTTTCGTAATGTTCAAGCTCAACGTACTGGTGTCACTGGTACCGGTCCAAAATTGAAAACTTCTTTAGTTTTAACAACAATGAATAATTCACTGCAACAGTTAATGGAGAAAATGCGAATGTAAGTATAGGTGTTCAATTTTCTGTGTGAAGGTAAAGTTATATTTTATTTGTATTTTAAGATTTACTTCTTATTTTTTGCAAAAATTGTTCTATCACACATTATGATTACAACAGGAAAATAAGACCAGATATCATCAAATGCTCCAGACAATTTATTAACCAAATTAAAAGATCTAGGAATCGGATCACTTGTAGTTGTTTTATGTTAATTGACTAATGAAGTGTTTTTATTTAGTAGTACCATTAAAAGATACTGAGAACCATTGTAGTTAATTTAGAAATATGATGACGTTCATTATGGTGTTGGTAAAATAGTCATGAAATGTCTATTGTCTTACATGCATTATTTTCATTATTTTTTGCTGACTATCTGCTATTTATTCAACTATCTGAAACTACTTTGAAAATATTTCACCAAATCTCAAAATCTATTAGTGTTAGTAACAGAGAATTGTGTAGCTGCGTGACTGTTTTGTTGAATCTACAACAAGAAACTAAATAATATTTTTTAAAACTACATATATTCTTTTTCAGGTAATTGCTTATAGAATACAGTTAGCTTACATCTAGAAGGCATTCAGCTTTTAAAGTGTCGAAGGGCATACACTATGCGAATGCGGAAAATTTCTGTGTATCATTTCAAAATGATATATATATATATATATATAACTATCCATTTATAATTAAAGACATTCTTATATTTATTTATTGTTTGTTCGTTCATTCATTGTCTGGTTATTCCCCTTTTTCCTTTAAATCAAATAATTATATTTAGGAATAAGCCAAGTTTTGTACGTTGTATTAAACCAAATATGAAAAAAGAGCCAATGGTATTTGATGATGCTATTGTTATGGATCAATTACGTTACGGGGGTTTACTAGAAACTGTCAGAATAAGAAAGTCTGGTTTCCCTGTTCGCATCAGTTATGAATATTTTATCGAGCGGTACGTATGCTTAAGATATAACATGTAACAGGATCTTGGTTCTCAACGTTTTATACTTTTCAGGATTTTATTATTCTACAGCTTAGGTTCGCATAATAAACGTAAAATTGATTTTTACACACTGGGTTTGTGCTTAGTTTGGTATCTATAGAAGTAATGATGATATTAAGTCACGTATTTTACTTTGTACTGTTTCACATTGCTAACTGTTATGTCTTGCGCACATGTCGACTATAACGTGACATGATTGCCAATCAGAATACTGACCTATTTAACCTTGTTCCTATGCTAAACCAATGACATTTCAACCAGCACTAGCAGTCTTCCATCAACTCTGAATCCTTACTGGTCCTCAAAATAGTAGCTTCCAGCCTAGCTCTACCTGTTGAGTCCAGAACATAGACTCAGCCTCCACTTTATGAATAATATATTTCAGACCGTATTTTATATACAAACAAACCGGACCGCATCACACCGTAAAAAATAACCTTTATACAAAGTCAAGTCAAATGTGGTTATAGGTGTGGGAGATTGTTACCAATAGATTGGGAATAATTTAAGAATAGTAAGTCATATAATAATGGCCAATAGGTCAGCTGAAACCCTATAATAAAAGACATTTAAATATATATACTCTAGTTACTAAAGAGTTATACAATAAGAATATATATATAACAGTTTGTAAGTAATTCTCAGAAGTTACCCATAATTTATTCTTCTTCGAATACAATAAAGAATTTAAATTCATCTAATCAGTGAAGCGTTACTTCATTTTTTGCTATCATGGAATAATATTTAGTTGAAGGTTTCAGCTGAAACATATATTTCACGAATTGTCCTTTCCATTGCTTGTGCCACTTATGATGCGGGATCTATTTTATCCACCTACCAGAAAACTAATACATTGCTAAGAAAATTCAGTGAGTTGTTCTGCAGCTGTGAAATATGACTTGCCACAGCAAAATGTTTCTCGTCGGTATGAGGTGGTGGAGATTGATTAACTTCACTGAAATCATGTTTCGACCTAGTATCATCACTGAAAACCTAGAAGCACTGGACACCCTTTTCGTTCTAGTATGGGACTTTTGTGGATTGCAAGCATATAATCATACACTGAAGTATAAATAGTGTAAGATAGAGTCGTCGAATAGGTATACTTAAGTCAGGAATAAGATTTTAACTCGCTATGGTAACTTGATTTATGAAGATGAGAAACTACATCAGCATAGGTATCTGCAACATTTGTTACCCGTAACTAACTACTTCTTACTCCAACTTGCAACTCAAAATGATATGGACTAGTGCCTGGCCCTACGTTTTATGTGATCAAACGAATAATGTTTATGAGATTTGATGAAATCTATGTTTTATTTTTTTGTCAGTTTTACAACCAAACTGACGCGTTATTTAACGTACAATTAGAAATTGGGTGAATATTATAAATGTGTCAAATTTTTTAGTCATATCCATATATTTTAAAACAGAAACTATCATGGTAGTTTTCTTTTTAGCTAAGTACATAGTCGCAATTGTCAATTGAATACGAAAGAAATACGTTTCTTGTATTTTAACAATTCTATCCTTTACAAATTTAAATGAATAAGGTAATATTCAACAGTGGAAATCCATATGAAAAGCTGTTTACATATTTAACTACTCTCTTTGTTCAGCAAAATATAATACCCTCAGTGATTAAATTATTTATCAACTATAATCGATGTTTTTAATCATTAACTAATAAATATTATTGTTTTGTAAATAGTTAGTTACTTGCTGATCTGCATTGTTCTCTTAATCTTTTTTAATGAAATTTTTTTCTGACACTTTAGTTATTCATTTTTACTTAATTATGAAAAACGTAAACAACTAAAGAATATAGTAGATATTCGTGAATCAACAGCTTGGATATTAATGAATATCAATATTCCTTTTGGTAATCGAACACCCATACAAAAATGTGTTGATTATGAGTTTGGTAAAACTAAATTATTTCTACGAAATCAATTAGCTGTGAATTTGGAATCACTTCGTACAATTAAAGAGTTATGTGCTGCTAGAACTATTCAACGCGCATGGAGACGACGTGATAATGGATTGATTGAAAGAGCACATCGTAATGCAGCTAGAGTTATTCAAGCATGGTATAGAGGATGTATGACAAGGTGAGATATGTATTGCAAATAATAAAAAGTGGTTTCTTATTTCAGAATGTTTAGCTGTAAACACTGGTTAACAATATTGTTTATTTTATAGCGACTATCATTCATGTTCACCGTACTCACCTTTTTTTCAGGTCGTTAGACGACACATATTCAATATTATTTTATCTCATACGGCACTATTTGTTAAGTGCTTGGAAGTATCTCCTGATTCAATATGTTAACATGATTTATATTTACCAATAATACTAGTATAACGTAGTTGTTGGATATAGTATTGATTTATATTATAAAATAACCGTTTTATTATATAATCAGATCTATTGTGCAATATATGGTTCATATACTTACATAAATAATCGGAATTCAATCATTCTTTATTGATGTATTAATTTGTAAATGGAGTACTTTATGATGATTTGATTTACAAGTTTTTTTGTTACTGATGGCAACAACAAACATAACGGCAAATATCAAATAAACTTCATTATTTGACACTAATGGCGTATTATAAATTGTTTATTGTACTAGTCAAGTTGGTGATCAGTAAGAAATTATCATGTCTATTTCATTTCTCCTATAACCGTAAAAAATAGTGTTATAAGATGATGTATTTCATTTACTAAATTGTTTATGATATTCTGTAACTAAGCTACAACAACATTCTAGATTATATGATTCGTATAGTCTCCAGTAGTTAACAATAATGTAAATTACTGTATTACTTATAAAAAATGCAAATTAAAATTTTTAAGGTTACTGTAGAAATTTATTTCTAATATCCTAGTTTCTGTTATTTCAGTAGTTAACTGATGTGAAATAAATGTACAGAATGAGTATCCCAAGATCAGTTTTCACACAAATTGCAAACATTTTGTCCGTATGATGTTGATTTACTTTAACTGGTTGAAATACTTTGTAAGTTGTTTGTTTATTTCTTAGTATTATTAAACCGTATGGGATGCAGTTAATTAGATTTGAATGATCTCATAAAATAGGATAGTTTAAGGAGATTGTGCAATCTGATGTTGTTGCGATGTGCAGATATGATTAACCCTTGACCGTTTTGCGTGTTTATTTTTATGGTTTTATCGCTTATTTGTCAATTGGCAGATGATTGATTAAATATTTTGGATGTATGTTATATGCAAATTTCTTGAAAAATATTTAAACAACTTATTGGTTAATTAGTACCAACCAGAATTTAAGAATCGGTTTGGTGATCAAACCATAAGTTCATGCACATCAGCCACTCCATTATTCTATTAAAATGTATTTAATCATCACAAAAAGATATAACTTCTCATGATAGATTGATATCGTATGTATCAATGCTGAGGTTGGGCTTAATATTTCCAAATAAATTGAGCATTGTTTAGAAGGCTAATAATAAATATATTTTTTGTCATATCTCAGTGAGTAGAAAAATTGTATTTCTGACGTTTCGTGACTTAATGTAAGCCACTTCTTCAGAATCCCGACCGTTGCTGCTACCTTGACGTGGTGGTCGGGCTTGCCTATCGTGATGATCCAATCGAGCTATGCTGGCTGGAACAATCGTTCCTCAAGGTCCTGCCATGCCAGACAGGTCGGTTGAAGAGCGGTGAGACTAAAAGCAGCAATCCCAAGGTCCGAAGGCGAAGTCGTACTGCTGACTGTACAGAGGTGTGAAAGCAGTAAGGTGTTTCCTTCAGACAACCAGCATGACAGCGATGCTGCCTTCCCACAAGGAGGGGTGGGGTTAGAAAAGGTCGACCCTAAAAATGCACACCTCGCCTTATCCCACGGATTTCCGTCTCCGGCGGTAAGGACTTTTGAAGAACGGAGCTAACACGTCAAACATCCCCCACAAAAAGGCCGTGCGTGACCGGCCTCAAGCAGATGTCCCTTGGGCACTGCGGTCACGCTCCCAGGTCGTTCAGACCAACACTAATCCAACTTCCTTTTCAGGTCCCTCAAGAAATACCCTTCCACGGTGTGGGCAGCCGGGAAGTGATACTAGCCCTCATACCCTTAACTGCACACAAGACCAAGTTGGTCGCCTTCAAATCCTTCCTACACCTAATAACTCTGTTATCTCCTCGACTAACCCTTCCCACGTCCTTTTATCACGTCGCACCGCTAGGGCAAACGATTCGAGTACACAGAACGTTATTCCTGGTCTCCTGAAACCACGCTCTAAACTACATGTAGGAACTTTTAATGTCCGAACATTGTGCCAAATAGGACAACAGGCTTCCTTAGCTAGGACTCTAGAATCTTACACCATCGATGTGTGCTACGTCTCCGAAACGCGCATACAAGATCCGAGTAGTGTCATTCATTTGACCGCACCTAATCAAAATAAAGTTTCATCTCGATACACGCTCCGTGTATCTGGAAGCCCTGACGCTGCTTCCCGTGGCCTCGCTGGAGTAGGTATAGCATTAAGTCGTAGGGCAGAACTAGCTCTTTTAGACTGGATCCCAGTAGACAGTCGTCTATGCGCTGTCCGACTACACGGATCAGTAAGGACCCGGAAAGATAGGGAAACTCGTCGTTGCCTCTTCGTCGTCTCCGCCTACTCTCCCACTGACTGCAGCTCAGACGATATAAAAGATGAGTTCTACAGGAAACTTTCTGACCTTCTCCGAGAAGCTAGGCGTTCTGATGTAGTAATAGTAGCAGGTGACTTTAATGCTCAAGTAGGTAAACTAAGTGAAAGGGAAAGACACCTGGGTGGATCTTACGGTGTCATGGCGAAAAGAACAGATAATGGCGACCGTCTGTTGCAGCTGTGCTCAGATAACCGCCTATTTCTTGCAAATACTAACTTTAAGCATAAGGAAAAACATCTTTTGACCTGGCGACCCCCGAATTCGTCCCAACGTTGGACCCAATTAGATCACATCGCTATCAGCCACCGATGAAGGGGCTCGATAGAAGACTGTCGCTCATTCTGGGGCACATGCTTAGATTCAGATCATGCTCTAGTGCGAGGACGTATCTGTCTGCGTCTTACTGGTCGTAGGAAAGACACTGCAGGGAAGCCTCTAAGGGCTCTACTTAATGATAGGCAAGCTAAGAATATATTTCAGGAACAACTAGAAAAGCAGTTGGGCAGCCATGTAAGTTGTGTCCACCCCGAGGCAGCGTGGAATGACATCCGAAAAGCTGTGGAAACAGCAGTGATATCCGCTAATAAGGTAAACCATAACGTTAGGGAGAAACAATGGATCTCGGCAGCATCTATCGCACTGATAGATGCTCGTAAACTCATCCCACCTGGCTCTGAGCATAACGAAGAGCGGAGTCAACTTAAGCGCAGGCTTATAAGAAGTCTACGTAATGATCGTGAACAGTGGTGGGTAGCGAAAGCAAGAGAGATGGAAAAGGCAGCGGCAATAGGTAACAGTAGGCAGCTATTCAGACTCGTTAAAGAAACCGGTATTAGGAACCCGAATATTGGTGAAACCATCTCAGATAAAGATGGGCATATTATTCATTCTCAATCCAGGAGGTTGGATCGATGGGCAGAACACTTTAGGGATCAGTTCAACTGGCCTTCAGCCACACTTCAATTACCCACGATCCCCAGTCGTCCTGAATGTAAAATTGATGTAAGTCCTCCAACCCTCTGTGAGGTTGAAAAAGCTATAGGAAATCTGAAGCGAGGGAGAGCAACAGGCCCTGACAGGTTGACCCCTGAGATTTTTAAGGATGGTGGTCCAGTACTAGCAGTGAGATTGACTGAGGTCTTAGGTAGAATCTGGGAACTGGACGTAATTCCATCTGACTGGTCCCAATCACTGATTGTGCCAGTCTATAAGAAAGGACAAAGTCCTCCTGTGACAATCACAGAGGGATCAGTTTGACTAATATAGTGTCTAAAATATTAGCTTCAATAATACTAGGTCGCCTAACCAAAGCTCGTGACGAGCAGACTAGAGAAAACCAGTCTGGTCTTCGACCTGGACGTGGTTGCATAGACCAGATATTCACCCTACGTCAGGTTCTAGAACATAGACACAAATTCAGACGTCCCACAATAGTAGTATTTCTTGACCTTAAGGCGGCATTTGACTCTGTTGATCGTGAGGTTCTATGGCAATGTTTGTCACTGAAAGGAGTACCAAAGAAGTACATTAACCTCATGAAGGCTCTCTACTCGAGCACAACTGGTCGAGTTAGAGCCTATGGCGAACTGTCATCAGAACTGATTACCACAAGTGGCGTTCGTCAGGGCTGTCCACTCTCCCCATTCTTGTTTAACTTTGTCATTGACATACTTTTAGAGATAGCACTTTCATCAGCTAAACCTCCAGGAGTTGAACTTTTACCGGGAGATTCACTTGTTGACTTAGAATACGCCGACGACATAGTTTTACTCGGTGAAGACACTGACAACATGCAGAGTCTTCTGACCACTATAAGCAACTATGCAGGCATGTTCGGAATGCGATTCTCTCCCTCGAAGTGCAAAATGTTACTTCAGGATTGGGTTGCATCGACACCTGAACTAATGATAGGGAGTGAAGTAGTTGAGCGTGTAGACCACTTCACTTATCTTGGGAGTCTCATCAGCCCTTGTGGTCTGGTATGTGACGAAATCTCAGCACGGATACAGAAGGCTCGTCTAGCTTTCGCCAACTTGCGTCATTTATGGCGTAGGCGAGATATCCGTCTAGCAACAAAAGGACGGGTTTACTGTGCAGCAGTTCGCTCCGTCCTACTTTATGGCAGTGAAAAATGGCCAATAAGAGTAGAGGATATTCGTAGGCTACTAGTGTTCGATCATAGGTGTCTTCGAAGCATTGCTCGTATATCCTGGGACCACCGGGTAAGTAATGCAGTTGTTAGGAAACGAGTACTAGGTAGGGATGGCAAATCGATTGATGAAGTAGTGAAACTTCATCAGTTGAGATGGCTGGGACATGTGTTACGTATGCCCGACCACCGACTGCTCCGACTTGCAATGTTTCATGGTGTAGGAGTAGGTTGGAAGAAAGCTAGGGGTGGCCAGACCAAAACGTGGCACAAATCCATGAAGTCACTGACAAGTGGACTGAGCCATGTTGGTAGGTGTAGACTACCTGGTTGGGATTCGCGAGATGACAGCAACCGATGGTTAGAGACCTTGAATGACATGGCTCAAAATCGTTTGCAATGGCGAAGGTGCATCCACTCTTTGTGTTCTACCAAATTCTAATCTTCTGAATTCCTCATGTCTTTATCTTTTTCTCTTTCCAAATTTATTTCACTGTACTATACTCCTTCAATAATTTCTTCAAACCCTAATCTTTTGGATTTCTGATTATACTCCTACTACTTCTACCACTATGGGATTTGAATCGACAACTGCATCTCTGTGCTAATGTGGTATGGCAACTCGAACTGATGTACGTACGTACGAAGTTCTACGTTGTGACTGACTGACTTCTTCAGAATAAATAAATAACCGGAATAAATTAGCACAAGTTTGGATAGTTTGTTTCCTTTGTACCAGTTAAACTTGTGTCAATTTATTCCGGTTATTTATTTACTCTGAAGAAGTGGCTTACATTAAGTCAGGAAACGTCAGAAATACAATTTTTCTACTCACCGAGATATGACAAAAATATATTTATTATTGGCATCATGTGGTTCATAATTAAAAACTAAGGAGTTATCGACGACCTTTCGCCTTTATTTGGTAAACTCTCTGAAGTATTTGACTTCTTTGTTTATTGTTGAGTGATCCGATACTATATGAAAGAAGCTGTCCAGTACTTTGTCGTTTTCGTTAATACTAGACTGTTGTCTATCCCTTATAATCATATGCGTTTGAGTGGTATAAATGAATTCTTTCCCGCCAACAAATCACCTTAATGTCGTTGATCTATCTTGCTATTGAGGGATGTATATTTTATTTATTTTCTTCTATCTACACTGCTACTTAGGTTAATTTGAAATTACTAAGTTGTGAAAGCAGTTTTTAACTAAACAATTACAAAATCTCAGCGAGTTGTTAAGACTACACTAAATCAACAGTTGATCAAACAAAATAAATTATTGGTAAATAATATGCCTAGTATTATTTAATTTTTTCTCAAGTGGACGAGTCACTGACTACCTTTCCAAACTCAGTTATCACACTTTCACTCGTATAAAATTTGATTCTCTGTGAAAATTAGTACTCAATAAATGGAGAAAAAAATGTATTCATAGTAAATACTTAATACGGATTTTCATTATTTTTAGTTGACTTTTGCTCGAAAGATCGATTTCAATCAATGATCATCCAATTTCTAGATTTAAAAAATTCTTTGGTAGTTTTAAAAACAATCTTTTCTCTTACTCAATAATCGATAAAGCGAATTACAATGGAAACTCATGTTACTGTAGTCGTAGAAATTACATACAGTAAATATGTGTGCACTCCCACACACACATGAGTATGTATCAATTGATCAATAGGCATGAAAATCATAATCATGATGATGTGCAGTAGAGATGTTGGTAAACGTTCTGTTTATATAAAATTTTGGAATGTATCTTCGTGTTTTACTTTACCTGATATTATGAGTAGATGAAAAAGTTTTTATTTACCATCAATATCTTATCTAGGTGAAATCGAAAAAACAACACAAACAGACAAATAGTTTTGCAAACAACATTAGTGTTTAGGTTTAAACAAGAAACGATAACCCATATATATATATATATATATATATATATATATATATATATATATATATATATATATATATATCATTACACAAAGCACCTTAATTGTAAATGATGTATCTATTGTCAGAGCAACTTTAAAGTATTAAAAGATGGTGAAACTTAATGGCAAAGTTAATTTTCAACTTTGGGTCTGTCTTTATAAGTCCACTCTTTTTATGATTCAATACTAACGCGTAAAGAGATTTTCCCGAAGAATATTTGCCTGATCTATCTTTTTCTTGTATATCATAAAAAAAAGAATTTTCTCACTCATTTGTCTCTTTTTCTTTTATAATAGCACAATAAGTATCTTTCGTTACTTGTCTTGTAACATTTGAATACGTTTTGTTCGTTGATATTTTGTCTGAAATTACGCATTCTTCATTTTACAATCATCAAGAATAATTTTACATCATTAGTTCGTCCGTTTTTCCAACATGTTATGTTCTAACTAACCTCCAAAGTCATCGGTGATGATGTTTTTTTAAAAAAATCATTGTGGATCTTGTTCAGTTTTGTTTAGTGTTTTTTAAACAAAATTTGCCATGAAGGATGTGAATTTTTGGTTTCATCTAACGACAAATGGAAAAGATTCGAAAATCTCTACTTTTATCGTTCAATAAAAGCCACTTTAAAAGTATTTTAACGTATTACTAGGACTGATCAGTTACATGATCGTTATAAAAGATTGTAATAAGTTTGAAACAGTTAACAAGTTATCAGAAATCGTGCGACTTGATTTCGACATTTTTGAAATAATCTAAATAACAAGATATGTACTGGACGCTTTCGGTTGCAGCGTCAAATAATAGGTGTTAATTGTTTGTGAGAAGAGACTAATTTTCCAACCTCTTTAAATATTTCTTTGTTAAGTGTTTTTGGTAAGAGTGGTATACTGTTGAGGGCATTTTTATTGATTTCTTCGAAGTATCCATTATAAGTAGAATTATCCCAAGGGAATGCAAAATTAGTGAAACGTTTCTTAATTTATCGACGCATTCATAAATCTGCCTACATCAATTTCAGCATTCAGAGAAAAAATTTATTCTGAACAGGAATTACCTATAAGATTTTAACATTTTGTCACTAATATCTTAATGACTGTAGAAAATGAGAAATACTTTTGGTATTTCTTATGAAATTCTCTCATTCACTTTTATTTTATTAACTCTAATCAATTTTTCTTCATTCTCAAACTTCATTTCCTGTTTTTCTATTTAACGTAATGAACAAGAAAATAAATTACCACTTACCAATTCACATCTCTCTAAGTTACGTGTTGATAGTAGATTTTTGACTTATTACTGATTCTTTAACGTTTTCGTTTTTCACTTCTTTTTCAGACGTCAACACGCTGATATCGTTCATTATTTAGCAAATAGAAGCAAGGTAAATATACTTACTTCACTTTATTTTTATCATGTTTGTTTGAATCTTCCAATTGATTTTTAGGACTGCAATTGATCAGTCTCTTATTGGCGTATGTGTATCCTGTGCGGATTGCCTGAATATTTCTTTAAGTCACAACTATTATAAGCAAAAATGTATGATAGCTAGCATTGAAGATTCAAACAACCAATACAAAAGATGAATTAAACTTCGCCTTATTGCACAAGTTGGTGACTATCTGAAGTCATTAGTTAAGTGGATAACGTGATGGCATATGAGGCGTAAGGTATTGAGTTTGAGTCTTGCAGGTACATCCATTTGACGACTCACGAATAGGACTAAGTGCGTATCCAAGATTTCACTGCTAGTTACCATCCATCTGAACTGTTAATACTTCTTTTACATATTTATAGTTATATGTTACATTTTGTCAGTTAGATAACTAATAAATCTATAGATGACTTTTGTTATTTTCCACTATCACAGTTAATTATTCTTTTAATTTTGAAGAAATGTTGGAAAATTTTCTTTTTAGTATCTTGATTTATAAACTCTCGTTTGTGATGTAACTTATAGATTATAACATGATGAAAGTTTACAGCTTGTGTGATTTATTCTTTCAGAGAAGTGGTTTCCAGTTGCGAGATTCTCCTTGTTCCTAATGATTTTGTTGTTATAATATGAATGTTTTTGGTTTTAAATAAAAACGTTTAGAAGATACTTCTGATTTGAAGGTGGATCAACACGACTCAGTACATCGAATGGTTAATAGATAACGACACTTCAGCGATGATAATCGTACACGAATGAGAAGCGAAAAGACAGAAGTTTTCACAAACGTACCATACCTCAAGAATAGGCATTGGGATAAATAAACATCAAAATGTTATGGTGTTGTATAACACAATGTAGCAAACAAAAATTTCTGTTACGTGATAGTTCCTTGATTACAAAGGTCTTAATAAATCAAGATGTGAAAGGTTCTAGTCGTAACTTTTATTGTTTCAAGTTCATAAGCTATCAAAATACTGATTTCAGTCAAAGCTAACAGACCAGAATAGCAATGAATTTTTTAAACTTAAACAGTTCCACTTAGTGAATACAGTACTACCAAGAGACCATATTTATTATAGATTTATGACTTTAATTTATTTTATAGAGTGATTTGGTGGTTGGCTAAATGATTCTCTTTTCTTATTTTACATAAAATTCTGATTTGAGTAAATTATGTAACGAGATATTCAGTGATTATGTTGTAATATCTATGATATGTTGAAGAAATAATAAACTGTGAAGAATAGATGGGTATTAACGATATCATTGAGTTTAATAAACTATTTATTCATTATTTTTCATCCAGCACTATTTTGACTGAATATAATACCTAGTAAAGTCAAATTATTTAAGCAGAGATGCCAAAGTAGATTTACTGACTAAATAGTTTTAATTCGAGCAAGAAGTCGAATTTTTAAAACCTAACTAATCTTTGCCCAAAAAAGGTTTAGATAAGTAATTTATGTACAGCCGAAGCTATAACAATTCACCATTTCAAACCTGAACTAATCCTAATCACTGTTATTTAATTGCTATTCGTAGTCCATTGAAGATGCTTACGATATGTTATTTTTTAAATGTTCTTAATCGTAGGAACAACAAATCGGTGCACTGAAGGAAGTAAGTTTATCACTTATAAATTTTTCAACTTCATATTTTTTATGATAATAGCTATTTAGCACAAGTTCTACCGAAATTTTTAGACATTTTCTATACTCTTTCATTAATTATGGTCATAATGGTAGACAGACAGATTTGATTTCTCGAGTCATTTATCCCTAGTAATACTCATATAATCTTCATAATAACCATTATTTGTACATTGTATTATAAAAGTTTACCTTAAATATATATTTATCTTCTATGCGTTCCTATGAAAATTGCTAGTGCAAGGTTTTTAGACATGAAATACCATTATTTTGTGATAAGTGCCTATATCGATCTCTTAGATCATGAGAATCCTCCACCTCATTATTTAACCCAAAATTATATATGATTGCTCTTCTAGGATTGATGAGACTTTAATTTTCATCCAGCTCTCAAAAACACAATCCTTAATTAACAAAATTTCAATATTTACTAATGTTATCATATTTCTTGCTATCTAAACTTCTTCATAGCTATCTGATATGGATGTGCTGAAAAATTCACTGCTCTTAATTTTCACTTTTATTAAGATGAGAGAGGTAAAATGTTACAAAGATAACACAGAAAGCGAATAAGGTTTAGTAAAGAGCTTTGTATATACGAAGTGACTGCATCTGGAGTACCATTAAAAAGTTGGGAGCAATAAGCAACTGTTTATTCTCAATATGGAACTCCTCAACGGTGCAGACTCATGGTCCTGACAAAAGTTGAGCCTATCACTAACTCCTTACTTTCTAATTTCACTTCTTTCTTCAGAATTGTAGTTATCATGTTTAAACGTCTGTCGGATGTGAAATTAATTTCTCTCTTTTCCTTATCATCTATCTAATTACTTTTCTCATACCGATTTATGACTTGTCAAAGTTAGATTAATACAGATTCGTACCAGGTCCTAATAGCTGGTGTTTATAATTTACAATAATGTAAATAAGAATGACATTTTTCAAATTTTATCATTACCCTTCAATCAATTAATTTTTTATAGGATCATTCGGAAATTGAAAAACCTGTTGAATCCTTAAGTGAATCTGAAATAGAATGTTTAGAAGTCCCAAGTGATTTGGCTTATATCCTACAACATCGTAAAATATGTAAGTTATCTGTTTCGCTTGTTTTTCATATTATTTCATTATTAATCCGTATGTATTGTGTTTCATATTACTGATGTGATTATGCTATCTACCGCAATAATACTTTCAGTGAAAGTAGTCAATATGCATGCATACAATATTAACTTGATATTTCATAAGCTATTTCAAATGGAATTTGTTTATCAATAAAGTTTGATATGCGGTAGTGTTTATGAATAATAAATCTAATGGTTTCCATAAAAAATGACTAAAAGACTAATGAAATGAAAAAGTTGCCAAACATAACAGTACTAAATTGAATAACATATAGCAAGGGTGGTAGTTGAATGAAATTGTGAATATAGTATGCAAAAAAAGAATAAAAATAAATCTAGTAATAAGCTGCTAAAAGTTGTTTTAGAGAGTTCATTACGTTTTGATGTTGTGATCTACTCTATAAATCACCGTAATGTTACTTTGACGATTTTTTAAATAATGAGGAACAATTAAGTTCTCAATAATGAAGCTGTGTGATCTCTTATTTACTCCTCTACGTAACGTATTCACAAACTTGTTTATCTACAAAGTTATTCGTTGGTATATATGAAATTTTTTATTCGTAATTTGACATGATGTTCTTACAAACAATAAGGTTTTAGATAGCTTCTTTTGACAATATTTAATATCAATCAAATTAATGGTCATACCTAATATTTTATGTTTAATTGTTAAGTTAGATTCATTCCAGTTTTGTAGTGGCTCAGCTTCGTTAGTCGATCACCTTGATAACTGTTACTATATAAATCCCAACAGTGTTTGAAATCAGAAGGCAATGAGAAGCGGCGATTACAGTTTATTGGCGGCACGTACAACAAAGTTATAAGCACATAGAGCGAATTTAATGCAGAGAGGCGAGTGTGTGTATGCTAGCAAATGCAGAAGCAAATTTATAGTCAAATCGAATAAGGGGTAGCCAGGCAAGGTAAAGGTTAATAATAGGATTCGAGTACATATACCATGGCGAAGAAAAGGATTCATCGAAGGGTATTTAAGCGATCAACATCTTAGCTATAGTCGGTCATGTGATCAAACGTACACGTTTATACAGATATGGTAGTGATCATAGTAGTAAAAAGAAATATACGGATTGTTACTGTTCGAACATCATTGTATGTTAAGTAAATAAAAAGGCTTAGCCAAAGCTAACTAATAATCGAAATTGATTGTAAGAGAGTTGCTATAGTTTCCCATCATAACAGATCATCATTATTATTAGTTATTTTGCATTAAGATCATCAAGCGATCAGTGTTAGACCACCACTGAAAACCTGGAAGCATTTGACCGCCATTTCATCCTATTATGGGTCTCATCAGTGCTCATCCACGATCCCGCATGTAGGACTCGGACCCAGGATCTTCGGTCTCGCGCGCGAACGCTTAACCTCCGTAAAAAAACTAACAAAATTTAAATATTATTTATTTTTTTGTAGCACATGTATCTGTGCTCTGTTTTTTAGCTTATCAAATGAACTCACTTACATTTAACACTATAGTAATAGAAATTAGTCGTTTCACAAATGTTATTCAATTAGTCATAAATATTTTTAAACTTGGCATTTATGTGGATCAATCCATGCCACTACACTGTAATAACACCTTATGAGAAAATTAACAAGATAATATAGCAAAGAAGTTGAAAGAGTTGGAGGTTCTAAGAGATACCGAGAAATTCCAAACATGTAATGTGCTGTTCGACAATAAATTTTGAATTCGAGGATGGGGAATATTAAGTATTGTTGATATACAAGATGAATCCTTTTGTTACATTGTAACCGATTTCGATCTCTTTCAAATAAAGTTTTCAACCATTTTTCACAACATTTGTATAGATTCCAAACACATAGTCTTTACTATTCTACGTGATTTAGAGGCATCGTCTATGGCGATATGAACTTATAAGGTCTTAATTTGGCCTAGTCAAAGCGTCGGGCATTAAAACGTCAGTTGTTATTAAGACTGGCTGAACAAGACAACATTTTGATCCACTCTCATGAGGAGTACATAAACAGAATAAGTTTTATAGCAGTCTGTCGATTGAACCTGTTCCCGATTAAATGAACGTTACTATTAGCAATTATGTCATCAGGAAACTAAACTTATCTTGACGAGAAAGCATAGCCTGAATTTATTGTCAGCTGTTTCTCGTAATTCACTTATTCTACGCCTAAATCTATTTTTTAACAATTTCATAATTCAGATATTTATGTTTAAATCGTTTGCATAAAAATATCACTTATAATCTAGCACAAGAATGTTGGCTTCGTAATCATAAGGTAATTAAACCTTCCGGGAGTATACGTCGTTTTGCACCGAACTATGTTTCAACTTCTTGGCAGAAATATGGTAGACCGTTATGGCATGCTGCACCTATTTCACACTTGTTACAAACATCTACTTCAACGGTAAGTTGCGGATTGTAATTTTTTAATCTCAAGCATTGAGTAATTTCAAAAACTTTTCTAGCTATCTAGTATATTTGAATGTATAATTCATTATTATGAGAAAACGTTATATTCTTACACTTTAGATATCCATCTAATGCATGAAAACTATAGACAAAACAAATTTATGCTAATTGTATCTAATTATTTCTGTTTTGCATACAATGTGAACTCAGTTTAAGCATGTGAACTTTAGTTCGTTTTCTCAATATCTGTTGTGCTAGGTTGTGTGTTGATTGCAAAATATTAGCCAACTAATTATTATCTTTATCATCTAGAATATGTATAAATACCAAACCTACTGATATGGTAGAAATTTTACTGTGCATATAGCGCATACTTCATCAAACTACCGAGTGTTTGACATTTCCTAACTGTTGCTGTTAACTTGACGTGGTGGTCGGGCTTGCCTATCGTAATGAACCAGTTGAGCTATACTGGCTGGAACAATCGTTTCTCAATGTCCTACTATACCAGGCAGGTCGATTAAAGAGCGGTAAGACTAAAAGCAGCAAACCCAATGTCCAAAGGAGAAGTCGGACGGCTTACTGTACAAAGGTGTGACGGCAGTAAGATGTTTTCTTCAGACAACCAGCATAACAGCGATTCTGCCTTCCTACAAGGAGAATTGAGGTTAGAAAAGGTCGACCCTAAAGATGCACACCTCGCCTTATCCCACGGATATCCGTCTCCATCGGTAAGGTCCCAACAAGTACGGAGCTAACACAAAAATTACTCACAAAAAGGTCGTGTGTAACCGGCCTCAAGCAGTTGTCCCTTGGGGACTGCGGTCACGCTCTCATGTCACTAAGACCACTTCTAATCCAATTTTCTCTTCAGTCTTTTCAAGAAGAACATATAAATATTGGTACAAGGGGACACCAGATATATATGCATCACAGAAATTTAATTTCATTTGTGAGGGAGATATGATAACGCCCGGGTGCCCAAACCAAAGCAGGTGGTCTTCTTAAGGTGCCACATCCGGAACCTTTGACCTGAAGATCCGATCCACAAGCCAGTGGAGCGTCGTGAGGAGATGCAGTCCCATGGTAGCCATTTGTTCTCTCAGGATACTGCAGCCCATGTTCACCATTGGTGGACGCTGCGTGGCCACCAACCCGAGTAAAGCGCCGGACATTGGGTCTACGTCCTCTCAATTTTGTAAACAACACCCCTGCCTCAAGAAGGCAGTGAGTAGGACTTCCGTAGCAGAGGCTATATGCACATGACCACGTGAGGGCATTTCGAGAGGGAGAGCGGACTCTCCTCACTCTTGGCCGTATCAGGGCATTTGGGGGCACTGGGAAGTGATATCTGCCCCCATACCTCTAACAGCACTCAAGATCACTGTATTCATAATCAATCTCCTCCTTCAGTTTCTATTATTCCTCCTACCTCGACTTACAACACTAAACTTCCTATTTCGGCTTCTTCCTCAAATGTCACCATAAAACAATTCTAGTGAGCAAAACACTGTCCCAGGTCTACTGAAACTTCGCTTCAAACTACACATTGTAGCCTTCAACGTACACATATTATGTCAAATCGGTCAACAAGCCTCCTTGGTTAAGACCCTAGAATCTCGTACGATTGATGTATGCTGTGTCTCTGAAACACGCATACAGGATCCTAGTGTGATCATTCACTTGACCTCATCACTCGCCAAAATGGATAGCCAACGAAATACACCCTCCGTGTATCTGGCGACCCGATGGATAATCCTCGTGGACTTGCAGGTGTAGGCATAGAACTTAGAACGAGAGCAGAACAAGCACTATTAGAATGGATCCCCGTTAACAGCCACCTGTGTGCTGTCCGGCTAAATGGCTCCGTAAGAAGTTGGAAGTTGCCTTTTCGTCGTTTCTGTCCACGCTCCCACTGACTGCAGCTCGAATGAAGTGAAAGATGACTTTTACAGAAAGCTCTCTGAACTTCTTCATCAAGCTAAACGCTCAGACATAGTACTTGTAGCAGGCGACTTTAATACCCAGTTATGTAGCTTAAACTACACAGAAAGACATTTAAGTGGGTATTTTAGTATTCCGGCTCAGTGAACAGATAATGGTGACTGTCTGCTGCAATTGTGCTCATACAATCGTTTATTTTTAGCAAGCACTAATTTTAAGCATAAGGAGAGACATCGTCTAAGATGGCGACCTCCTGCACCAAACCAACGACGGACTCAAATAGACCATATTGTCATCAGTCATCGTTGGAGAGGCTCGATAGAAGTCTGTGGCTCGTTCTGGAATACATGTTTGCACTCTGATCATGCTCTAATACGAGCACGCATTTGTTTGCGCCTCACTGAACGCAGAAAAGCTGCATCAAGAAGACCCATTAAAGTTGAACTCAATAACAAGAAATCCAAAAGTGGATTCCAGGAAGAACTGAGATCATTTTTGGGCGATTCTGAAAACGAGGCTGATCCAGATGTTGCTTGGAAACATATACAAACAGCTGTAGAAACAGCGGTGACATCTTTTAGTAATTTAAACCAAAGGAAGACGAAGATTATCAGAGCTATGTTAAAAGTTCAGTTTCACGTGTTCCGATACAATTTTACATTTAAGGTTGACATAGTTCTGATAATCTTCGTCTTATTACATTATCGAAATGAAAGCAAACGGTTCCAAAAAACCAGTGGATTTCCTCTAAGTCTATTGCATGTATGGATTCTCGTAAACTCATCTCATCAGGCTCTGAGCACGATGAAGAGCGAAAACAAATCAGATCTAGGTTAACCAAAAGTCTACGGAACGATCGTGAGCAGTGGTGGGCAACGAAAACGTTAGAAATGGAAAAGTCAGCGACTGTAGACAACACCAGGCAACTCTCCAGACTAATAAAAGTAACCGGGATTAAGAAGCTAATTGTAAGTGAGACAATCTCGGAAAATGAAGAAACCATTATCTGCTCTTAGCCCAGACCTTTGGAACGATGGACAGAACACTTTAAAGAACAGCTTAGCTGACCTTCAGCTACTGTACAACAACCCACTATTCCCAAACTGTCTGAGTGGAACGTTGGAGTAGGTCTTCCGACCCTAGCTGGAGTTCAAAAGGTTATAGCTAATATGAAACGAAGAAGGGCAGTTGGTCCAGATGGGTTGACACCAGAGATCTTCAAGTATGGTGGTCCAGTTTCAGTGATTGGGTTGACTAATATTTTAGCGAAAATCTGGGAATTGGATGTAATTCCATCTAACTGGTCGCAATCACTGATTGTCCCAATATATAAGAAGGGGCCAAAATCATCCTGTGATAACCATAGAGGGGTTAGTTTGACTAATATAACATCTAAAATACTAGCCTCAATAATTATTGGGCACCTGACAGAATAGTGAACTGTATAGACCACATATTCATCATTCCTCAGGTTTTAGAACACAGGCATGCTTATGGGTGTCAGACAATGATAGTTTTTCTTGACTTAAAAGCATCATTTGAATCTGTGGACCGAAAGATTGTCTGGCAGTGTCTGTCATTGAATTAACTGGAAATGAGAAGACGGGAACGTTTTTGTATTTTCTTTTTACGATATCAATCATTACATAGCAATGATTTAATGTTAGCTTTATTGTAGATTGATTTAAAGAAGTAACACATTTTTAGTAATAAAGGAGTTCGAGCTATTTACAATTGGCTAACCTAAGCCCGTTATCTATCTCGAGTCGCAGATAACTGGCCAATCATTTACAAACAACTCTGTCCTGGGCTCTCTTCAATAGTTGTTCCCAGATGCCATTCATTCCCTTGATTTTTACCTCCAGTGTCCGTCCCAATGCGTCTTTTGTCTGCCCCTTCTCGTCTTGCCCTGAGAATTGCAAGTTGGGGCTTTCTTTGTAGTGCAGTCTGATGAATTCCAAAAAGTGTGTAACCTTTGTACTTTCAGCCTGTTTTTTTCTTTGAATGATGTTTTGATGATTTCAGATCAATGAGATTCCCATTCTACAAGTACTTTTTGTGCTCTCTTGAACAGCATTAGTGCAACTCCTTGTGTGTGTAGGGAATTTTCTTCACGATTAAAATACAAAAGCACTTCCGCCGAAACTGTTCTTTTGTTTTCAGATTGTATGCAATCGGTTTCTCATATTCTTATCACCGTCGAGTTGTAATTTTTCGTTTCCACCGCTATTGGAATGATTATTCCACTCTCCTTCGTCGTTTGGACATTCCACGTACCTATATTAGGCGTTACTGTGGTTGTCTTAAGCACCATCAACCTTGTGGCTTCCCAAGAAACCTGGGGTTTAACTATGAGCCATCATAATTCTACTTGAATACCCTTCAGCTCCCAGGGCAGGGTGTAGGTGGATTATTTGGTTCACCGTGGTTATCATTTCCGTAGTAAGGTTTTTTACAGGCTGGGTCTGCTGACCCTATACTAGACACTTTTCCTCCACCTATGCTTGTGATCGCGCGTAACCTTAGCACGTCTTCAAGTAGAATTATCTTCAACTTGGGGGTTTTGAACTAATTATTTCTTTTTGTTTATTAGTATAAGTTATATTCTTAATTACCACGACATAACTCTCTTTATAGGTGACCTACTTAGAGGACATATATTTTAACAGGAGCCCATCAATAGTATTGCTTACCATAAAAAATGGAAAATTACAAACCCTTAGTGATGCTTTCAGTCTTTCTGTACAAGATTTTACTTCAGGTTTTCACACTCAAATTCTCATGCAAAGTATGGTAATATTCCCGCATTGAAATACTTTTTTACACTACGAAAATGCTATAAGTTTAGTCACAGACTTTTTAATACCCCTTTTGTTTCTTTCATCACTTCTATATAGTTGCAGCTTGGCTATCGTGTTGCACCACGTGAAAGACCAATATTCTTGACTCGACCAACTGAGAAATTGGCTGCAGCTTGTGTAGCTGCTTCAAAACTTGTAAGTTGAATAATAAATAGAGATTTTATTGATCATTAACAATGTTCGTTTCTTTCCAATATACCAAGTTAATTACTACGGCTTTTCGGGTATCAGCACTTTTTAAATGCTGATTGCTCTTCTTTATATAAGTAGGAATTGGACTAACTAATTTAACAATATGTATCTTGTCTACACTATAGTGTATCTTTCTGCGTAAATTTTTAAATGTAGCATCACTTGTAATGGACATTTCGATCCCGTCGTGGCGAAACAGTAGGGTTTCTAGATTCTCTTCTTACGAAGATACCAGAGAGAACTCGAAGAAGTAAGTTAAACAGGAAAGTACTAAGACAGAACAATATACAAACTCTCATAGTTTCGTTTCTCCTTAAAAAACTCTGGCAATAACTTCATTAGAAATAATGATCATATGCTTTTCAGATAGGGTTGTAGGAAGAATGCACTGCATAATACTCTAAACGAAAATGGGTACCACTCAGTCAAGTCAATAAACGACCACTTACTTATGAAAGTAAGAAAAGGGAATTTCAGACAGTAAATAGAAATGGCTGCTTTTGCATTTACTATTCAGAAGTTATGAATCCAGTGAAATGTTAATGCTTATGTCGCGTTGGACAATTTAAAGAACGCCCAGTGCGGGGAAACTACAGTTGGGGTTTTTTACGCGTCCGAAGACGATACCAAAAGTCATGGATAAATCGGCTTAATGAACTACCTCTTTTTGTACCTATGAAATCAGCTGTTCATGTAGATTAAGTTACAAAGTAAAATGTTCCAGTGGATGTATTTTTCGCTAGTCGCGATGATCTTTGAACATGGCTTTGCAAAGGAATCATTGAAATAGTCAGTGGTTAGATACTCGTCCTTCTAATGAGTGCAGGTCATAATGCTAGGAGAGATCGTTTTCCAAAGTCTATTTGGTTGGTGATTTCCTCTTAAAATCTGTCAAATTTAGAGTCTTCCAAAAGGGAGAAAATCAAATCCTATAGGCTGAAAAAACCGGCGCTGTGAACAAATTTGTTTCTAAGTCAATATTCAGCTCATTTATAAGATGACTTAATATAACTAATGTACATCTTACAATTTCATTACGAATCGATCTCAGCCAGTCGGAGATCTATTGAGGAATCAAATTATCATCGGTACCAGGAAACGTTTTTAACGGAGTGTTGCTGAACCGGACGGAAAATTCAGTACACACCCAACGTCAATATCAACAAGCTGAATTCCATAAGGACCAAATCACGACACTAAGGATCAACGTTGAACAATCAATTGAATGGAACTCGTCACTACATATAAACTTCCTTGAGCATGAGAAAGCATTTGACAGTGTGACTGCTTACTCTCCCTCTTCCTCTTTCTTCTGATGGTTGACTGGATTATGAAGACCTCCACATCTGAGGAGTAACACAGAATACAAAGAATAGCTTGGGTGTAACTAAATAATTTGAACTTCTCAGATGACCTGACCCTTCTAGATGGTCAACAGCACCATCGATGAACAAGGAGAGTCTGACGTAGACGTAAATGCAACGATCGGTAAAGCAAGGGCAGCATTTCTACAGTTGCGGAACTTACGGAACTCAAAACAACTGTCAACCAATATCACAGTCAGGATGTTCAATACGAACGTCAAGATAGTTCTACTTTACGGAGCTAAAACTGGGAGAACTACCACAACCATCATCATAAAGTACAAGTATTGATAGACATTTGTCTACCAAGACACTCAATGTCCGTTGGTCGAATACCATCAGCAACAGCCTACTGTGGAAAGAAACAAACCAACTTCCAGCTGAGGGAATTAGAAAAAAATGATAGGAGTGGATATCACATACATTACGGAAATCATCAAGCTGCATTATGAGGCAAGATGTAACTTGGAATCGGAAGCAGACATAGAAAGGATGAATAGCAACTGGAAGCAGCTGGAAAGAATTGTTTAGAACAGCGTTCGATGAGGAATGCTGATGGGTGGCCCAAGCTCCACCCCGAGGCTTAACATGCGTAAGTCATTAAGCAAGTAAGGTAATTGTCTACGAAACATTTAATCTGATATGTAGTTGCATCATTATTTCCCCAGTCAATCCTAATTAATAATATCATGTTTTGATGTGTGGGCGAGTATGGTAATGATTGTTTGTCTGCTTAGTCAGACATGTAGATATTCTGACAGGTGTCAGATGGGTTATATATTCCCCTATCCTTACTATTTATCATTGATTGTCCATTTGTTGTTGGATTGTGTCGTCTTTGGCGTGGACATGTATTTACGTTCTAGTCAGGCTTATCACGTGTTCTTGGTTTGAGTTGCGTTGAAGTCCTATAGAGTAGACACTGGGAGGGAATCTAGTGTAGATATTCGTCTAAGGTAAACTAACGTCCCATTAGTGTAACAGGGGAACGGACCGTTATAACATGTTTTCATCTGACTTATAACCCTGTTCAAGTCATTGTCAGGCACTAGTCATTTCAACACTGTTAATGTTAATTTACCCTACAAAACGTCAATGCTTACTATGCATTCAATTTGGCTATCAATTTATAACATTAAAATATACTTATCCCTATAAAATCTCATAACAATTCGTTGAAACGAATGTCGTGGGTTCAGGTCACGTATCTTTATTTTAATAAAGTAATAGGTCCATTTAAATATTAAGAAAATAGGAACAGTTTTCTTCCCGATTGTTTACTTATATGAGTTGCGCAAATACAAGTTATAGATTATTTCAGTTTTAAAATTTGTAACACGAGTTTCATTAATTAGATCAATGATCACAACAAGTCGAACAACAACTTATATTTGATAGGGTTTTGACATTTTCAACCATAAAGAAATATTTTCATAAGGGCATGACGTTTTTTTATAATTATTATTGTGGTCTGAAATATAACCTGAGTCATACATTATGTAACACGCTTTTAATATATATAATAAAACAGTGAAAAACACTTTGCAATGTAATGGCTACATCTTCCTTTTTCTTCAAATCGAGATAAACTAAATATCTAGGTTACATACATACATTTCTAAAGCAATTTCCATAATTTATTTGTTTAAATTTGTGTATACTCGTGTATGTTTTTCTTTTTTGCATTTTCAGATTCTAAGGCTACTATTTTTGCCTGAGATTTCACTGTATGAACAATTTCTAGTTGGAAGTTTTTTATATCAACTGGTTAGTAAAACATGTATATGTTTACGTTGGTTTTGGTTTTTTTTACGATTACCTCTACCCACAGAGTATACATCCGCATACTGATGTAATTCCAGCATACATTTCATTTAAAATCACTATGCACCTGATATGAAAACATTTTTGCATAATTATATATATATATATATATATATATATATATATATATATATATATATATATTTGATGGACTATTCAAGACAACATAAACAATTTATTGATCTACATGTGAAATCAATAAAAAAAACAATGTACTTAGATAACTATTTCTAGGAGCGAGTTCATGTGAATATAGCTTTAATAACACCAATCGACGTTAAAATGTTTGGTGGTGTATGGGTGAAAGTTCAACCTAAGACGTGCGTTTTGTCTTATTTAAGACTTTAGGGGAAATACCGAACTGAGCTACAGTTTTTGAGCAGTGAGATTAACTTACTTACTTACGCCTGTTACTCCCAACGGAGCATAGGCCGCCGACCAGCTTTCTCCAACCCACTCTATCCTGGGCCTTCTTTTCTAGTTCTATCCATTTTTTGTTCATTCTTCTCATGTCTGTCTCCATTTCTCGGCGTAATGTGTTCTTTGGTCTTCCTCTTCTCCGTTGACCTTCAGGATTCCATGTGAGGGCTTGTCTTGTGACGCAATTAGCTGATTTATTCAAGGTGTGCCCAATCCACTTCCAGCGCTTCTTCCTGATTTCTTCCTCTGCTGGTATCTGGTTTGTTCTCTCCCACAGTAACTTATTGCTGATAGTGTCTGGCCATCGGATCCGAAGTATTTTGCGTAGACAGCTGTTGATGAACACTTGTATCTTCTGGATAATGGCTTTCGTATTTCTCCACGTCTCCGCCCCATACAGTAGAACTGTCTTGACATTTGTTTTGAAAATTCTAACCTTGGTGTTGGTTGACAATTGTTTTGAGTTCCAGATGTTTTTCAGTTGTAAATATGCTGCTCTTGCTTTGCCGAACCGCGCCCTCACATCTGCATCTGATCCACCGTGTTCATCAATGATGCTGCCCAGATTGTAAAGGTTTCCACATCCTCCAAAGCTTCTCCATCAAGTGTAATTTGATTGGTGCATATTGTATTTTATCGGAGAGTCTTGCTTTTCTCTTTGTTTATATTGAGACCTACTGCTGCTGAGGCTGCTGCTACACTGGTCGTTTTCTCCTGCAATTGTTGTTGCGTTTGTGATAGAAGAGCCAGATCTTCCGCGAAGTCTAGATCGTCCAGCTGCATCCTTCCTGTCCGCTGTATCCCGTGATTTCCTCCAGATGTTGACGTCTCCATGATCCAGTCGATCACCAGGAGAAAGAGAAAGGGTGAGAGTAAGCAACCTTGCCTAACACTGGTCTTTACCTCGAACGAGTCGGAGAGTTGTCCTCCGTGAACGATTTGGCAGTTTAGTCCATCATAGGAGTTCCGTATGATATTGACTATCTTCTCAGGCACGCCGTAGTATCAAAGAAGCCTCCATAGTTTCGTCCTGTCCACGCTATCAAGTGCCTTCTCGTAGTCGATGAAGTTGATGTAGAGTGATGAATTCCATTCGATTGATTGTTCCACAATGATACGTAGAGTTGCGATTAGATCTGTGCACGATCTATCCTTACGAAATCCAGCTTGTTGATCTCGAAGTTGGGCGTCCACTGAATCCTTCATCCTGTTTAACAATACTCTGTTGAAGACTTTTCCTGGTATTGAGAGAAGAGTGATGCCTCTGTAGTTATCGCACTTGCTGAGATCGCCTTTCTTTGATATCTTGATCAGGTGTCTTTCTTTCCAATCTGTTGGTACTTGTTCTCCATACCAAATCTTCCTGAAGAGGATGTGGAGTATCTTGGCAGTTGTTGCTACATTTGCTTGCAGTGCCTCTGCCGGGATGTTGTCTGGTCCCGCTGCTTTGCCGCTCTTGATTTGCCTAATGGCCATGCTGATCTCTTCAATTGTTTGTGGGCCAACATCGATTGGGAGGTCTGTGGGTGCTGCTTCGATGTTGGGTGGGTTCAGTGGAGCTGGTTGATTCAAGAGTTCTTTGAAGTGTTCTACCCACCTGTTTCATTGTTCTTCAGTGTCGGTGATTACTTTACCTTCCTTGCTTTTCACTGGTCTTTCTGGCTTACGGTAATTTCCAGCACGTTTCTTTGTCGTATCATACAGTTGTCTCATGTTTCCTTCTCTTGCAGCCTTTTCTGCTGTCATTGTTAAATCTTTCACATATTTACATTTGTCGGTTCTGATGCTCCTCTTCACTTGCTTGTTTGCCTCTGTGTATTCGGCTTGTGCCTTGGCTTTTTCCGCTCTGGTTCGGCTGATATTGATTGCTGCCTTCTTGTTCCTTCTTTCTTAAATTTTATCCAGTGTACCAACAGTGATCCATTCCTTGTGATGGTGCTTCTTTTGGCCCAGAACCTCTTGACACATTGAAACGATTGCCTCCTTCATACCTTTCCAGTTGCTCTCCATGGTAGTTCCCTGTCCATTGAGTAGATCATGAAAGGCCTGGAACCTGTTGCTGAGGGCTATGTTGAATTTGTTGAGTTTGTCAGCATCTCGAAGAAAGGCCGTGTTAAACTTTTGTGATGTTGTCCTCACCGTTGTCCACTGCTTCTTGAGTTTTAGTTTCATCTTGGCGACCAGCAAATGATGATCGGATGCTATATCAGCTCCTCTTCTGGTTCTCGCATCCTCCATCGTCCTCCTGAACTTTTTGTTGATGCAGATATGGTCGATTTGATTCTGTGTAGTGTGATCCGGTGAAATCCAAGTGGCTTTGTGTATGTTTTTGTGTGAGAATATGGTGCCACCTATGACCAGTTTATTGAAGGCACATAGGTTTGCAAATCTCTCACCATTTTCGTTCCTTTCTCCCAGTCCATGTTGTCCCATGACGTCTTCGTATCCAGTGTTGTCCTTTCCAACCTTAGCATTGAGATCTCCCATCAGAATGGTCAGGTCCTTGGTTGGGCACTTCTCGAAGATCGACTGCAGCCTATCGTAGAATTGGTCTTTAGTGTCTTCATCGTAGTCGTTGGTAGGCGCATAGCACTGGATGACGTTCATTGTAATGCCCTCTCTCTTTGTTTTGAAGGAGGCTTTGATGATCCTGGGTCCATGAGATTCCCATCCAATAAGTGCATTTTGTGCTTTTCTAGACAGCATCAATGCAACTCCTTGTGTATGTAGGGCATTTTCTTCTTCATGACCGGAGTATAACAGAAGTTCTCCTGAAGACAGTCGTTGTTGTCCAACCTGCGTCCAATGTGTTTCACTGATTCCAAGCACTTCCAGGTTGTATTTTCTCATTTCTGCATCAATTTGGAAGACTTTTCCGGTCTCCCACATTGTTCGGACATTCCATGTACCTATAAAAATTGTCGCTCTGGTTGTTCGAAGGTGCATCGGCCTCATGACTTCCGAAGGAACTCGGCTTTCATCATGAGACGTCATAATTATTCCTTCTACTCCCAGGGCAGAATTTAAATGGTTTGAATGATTTTTTCTGGTTAGCGTTTTTTTAGCGAGTTAGCTTTCCTACGGGATGGGGTCGCTAACCCCATGCCCAACCCTACTCCTTTACCCGGGCTTGGGACCGGCAGTAACCCCCAGAGGAGCTACAGGCGGAGTTCAGTGAAATTAAACAACTCCTTAATGTCACTGTGTTTATGTGGTTTTAGTACATATGTTATGTTCAGAAGAGGTTTTGTGAAGATTTTAGTAAGCACTGGACGGCTTCCAGGTTTTCCATGGTGGTCTAGCTTCAATTGACTCATGATCTCAACTCTATACATATGTTATGTATATATTCTGATATACCGTTTAATATTTCCTAAAGGTAATCAGGAATCACAGTTTTTGGTCTAATTCCTGGGAATATTTTTATTGCACACTTGCTATTGACTTATCATCATCAGACATAATATCAGTAATGAAAGTTATTATGATTGGTAATATGATCGGCTTTATTCAGATAATTGTTTCGTTTACTATGACGTTCATATACTTTGAAAAATCACACCAAAATGTTTCATGTAGTAAATGTTCCTATGACCTTATATTTCCTGTTATTTTAGATCGGCCTAGTTATTTATTTATATGGTTTAACAATAATTAATTTTATCGATTGTTACTAACTTTTCACTCATTATGCACTTACCTAACTACTTGCTCATTACATTAATTCTCTTATCAGTATAAACTATAAATGTATTTAGTGGAAACACATAATTTGTGTCAAATCTATTTGTTTAATTAATCGAAAGCATTTTATTGAAAACAAATTTTCCTATTAAAACCATACCTTTAAAATAAATATGAAGAGTAATATTTATATTAAATTATTCAACAAAAGAAGAGAATTGCAAACATAATTTATGAAACTAATTGATCTTTTTAATTTTTCTCTTTAATTATCAAAATTTATTTCTAATAAATAATCCATTAGTACAGTAAAATGAAGAGGCACTTATTAAGGACTACATAAATTTTGCAATTAAGTGAGAATGAATAAGGTCAATCTTTCAATAGGTATCTATATAAATATTATGCATACAAGGGGCAACTGTTGTAAATGCGAAATCAACATTTTGAATGTATGTTTAGTTAATTTTACTCAACATACACCTGTTGCCTTACCCCCGCGGAGAAGCCTAGGCTATCAACCAGCATTCTCCATCGAATTCTGTTCTGAACAATCCTTTCCAGCTGCTTCCAGTTGCTATTCATCCTTTCTATGTCTGCTTCCGATTCCAAGTTACATCTTGCCTCATAATGCAGCTTGATGATTTCCGTAATGTATGTGATATCCACTCCTATCATTTTTTTCTAATTCCCTCAGCTGGAAGTTGGTTTGTTTCTTTCCACAGTAGGCTGTTGCTGATGGTATTCGACCAACGGACATTGAGTGTCTTGGTAGACAAATGTCTATCAATACTTGTACTTTATGATGATGGTTGTGGTAGTTCTCCCAGTTTTAGCTCCGTAAAGTAGAACTATCTTGACGTTCGTATTGAACATCCTGACTGTGATATTGGTTGACAGTTGTTTTGAGTTCCGTAAGTTCCGCAACTGTAGAAATGCTGCCCTTGCTTTACCGATCGTTGCATTTACGTCTACGTCAGACTCTCCTTGTTCATCGATGGTGCTGTTGACCATCTACGAGAAAGTTTCCACCTCTTACAGAGTCCCTCCATCAAGTGTGACTGGGTTGATGTTTTTCGTGTCGTATTTGAGGATCTTGCTTTTTGCTTCGTGTTTATTTTTATTTTATTTATACACATAAATATTAGTACAAGGAAGCACCAGATACATATGCGCCGCACAAATCAAATGAGATTTGTGTGAGTACTGTGATACTGCCCAGGTGCTCAGACTGAAGCAGGTGGTTTTCTTAGGGGACCACACCCGGAGCCTTCGACCCAAAGGTCTGATCCACAAAGCAATGGAGCATCGTGAGGCGATGCATTCACATGGTAGCCGGTGGCCAACAATTGGTTCATACGCCATTCGTTCCTCCAAGATACCGGAACCCATGTGCCACATTGGTTTGGAATCAGGGTTTTCCAACTTCCCTAGGTGAACTATCCGTGTCCACCAACCCGTTTAAAGCGCCGGACATTCGCTTTTCTTCCTCTCAATTTCGTAAACAACAGTAATGCCACGAGAAGGCAGTGAGTAGGACTTCCCTGTCAGAGGCTATATTACGCATGACCATGTGAGAGTATTTCGAGAATGAGAGCGGACTCTACCGACTCTCGGCCGTACCAGGACATTTGTGGGCCATTTTGATTTGTGTTTGTTGAGGCCTACTGCTGCAGAGGCTTCTTCCATACTAGTTGTCTTCAACTGCATTTGTTCGTGTGTGTGAGATAGAAGGGTCAGGGTCATCAGCGAAGTTCAAATCGTCTAGTTGCACCGGAGCTGTCCATTGTATTATGTGTTACTCCTCAGATGTGGAGGTCTTCATAATCCAGTCAACCAACAAAAGAAAGAGGTAAAGGGAGAGTAAGCGGCTTTTTTGACTACGGTCCACACTTGAAGTGGATCTGTCAGCTGTCCTCCACTCAAGACTTCGTAGTGTAATCCGTCGTGTGAATTCAGTAAGCTATTGACGATCTCAAGTACACCATAGTGTCGAAGATGGTTCCATATGTTTCTACTATACTTGCGTAGGAATACAGGTGTGTGGAAAATTACATATAATTTGTTCGTTTATTTGCAATGTAAAAGGAACGATGTTGAGAAGTGCTCTTAGGTAGTTTGGAAGTTTTCGTTTAGACATATTATTTCGTCGTGGATAGTCGCTTTTATTTTGTAACCTTATTTTATAAGACTAGTTATGCGAATTTCTGTAATGTGTGTAGGGTAGATAACTTGGTCACATCTAATTTCTCATTCGATTTGTATAATTGATGAAATAGTTGTCAATTTGGTTATCAATTTTGGTAGAGTTTTTGTAATAAAGTACAAAATTGACCTTTTTTCATCCTTTTGAAAGCAATTTAGTTAGAATGTCGATATATTTGCAGCCAATTTGCTAATATTTTGTTCTGTAATACAGTCATGATAATTATATGTACTATAATTTTTTGAATATGATCTGTTTCTTACTCATACAGGCTCTTTGTCAGAAATCTCTTCATAAAGAATATCTTATTCAATTATTAAGTATGACTGTAAATTGGCCTAACGCAACAGAAGATTTCTCTACTTCGGATCCAGAAGATGAACCGAGTGAGTTTGATCCCGAAACTAAACGAGCTGCTTACATTCCATCAAGACCTAATGGTCCATTGATTGTTAAATCTCAAACTAGACAATCTGGCACACAACGTCGAGCTTATAGACGTCTTTGGATGCATATTGCAGGAATGCTTACATGTGGTCAATTGTCGCAAACACTAACACCCACTATAGTCCGGTGAGAAATTTTGTTAACTTTTTGTTTTTTTTAAGAAATATATTTGACTCTTCAGTGCCTCACGTGTAAACTCTTTCTCCTTATCAATTACAAATATATCTACTTAATAGAGTAATATGTTTAGTGAAAATATGGTGTTGAGGGAAGAGGAATTTGTAACATATGTCATCACAGATTGATTCATGGATTCGTGTTTTGAACTGTCGATTGTATCCATCACTGGTTCTATGACGTCATTACCTAGAACAATAAAGAGATATATATTTTCGGTTTAATATACTTTATTTTGAAATGCCTTGACATTTTTTAGGAGATGGAAAAGAGTAGTAAAGTGGTATTGTTTGCAATGTTTGCTCTATGTCTTGCCAATCATTATGTCATAAATGTAGACTGATTTCTCATCTAATAATCAGGCTGGAACGATGCATTACTATTTGGTAGTAAATTAACTTGGTAATGATGAATAGATGTTGAGGCCTTTAATCTGAATTCTTACTTCACTCTAACCTTTCTACGAGTTTCTTTTTATAAAGTGCTGAAGTACTTGGACTAACTATAATGTTTTAGTCTAAATTCCTAATATTTTTATACTTATTATACAATCTTTGAAGACGTGAACACTATTTGTTTCAGCAATTTTAGCTTGTTCGCTCATATCACGGAGTCTAAACATTAGATCAGATATTTTAATATGAAAGTCAAATAAAGTGATTAGGTTAAAAATTAAAACTCTGTTCATTGAGTTTAAATGTGTACGTAGTGATGTATGTTTCGGATTCTGTATTTCTTTTTACATATATAGTTTTATTAGAGAAAACGCACCTACCAGATCATCTGAACTGTGTGAAGATCGTGTTGTACTAGAACCTTCTGTACGTCGTCTATACCCACCTTCTCTTTTAGAATGGCGGATCAATTATACTGGAACTCATATGGGCATTAAACTTACGTTCCCAGATGGTAAGATAAGGAAAAGTTAGTTTTCAGGTGTCAAAAGTACAAGTATAAGTGAAAAATGTTAATTCATTGTTTTGATTTAGTGTATTCGTTTAAATATGGATCATTAGCTCTTTCATTTCAATACCAGCAAACCGATCGAATAAAGGTCCTTCATATGGTAGAGAGAGATATGTACATATGTGCCACACAAAACATTTTCATTGCATTTTAATTGTGTAAGCGGTATGATACTGCCCGGGTGCTTAGACCGAAGCAGGTGGTTTTCTTGGGGGGACGCACCCCAAGCCTTTGACCTAAAGATCCAATCCACAAGACAGTGGAACATCGTGAGGAGATGCAGTCCCATGGTAGCCGATGACCAACAATAGGTTCACATGCCATTTGTCCCTTCTGAATCCTGACGCTAATATGCATCATTGGTTTGGAATCAGGGTTTTCCAACTTCCCTAGGTGGACTATCTGTGTCCACCAACCCTGCTAAAGCACGGGACATTTGCCTTTCGTCCTCTCACTTTCGTAAACAACAGTAATGCTGCGAGAAATCAGTGAGTAGGACTTCCCTGTCAGAGGCTATATATGCGTGACCGTATGAGAGTATTTCGAGAGGGAGAGCAAGCTCTCACTTTCGGCCGTATCAGGGTATTTGGGGGCCTTCGAGTTATTCTCACTGACTCGCTCAATTTTCCAGGTACTTCTAATTACTTAGTTTTTGTAAAGCTTCGAAACCATCCGTTTTCTTCGAACTTTGAAATAAATAACCGAGGATTCATATCCAACTTTGATTTAAGTGCTTAGCGATTGCATACATCCAATATTCTATCCGAAAAGTGAATGACTTGGAAGCCTTATAAAGATTAAATCAATCGGAATGTATAGACAATGCAGAAAATCATTAATGTATAGTTGAATATATTAATTTGCAAGCAATTTTAAAGCTTTTTCTCAATCATGTTGTTGAAAACAAGTAGTCTGTTCTAGATATAAAACTCTCAGTTAAAGACCGAAGGTATAACTTAAACAGATTTATTTTGTATTATAGTGTTATGAATACCAAGAGCCTTGTGTACCATTCTAATCTTGATCTCGAAATCGTAGTTAAATCACTGAAACAATTGCTTACTTCCTATTTTTAAATTGACCTTCGAAAACACTTCATTTCATTTTAGGTATATTGTCAATTTTTCATGTTGGTAGTTTTACACGTGCTGAAACACTAGCTGGTATGGCTTTAGCATTAAGGTGAGCATTTGTTTTACCAATGTTAATATCTCATTTGTTTTTTCATAATAAACTGATCACATCGGGTTAAAAGGTGGTAGATGACATTTATATGCTGAGAAGATTTGTTTCAGTAATTATACCTTATATGTTAGGAAAAGGCTTCACTATCAAAAAAATGTAAATCAAACAATTTAACGATAACAAATATTGTTACTGACTATATTCTGAAAAGTATTAATCTTCAGTATCTTGGTTTAATTGTTTTGGACAATTTTTTTTCAACTCTTTATAATTATACCCATTGGTGCAACTTATTTATCAAGTCCAGGTTTATGTACTCGGTTTTCAGCTAAACTGTTTTTGTTATGGCTAAATGGAATACGATTTAAACTACCAACCATTTGACTCAAAGTCGATTCTTCAAAAACGTTTCAGTTCATACAAAGGAGTGAATCTAATTAGATTTTGTTTTTTCAATTAAGTATACTAAACATTTTTACACGAAAATATTGCGTACTCATAAATTTAAGATAGTTTTGTGCTAATAACCTAATGTTTAAGAAAAATAAAAATCTCAATATAAATACTGGTCATCAGTTGAAATTACTTCTGTGATCATAGAAAACATAGTTATTACAAAATACTTATTATTATAGCTTTTATCAATGGCAGGGTTTTCATGTAGTATTTTTCATCATATTTATTGGATGAATATTGACATTAGGTGAAATCTTTGTTTTCAGTTTATTTCTCATCAGTACCCCATTATTCATGTAACCCTGAATTTAAAAACTCAACAACGACATTTTGTCGCAAACTAACTTTTAAATTATTTCTAGCCACTGAGTCATTTGGTGGAATAAACTAATAAATAATTGTCATTTGATCTGATATTATCCACTTGGATTCAACTGGAACTGATTACGTCTGAACACCAAAAAACAGCTAACCAACTATTGGTTAAACGAAACAAAATAACACTAACTGATAAATTACTTTAAGAAATCTTGAAGTCAATGATATTTTGTGTTAAAGTCAAATAGCTAATCTGTACTGCAAAATGATGTCCTACATCTATTTAATCGATCAGTTTTGTAGTTTGGTAAAATAAGTATCTAGTTACAGCCTATCAGATGTTCCTCTTTGTCTACCTTGACTTTATTTTAATAACATTTTGAAAGTACGTTTATCTTTAATTTTATTTTAGAACATATTCAACACATATTCTTCAGGGCTGGACAATAACTGTACATCAGTCATCAAAAATATTAGATGTACCAGGTTATTTTTATGTATTGGATATATTTAGTCAGCAAGAACTTCCGGAAGAATGGTCACATTTAAATAATATTCTTTTCCACCAAGTATTACCATGTTATGATGCTAAATCAAAAACAGCGGAATATAATAATGTTTGCCATTCCCATTATGCTAGGTGAATTATTTATAATCCCTTTTTTCAGTTTAACATTATTAATTAATTAATTATTATGTTGATGTATTTACACAGTAATTCTGTTTAACTTGTATGGTGACATGAACAATCCTTGCATTTACGTCTACGTCAGACACTCCTTGTTCATCGATGGTGCTGTTGACCATCTACGAGAAAGTTTCCACCTCTTCCAGAGTTTCTCCATCAAGTGTGACTGGGTTGATGTTCTCCTTGTCGTATTTGAGGATCTTGCTTTTTCCTTTGTGTATGTTGAGGCCTATTGCTGCAGAGGTTTCTGCCATACTAGTTGTCTTCCACCGCATTTGTTCGTGTGTATGAGATAAAATGGTCAGGTCATCTGCGAAGTTCAAATCATTTAGTTACACCCAAGCTATCCCTTGTATTCTGTGTTACTCCTCAGATGTGGAGGTCTTCATAATCCAGTCAACCATCAGAAGAAAGAGGAAGAGGGAGAGTAAGCAGTCACACTGTCAAATGCTTTCTCATGCTCAAGGAAATTTATATGTAGTGACGAGTTCCATTCAATTGATTGTTCAACGATGATCCTTAGTGTTGTGATTTGGTTTGTGCCCGACCGATCCTTATGGAATCCAGCCTGTTGATCTTGACGTCCATCCGGTTCAGCAACACTCTGTTAAAAACGTTTCCTGGTACCGATAGTAATTTGATCCCTCTATAATTCTCCCATTCGCTCAGATCTCCCTTCTGTAGCATCTTCATGAGATATCCTTTTTTCCAAACTATCGGCACTTGTTTCTCTTCCCGAATCTTCCTGAATAGAACGTAAAGCATCTTCGCAGTTACTTTTATATCTGACTGTAGTGCTTCGGCTGGTATATTCTTAGGTCATGCTGCTTTCCCACTCCTGTTTTATCTGATGCCCATCCTGATTTCTTCGATCTTTAGTGAAATGATATCTATAGGAAAGTTTGCTGGTGCTGCTATGATGTCCGGTGGATTTATTGGAGCTGGTCTATTCAAGAGTTCCTCAAAGTGTTCCACCTGTCTGTTTGTCTGTCCTTGAAGTTCAGTGATTGGCTTGCCTTGTTTGTCCTTGATCAGTCTATTTGTCTGATGGTCCAATACTTCTTTGACTTCAGTTTCATCTTGCCTGCTACCAGGAGGTGATCTGAAGCTGTGTAAGCATCTCTCTTTATTCTTACGTATTCCATTGATTTCCCGAATTTTTTAGTGATTCAAGTAAGATCGATCTTGTTCTCTGTAGTGTGGTCCACGACTGTAGCTGCTATCTTGATGTGGTGTCCAGGTTTACCTATCATGATGACCCAACCGAGCTATATTAGGGAAAACATATGCTCCTGTAGGTTCTTCCATGCCAGGCAGATCGATTGGAGGACGATATGACTGAAAGCAGCAACGCAAAGTCTGAGGGCGAAGTCGTACTGCTGAATGTAGACAGGTGTGACAGCAGTAAGGTGTTTCCCTCCGACAACCACCGTCTGCAGCGATGCTGCCTTCTCACAAGCAAGGAAGGGGTTAACAAAAGTCGAACCTATAAATGTTACGCCTCACCTTACTTATAGTGAAAGACACCTCGGTGGATTGTATGGTGTGATGACTCAAAGAACAGATAATGACGACCGTCTGCTGCAGCTATGCTCAGGTAACCGCATGTTTCTTGCAAATACTAAATGTAAGCACAAAGGAGAACATCTTTTGACCTGGCGACCCCCGAATTTGTCCCAATGTTGGACCCAACTAGATCACATCGCTATCAACCACCAATGAAGGGTCTCGATAGAAGACTGTCGCTCATTCGGGAGCACATGCTTAGATTCAGATCATGCTCTAGTGCGAGCGCGTATTCGTCTGCGTCTTACTGGACGTAGGAAAGACACTGCAAAGAAACCTCTTAGGGTTCTACTTAATGATAGGCAAGTTAAGAATATATTTCAGGAACAACTGGAGAAACAGTTAGGAAGCCATGTAAGTTGTGTCCACCCCGAGGCAGCGTGGAATGACATCCGATAAGCTGTGGAAACAGCAGTGATATCCGCTAATAAGGTAAACCATAACGTTAGGGAGAAACAATGGATCTCGGCAGCATCTAACGCACTGATGGATGCTCGAAAACTCATCCCATTTGGCTCTGAAAATCACGAAGAGCGGATTCAACTTAAGAGCAGGCTAACAAGAAGCCTACGCAATGATTGCAAACAGTGGTGGGTAGCGAAAGCAAGAGAGATGGAAAAGGTAGAGGCAATAGCAGATAACTGTTCAGACTTGTTAAAGAAACCGGCATTAGGAACCCAACTGTCAGAGAAACTATCTCGGAAAAAGATGGACATGTTATTCATTCTCAATTCAGGAGATTGGATTGATGGGCAGAACATTTAATAGATCAGTACGACTGGCCTTCAGTCACACTTCGGTTTCCCACGATCTCCAGCAAGCCCTGACAGGTTTACTCCTGAGATTTTTCAGGGCGGCGGTCCAGTAGTAGCAGTGTGATTGACTGAGGTCTTGGGTGAAATGTAGGACAACTGGCTGGATGAGAGCTTATGACGAACTGTCATCAGAATTGGTTACCTCAAGTGGTGTTTGTCAGGGCTGTCCGCCCACTCCATTCTTGTTCAACTTTATCGTGGACGTGCTTTCAGAAATAACACTTACCTCATCCAAATTTAGAGGGGTTGAACTTCTATCAGGAGACTCATTTCTCCACTTAGGATATGCCGACGACATAGTTTTACTCGGTGAAGACACTGACAACATGCAGAGTCTTCTGACCACTATAAGCAACTATGCAGGCATGTTCGGAATGCGATTCTCTCCCTCGAAGTGCAAAATGTTACTTCAGGATTGGGTTGCATCGACACCTGAACTAATGATAGGGAGTGAAGTAGTTGAGCGTGTAGACCACTTCACTTATCTTGGGAGTCTCATCAGCCCTTGTGGTCTGGTATGTGACGAAATCTCAGCACGGATACAGAAGGCTCGTCTAGCTTTCGCCAACTTGCGTCATTTATGGCGTAGGCGAGATATCCGTCTAGCAACAAAAGGACGGGTTTACTGTGCAGCAGTTCGCTCCGTCCTACTTTATGGCAGTGAAAAATGGCCAATAAGAGTAGAGGATATTCGTAGGCTACTAGTGTTCGATCATAGGTGTCTTCGAAGCATTGCTCGTATATCCTGGGACCACCGGGTAAGTAATGCAGTTGTTAGGAAACGAGTACTAGGTAGGGATGGCAAATCGATTGATGAAGTAGTGAAACTTCATCAGTTGAGATGGCTGGGACATGTGTTACGTATGCCCGACCACCGACTGCCCCGACGTGCAATGTTTCATGGTGTAGGAGTAGGTTGGAAGAAAGCTAGGGGTGGCCAGACCAAAACGTGGCACAAATCCATGAAGTCACTGACAAGTGGACTGAGCCATGTTGGTAGGTGTAGACTACCTGGTTGGGATCCGCGAGATGATAAAAACCGATGGTTAGAGACCCTAAATGACATGGCTCAAAATCGTTTGCAATGGCAAACGTGCATCCATTCTTTGTGTTCTCCCAAATTCTAATCTTCTGAATTCTTCATGTCCCTTTCTTTTTTCTCCTTCCAAATTTATTCTATTGGATTATACTCCTTGAATAACGTCTTCAAAACCCAATCTTTCACATAACGCTTATACTCTTACTACTTCTACCACTATGGGATTTGAACCAACAACTGCATTTCTGTGCTAATGTTGTATGACAACTCGAACTGATGTACGTACGTACGAAGTTCTACTTTGTGACTGACTGACTGACAGTAGTGTGGTCCGATGAAACCCATGTAGTTCTGTGTATGCATTTGTGTGGGAATATTGTGCCACCTATAACCATTATGTTGCATGCACACAGATTTGCATATCTGTCACCATCCTCATACCTTCCTCCCAGTCAGTCCGTGTCGTCCCATGATATCTTCATAACTGTTGTTGTCCATTCCGACTTTGGCGTTTAAATCTCCCGTCAGGATGTTCAGTTTTTTCCTAAGCACTTCGCTATGACTGATTGCAGCCTCTCATAAAACTGACTTTTATCATCTTCTTGCTATCACTGGTGGGTGCATAACATTGGATAACATTTATTGTGATCCCCTCCTTGTTTGTTTTGAAAGATGATTTGGTGAATGTAGATACATGAGATTCCTATCCTATAAGTGCATTTTGTGTTTCTTTATACAGCATCAGACTAACTCCCTGAGTGTATGGAGCATTTCATTCTTCATGACCAGAGTGCAGCAGCATCTCTCCAGAGTGTAACCCTTTCTGTCGAGCTTGGGTCCAATGGGTTTCACCGATTCTGAGAACCGCCAAGTTATATCTCCTCATTTGTGTAGCTATTTGACTGGTCCTCTTGGTCTCCCACATTTTCCGGATACTCCATATACTTACATTGATCGTTTTTTATAATGGGACATCAACCTCATGACTTCCGAAGAATCCTGGCTTCCACCATGAGGCATTATAATTCTTCCAAATGAAACTCTTTTAACTCCCAGAGCAGTGTTCAAATAGTTTCTTGTAATTGGTTGTGTTTGGTAGGTTTTTTTCCACGATGTGGGTTTGCCGACCCCTCGCCCAATCCGCCTCCTTTACCCGGTCTTGGGACCATCAGTAGCTCTAGAAGATGTACAGGTGGTGTTTAAGAACCTCGTTAAACTAGGGCTTATTTATTAGTTGTATTTTTTAGGATCTCTTTTGAGTTTGAATTCTTATCCTATTCTTAATAACAGTAAGTGATTTTTATGTAGCTGAACACTTACATATATTAATGTAAGTTTAATGATTTCATTAAACACATACAGTATTCACTGAGCTACCGGATTGTGGTAGCACTGATTTTGAATATTCTGAGGTGCTAGTTGATGCATGATGATTCGTAATGCAGTTGTTAAGTGAAACAAGGATTTTCGTCATTGTCTTCCAAAAATTACCGTTTTGTTTGGCAATTCTTATTACGAAACTCTCTTTCCCTTAAGATTGTCATTTAGCTATTTTATGTATAGAATATTATTTGTAATTTAATGTTCATTTTTTCAAAGCAATTAGTCTCTTTGATAAATTTTGATAATGACATAGTTTTGATAATCTTCGTCTGCTTATTTTTTATTTTTTCCTTCATTAAGAAACGGAGTAACAGAAGTTATTGACGGCTCACCACCACCTATTTCGAACAAATCTAGAAATTATAATCATCGAAAATTGGCTAATTCAATACATGGCATAGAAAATTCCGTAATACATATTTTTGTTATCAAGTTATATATATATATATATATATATATATATATATATATATATATATATGTATATATATAACGATTGTAATGTGTATATCTCCTAATTGTAATACAATTATTTTTTAAACGTCCACTAATCTCTTTTCTTCAATTAGGTTTTATGATAGATTTTAAATAGTAGTATCTTAGTGATATAACCACTGTCGTTGTGATTTTTATTTGCGAATTTTTTTTCATTTTCGGTCAGCTTCCACAAATAGCAAACATTAATAACTAATTGCTAAATTAGAAATGGTTGTAGGTTTCATTACCATGTTTTGATTTGATAATTTTGAATAAATTGAGCATTTGGTAGATTGTTATAAATAAATTAATATATTTGTAATATCTCAATGAGTAGAAAAATTAGATTTTCTGACGTTTCATGACTCAGTGTAAACCACTTCTTTATAGAATAAATTTGGTTTTTTATTCTCTGAAGAAGTGGCTTACACTGAGTTACGAAACGTCAGAAAATCTAATTTTTTTACTCATTAGGATATTCGAAATATATTTATTTATAGAAATGTTTAGTTCGTTAAACTATTAATTGTAGTTTAGTTCATTATTGATTATGATAAAATTTGGTAACTTCTCAAATATTAATCTTTTTACTTTATTGAGGAGTATATATTTTACGGGTGACCTAAATACAGAATAAAATGTTACCCATAAATATTCATAATTAGATATTTTATGATCTTATTAAGTAAACGTCACAGTTCATTTTAAGTTTGAATATGTAGTTAAATGCTTCAATCACTAATTTAATATCAAGTTAAATATGAAATTTTGTTCCATTCATTCATTTTAAATCAAACTGAATATTGAAACTTTATTGTTACAGTAGCGTTAACTATTGTAAAGGAACTATGATAAATGGTAAATATTGAATCTGCCTAAAATAAATAATTAAAATATCATTATTTCAGCGTTTAGTTTTATTTATACACTTACACGTAATTTCAATCTTTTTTGAACAGCAAAAATCTACATTATTACTCTCAATATCATTATTGGTATTGATAATAATTGTTCTTTTAGGTGAATTCATACAGTCGTTATACAAAAGCATCGAATATAGATTCTTTAAATCAACACCGTCGTCCTAGTTCTCAAGCTGATTGGTTTAAAGCAGTACGGTTAATGGCTTCAAAACGATTCAGTGGAAGTAGCAGGTCACTATCATCAATTAGAAGGAAAAATATTAAAAATCAGAAAATGTTTAATCCATTACATTCACCTAGTGTTGGTTTCCCACGATCCAAATCGCCAGGTGATATTCTTCAAGATAGTCGACTAACAAGAGCGTCTCCAACTGGTTATCCTTGCAAAAGAAGTTCAAATGCACTTCCTCATGATATGCGATATTATATTTATGATCTTGCACCTTGGACTGTGCAACTTAGAAAAGAAGTAAATTGTTGTTGTTGTTTCACTCTTGATAGTTTATTTACTTAATTTTGATACAAGAGAATATTGCATTTTCAAATGACAAGTAACTCAGTTGTATTAAACATTGAACTTCTATGCTATTCACTTCAATCAATCTAAGCGACTATATACAACTTTAGCTAATTCTGTAAAGAGAGAAAATTTAGTAACCTTTCCATGGTTACATTTAAATTCGTTTTAGTTTAATGCATAATAAGAGAATATACCGAGTATTTTGTGTAATTAATGTTTTATAAATAGACTGTTTACACAGTTTCATGACATTCAAAAAAATAATGTATGAGAGTAAGAATAAAAAAAATATAATTTCTTTCAAGAATATTGTGGTGTATGCTACTTATGTCGAGTGGTATAAGTAGTATGTAACACCAATTGAAGGTTGAAACTCTGTCAGCAGAAGGCTAAGAAGATTAAGTATTACCTCATTTAACGGTATACTAGAATCCATAGACCTTTCAATATCTGAGCTATCTTCCTATGAATATTTGGTGAGACTAGAATTTATGGACGAACCAATCATAAATAAGATAACAGGTTTCGGATTTTGGCTTGAAATTCACTCATCCATGTGGCTAAATAGAGTTTTGGCATTATAGCTGATGTCAGCTCGTAATGAAAACCCTAAGTCTAATTCCTAGCATTAACCATCAACTGAAACTCATAATTCTAATTCCTCACACTAGTTTATAACCCTCATTTGATCTTACTTATTAAATGGACACTCTCAAAGTCAGACAAGCGTCGCTCCAAGGTTGTCCATAAATTAAAGTCTCACCGAATGTTTAACTAAGATATGCTCTGAGTTACTTCTTTAAACAAAATTAAAATTACTGAGTTCTGAATTACATTAATTAACACTCAACTTTAATTTAGTAGTTCAAGTACAGCCTATGTTGCAGAATAAATTAAAGAACCGTTTAGATAGTCTATCTGTTGATTTCAATCTAGATTCTCAATGAAAATCGTCTATTTTTGAGATCTCATTTGTCAAGAGACTAAAAATGAATGGTCCAAAAAAGCCTTACATTTGTATGATTCTTATTCGATTCGTTATATAATCTTACTTTGAAAAAATATCATCCTAAACTGGGTTTTTTAATAATGATCGACTAAGACAAAAACTTCACATAAAGTCAAAATAATGTAGGAACTGATAACTATTTTATTGGACAGTAAATTCAACTAATTGTTTTCCATTCCATAGTTTTTCGTCGTTTACTTAACAATCTTCATGCATGTGTTCTTGTGAAAGCACACATAATGGACATGTGATTGCTATTTTTGTCAAACGGGAAATTTTATGAGTAATTTACGTGATTCTGTACTCAAGGACCACTGAAGCGCTTAGAACGATTGAAAAACGGGTAGACATTTCCTTGTCTTCCTTCAAATGAGTTAGCGTATATTTCTATGTTGATGGGTTCACTAGAGTAATGAGAATCGGGAAAAAGTCTCTGCTTATATATGATTAGTAGTTAAAACATCGAGATTTTATGGTGAATTTAGGTGAACTACTGATATATTTGTATTTGTGTTATCTTAGCAAATAGAATATTGGATTTTTGAATATTTCCAGCTCATGACAATCCACTTCTTTAGGGAATAAATAGATTTTTAAAATTATCACAAGTGCAAATAGTACACAGAGCTAATCTATCATTTGGACATACAATTGAGGATGATCATGATATTGTGATGTCACTCAGGTCAAGAGTTATAACGTGCAACTCATACCTAGTACTATTGTTGTAGACTGTTTTTCTGATAATCTGTTTATTCGAAGTGATACAGTAGAACCTTAGTAATAATGCTGCTCATTACTAAATCAAGAAAAGTGATTATTACTCGACATCAACAATGAAGTCTTAATCACGTTCAATCATATATATTCTTTTAGTACTCTTTTGTTAAGATCTATTGATAATTTCTTAACTTTTTTCTCATATCTCATCATTCGTACATATGCAATTACTACTATACAGTTTATTACTCCACGTGAACGTATAAGAACAAATTTGATATTGAATTTAATTTTTCATCAAATCATATCTGATATCCATGATGAAAGAAATCTACGTCTTAATACAGATGATCGTAGTGAATTGTTATCAGTTATCGGTAAGCAGTTGTTTTCAGTGCATTTATATATATATATATATATATATATATATATATATATATATATATATATATATATATATATGTCAACAAATTTTAAATGTAATTTTCGTGAACGCTGGAAAGATTCCAATGAAATTGTATCGGAAAGTCCAAGGTTGTAATTCCCTTCAAAATGTACTCGGAAATTCACGACAAAAAGTTTTATGATGAGAGTTATTGGTGGTAACATTTTAAAGAATTAATTTAATATTGACCAAACCGTAATTTTACTCTTCAGTGTTCCGATTTCATTTTTTATATGATGCTCTGTTAAGAATAATTATTATCAAGGGGATGGTTTTCCTTACTTCATATTCGAGCTATTTATTAACTATTACTCCTTTTGATCAATTTGGATGGTGTAATGAGAACACGGTTATCAGAATTATGTGATATATTTACGATGTACATTTCAAACAATCTGGCCACACATACATATGTATAAAGGTAATAGTTCAACCAGACAAATTAGAAGTTAGGGGGGAACAAAGCTAATGATAAAGTATACAATGTATAAACCACGCTGAATGATAAACCAGTATTACTAGGGTAGGTTGAGAGTAAAATTGAATTGTTTTTGAACACAATAATGCGGTTTCATTTTTCGTATGACCAAGGCTTTAATAAGCCATAATATATGAATATAGTAAAGTCTTTTCATCGCATTATCCAAACTTACTAACTAATTAAGTGTCCTATTTCAAATAATTGTTCTTATTAGCACTTTTAATATTTTTCTTTGTTCCCTTTTTTTGCACATCAGGCAAACATAGAAAGCTTGATTCCATTGAATCTGTTCATGAAATACCAATGGAAGTGAAAAAGAAGACTTTATTGACTTCTTTGAATTTGCCTATTTATTTTGGACGATTTTATCCAGTTCACGTAATTTGTTCTACATGTTATTTAATGTTTTTTGGTTTAGAGATTTCATGATATATTTATCTGTTAATGTACTATGTCAAATGCACTAGATATTTTTTTCATGCTATTCTGAGAAATAAATTGAAATCATTAGATTTTTAAGGATTTCTCCTTTAAATTGATATCAGAATGTATAATGATTAGATTACTATTGAAAACCTGGAAGCTCTGGACTGCTGTTTCGTCCTAGTACGGGACTCCTCTTCGTTCGAAATTTTCCGGTGATCTTTCACGTATATGATGTGAAATTATATATATATATATACGGAATGATGATATTAGTTATATTACGACTGTATTGATTCTAGGAATAATTAATAATATCAGCCAGAACTAATTCAATAAAAGTATTTGAAAAATGAAGAATGTCTGAGCGAACAAATCTTTTCAGTAACTTCATCGTCAGACTCTACAATTATAAGTCCGTAATTATGATATTTTACGCAGGCTAAAATAAGCCATGTAATGATGAATTAGACAATGGTATGTGTTAAAAATGGTTTGCATCTCTTTCGACATATATACTTCAAAATTATGTTATTTGTAAATTAGATAGGTCATTTAATAAAGGTCAGAATGATTTAAAATGTCAAGTATTTGAATATACTCTGATGTTAAAACTAGAAATGTGAATGCACTTATCTAGTGATATATATTATACATCTTTAAACCTAGTTGACTGCACAAAGTTATAATTTTATTGATTCAGTAAACTAAGAGCAACGATACACACAGATTGTATATTGTATAAAATTAATAATAAAAAAAAGGATTCATATTGATGTTAGTTTAAACAAATTGTATTTAAGTCAGATAACAATTGTTCCCGAAAGCTCTAGCTTAGTATTTGTTAAATTGACTAATTATTCCAACCTATTTAATTTTTATTTATAGCCTTAGTTCCTTAGTTGTAAACTGAGAATTGATTTTCTTAGTTCCTATTAAAAATAGACATTATCAAGCCCATGCATTGCAATCAGAAAGACTTTATCGAGTAATGTAACACTTTGTATGTCATTGACTGATCTCTTAGAAAATATATTGTTTTGAAATCACTAAACATACATTCAAACAATATTCAAATGTGCATTGTCAAAAAACCGTTAACTTGTCTATTATCTTTGAATATAACTATGTCTAATTTCCTATACACTAGCATTCACTTGCAGCCTCAGCTGCTGTGAGTGGTCTTTTATTGATACAAGTGATCATCTTTGCTCAATTTTCATATATATCTGTTCGTTTAAAGTGGCATTCAAGTGACCGATAAATAATCCATTATGATCTTTGAAATACACTATTCAATTAAACGCAGTTAACATAGTGAAATTAAGTTGTTCACCATGGACACAAGTTGGATCTTTAAAATGCTGTTCAGTTTGTTTTGTCTCCAATAGATTTGTTTATTTTTGAGAAAGTATAGATGTTAGTTTTTTCTGTTATACTATTCGAAAATATAAATATTGAAATTAAATAAAATCACTAACTAGTTTTATCGTAATGCTTTCTTACTTATAACTATTAAATGAAAATAATCAATGTTCACTTTATTCTTGTGAATATTTGCAACCTTATCGAGTACTGACTTGTGAATGTTAGGTTTCTTATTCAAAACAGTGGATTTGTGATAAAAAGCTTTCGAATATAGCTTTCTTCAAACTCGTTTGTTACTAAAATACTAAATAATCTCAGATTATTTATTTGTTTGTATGTGATAAACTTATAGTGTGAAAGTAGACGATAATGTTTACTATTTATAATATTAGCTAGTCGGATTGAATTTGATTAAGAATGAAATTAAAGTATCTATATAGGCTTATTTTCTGTTTGTTGTAGATTATTGTACGACTTCGATGTTTTGTTTCCCCTCTCACAAACTACAGTAAAATATCTTTTATCCATTGTTAATTGGCAATTTCGCTTCGAAGATTCACAAGCTAATCTATTAGTTTTGAAATGTTGTGAAATATTTGTAACTCAGTTAGATGATTTTGGTAGAATTTCGTTCACTGACCAGAATAATTTAATCGTAAAGCATTCGTCGTCATCCTGGTCAACATCATCACCCAACTCAGAGAACTAAACCACATCAAAATAACTTATTGATGTTATAATGTGAAAAAAATGGGGTTTTCTTTGTAGTACTTATCTAATTAAGAGCTATTAAATGATGGATAACATGTATATTGACATCAAGACTCCAAATTTTGCTCTTTACAGTTGCTCTTACTGGCTATGTATTATAGGGAGACTACCCTAAACTCGGTGGTCTCCCTATAATGCACTAAACTAGCTAGAAACTAGCTATTTTAGTCAAAAATATGAAGGGGGGGATTTCGGTATTAAGATAGTATGCTTGATGTAAAGTACTACAACTGTTTTTCGATGTATTTATTGTGAATAATTAGAATTTGATAATCTTTTTTTGCTGTAAACCAGTCACTGATTCCCATTCAGTATCAAGTTGAATATAAAATAATATTTCTTGATTAAGAAATAACATCCTGGTCAAGATGGTGTGGTTTATCATTTGCTGTTATGACATGATTAAAATTATAGAATCACTTCTTCACAACTATTATCAGATACACATCTCTATCCATAATTAATCATTCACCAATCAAAAAATATGTTGCTTCTTTCTGTTCATTTCAGTCGCTTGATATGAATGCTTCTCCAGATCTTAGTCAGTGGTTAGTAGTAAGTCACCATGGTATCAGATTGGTTTTGCAACCAAAAGATTGTACAGAGGTCAATATAAAAATTATCTCAAAGCTTGGTGACATAAAAAAAGTAACTTCTTCTCGAACATCCAACAGACCACGGTGGCGATGTGGAGATCAAACATCAATCAAGGATTCCCAAGGTACTGATTACGGAAAACCTTCAGATTATCTTAAACCACCATTAAGTCGATCAGTCAGTACAGTAACCTACAATCTTTTGACTCTAAATCACGCTACTGGAATAAGTCAGTTTTATACAGAAATGGTAAGTTTTTGATAATACCAAAATGTTTTGTTTTACAACTCCACCTTATTATAAATAAAACAATTAAAGTTACCATTGACAGGAATAAATTTTAAAAAATATAATTCTGTGAGTAAACAAAATGTGTTAATTATTAACATCTAAAGTTTAGGTATAATTCAAACCAGTGATTGTGTAATAGTTAAAAATGGAATAAGTATTATTATCGTTTTCCGGCTATCCTATACATTTACAAGAGTTTCTATATAAGAAGAATGAGTTTGTAGAATTCATCATTCATTATCTTGTGAAGAGTATTTGATGTTAAATCTCATTTTTTGTTAATGCAACAAACACTTTGCTTGTGTCTGCCTTACATGTAATTAAAAGTCCGAGATTGACATATATATTGTTTCATTTATTTACTGTATATTTTAAGCTCAAAATGCTTATGAATTAACAGTAAACATATATGCTAAAAGTAACTGGTCAGTTAGAGTCCTAAATAACAAAGAGAAGATCCAAATAACCAATATAAATGACATTAAACTTTTTTTATATATAATAAGTGTTAAGCTTCATTATTCCTTGGTAATATTAAGATTCTAGTCATTGAAAAAAGAGATTATCATACACATAAACTTGAGAATGTTTATTTACTGGTTAGTAAAAAAACTTTTAAACAATAAGTCAGATTTAACCAATTTGTTGTGCTTTCATCAGTTGAAATGTTGTAATTGTGATTGTTTTCACTTTCATCACACTATGAAAAGAATATTCTATGAGATATGTTTCTTAAACTCTAATAGTTTTATATCATGCTAATATTTTTTTCCTGTTTAGGCAGAAAAGATCTGTGAACTTATTGAACTATTCTTAAGAGAATATAAAGAAGAGGTAGTTTATTTATTGCATTTAACTAATGTTTGTGTTTTTTTGTTACATAACTTATTTGCTACTTTGTTATTACTATTGTTAGTAGTATCACTGTTATTATTAATAGGATTAGTATTATATGGAGAGAATTGCGTTTTTGTAAATGAAATAGAAAAGAGTTGAAAATGCTTTGACCATTTGTCTTATTGACTGTTAGTGTATTTGTTTTTACAATTTATTATTATGTACCTTCATACATTATCAACATCACTTGTTAAACCCTCATTACAACAGATCATTTTATTTGATAAATTTAATTATTCATTAATCTCATCAAATATTATTGATATTTCTTTATTTTAATTGTTAATCATGAAATTCTACTTGCTTAATCATCTAATTCCAATAGATATCATATATTAATTGTTAATAAACCATTATAAATTTAAATTCATTTAGTATTGTTTGTTTGAATCTTCCCATCGATGTGTTAGGACTGCAACGGGTCAGTCTCTAATTGGCATATGTGCATACTGTGCGTATTGCTTCGATATAGCCTTAATTCACAAGCATGGTAAACAGAGATGGATAGTGGCTAGCAGGACTCAGTGGCCGAGTGGATAACGCGATGGCGTTTGAAGCGAGGGTACGGGGTTCGAGTCCCAGAGTGAACATCAACTCTGAGATGCAGGTACATCCAGCTGACGAGTCCCGAATAGGAGGAAACGCGCGTCCTTGATTCCACTGCTAGCCACTATCCATCTCTGCTTACCATTATAAATTTAGTTTATTTCCCATCATAAATTCTTATTATTTTCTTTAGAATTGTGTAATTATCTTGAGTTCTCTATTTTAACTTGTGTGTACATATGATGACAATGAAACCTAATTAGACCAGATTGAAAAGTATACTTTTGATTCATGTATCTGTGTATTTTTTTTAAATTGAGATTTTTGTTTGAAACATCTACTTTACTTAGATATACTTAAATATTTAAAATGGTAGTTGCTCTAAGTTTATATCTTTTCAGAATCAGTCCACATATTCAAAGTTTATTTTATTTTTTTCATTTTGATGCTAGATGAAAAATAGTTTGCCGCTATTTTGTATACTTTGCTAATGTATGAGCAAGATTTTCTGTCGTAAAACATATAGAACCTGTGATAATATTTGAACTGTATAGTTTACTTATTAAAAGAGCGTTGAAAATCTTTGACAAGTTTATATTGTAAAAAAAGGTTTGTTTTAGGCTGACCAAATGCTGGCTTTTGTAAGACATGTCATATTTTAAAATAGCAAAAATCATTTTCTCTTTCACTTTTTATTTATTAAAGAGAGAAATTTCAGATGAATCACGTCTAGGGAATATTTAACATTCAAATTTTTAATTAAAAAGGCTGGTATGGATATTTATTATGCGATTGACTTTCTATAGATATAAGATTTTCAAGTATGCTCTACTTCAAAGATAAAACAGTCATAACAAAATATATTATAGGTTTCATTAATCTGAGAAAATGTACTCTTGCAAAATTTTGGCTTACATCCAAGTATGCGCTACACTTTTTAAAACACTTATTTTTCCGTTCGGAAGAATATATCTCTCACACTATAATGAAAAAAAATTGTTTCGTATAGTTTGCACCCCGAAATATCGGGAATCATTACCTTGAAACCCTGCGTCCTAATCCATGATCGCTTATCTTGATATTTCATGTACATATTCTTTAATTAATGATCTTGAACACAAAATCTTCTTACACGTAATCTACTGACCTCCATCCTCCATGTTTTAATTTCGTTTTCTTTTCAATAGTTTTCCTTTTTCTTTATTATTCACAGGTTTTGTCATTTTCACCAACTATTTCCAATATGTTCCTACGTTGTTATGACTGTTTATAAGTGTACAATGACGTCATCACTTTGTTCAAAATCTCAAAAATTTCGAGTAGCTGATTGCTTTTCAATTAAATTTTTTTCACTCAATTTTTTATGAAATCTTTAAAGAAATCTGTCTTCATACATAAATGAAAAAGATTACATATTACTGTAAATATATTTTGAAAGGTTTATTTGTGTGGTAATATATTCATCTATTGCATATTTTTACGTAATCTGTATATGATTTCTTAATATAACCTAACTAATTTGTAGTTTATATATAGATTAAACAACTGAAAGCGTGTCCTAATTTGCCGAAATTGTACTCTCTCTTTTTACTGTCTCCTCTCTCTCTTTACACCATGCAGTTTACTATATTTATCATAAGCCACAATAATTTTCATTTATAACAATTAATATCATATTACTTCTTGTGTAAACTTTTTATGTTGTTCTTATTTAAACTTATAGATGAAACGTCTTCAAGATGCGAAACAATCAGCTTTCAGAGGTCGTTGTAAGTGTGTTTATCCATACTTGGTTTTATTTACAATTACGTTTTATTGTCAATGAAAAGAGTTTTCTTAGTTTGTGATTAAAAAAGTGACTGATTTGATTACTTTACTTAAGTCTCAGATTTAGAGTTTTCCCAAATTTTTCGTGTCTGCTTTATATTGTGGAAATGGAAACATCGTTAAAACTTTTGTTAGTGGTAAAGAAGTAGTATTTTCAGTAGTAATTTTTTACGATAAACACTGCATTAGAAGCAATTCAAGATGTGACTATGAAAAAATATTAGGCTGTTACTCGAAAAAAAATTAACAAAAACTGCTGTACCATTCAAGTATTGCCTATACCCTAATCATTATTTCTTCCATGGTCGAATTATTGAAATGATCCATTAAAACAGTGATTAGATTATTTGTAATATCATTGATTGTTATGAAACACTAAAACATTTTGTCTGAAATTTGATAAGAACATACACTATCCATCTCAAAACGTTATTAAAGATAACTTTCATCGAAGTTATTGTTAGTTTTGCTGTTTTTTCACCTTCCAAACAGACGATCAGAAAACATGAACAAAGAAGAATGAAACTTATTTTGAATAAGTATTCTTATTTAATGTGGCTGTCTTGATTTCTAACACTCACTACTTGTTGTGCTTTACTTTCATTCAGACTTCAAAGTATTCATTTTTCTATTTTGTGGCATGTGTCTTAGTACCACTTGTGTACTAACAATTTTTGAAAATTATTTTTTTTCAAGAGTGAAATAAAGTAGCCATTTAAAAAAGAAGTCATGAAGTTCTTTTTATTTATTATTAACACTATATATAAATATACATGGATTATAATGAAGCTTGTTTATCATCCTGTTGATTGCACAACTACTGTCAGTTTCAAAGTTTCATCCTAAAGACTTAGGTCACGGTTTGTATTAGTTATATTATTATTATCATTATTTTTTATTGATGGCTTTATTCAATATTATATTTTCGGTACAATATAAAATTCTCAGCACAAAATGTTCCAGCAAGTTTCCGTTTTTGATTTCTTGATCGATCCTGACGATAAATGTTGAGTGATCTCCATTTAGATGTTAGCAGTTCAGGAATCGACATCTGGATAGTGTTCATTATTTTCGATGCATATTGCCAGCCATCATGAAGTCTCTGATTCTACCTGTTTGTAAATTGTACAGCGTAAAGTCGTAAGCTTTTCATAATCAAGCCTTAATAGATTATGTGATCAGTAGACATTATAATGTATCAAAACAAATCAAAACAGGAAACTTACTGAAATATCTAGATGATAGGAACGGGTAGCCCAGATATTCAAGCCTACATTTACTGTCAAACAGTTACGATTGAACTTGTTTAAATTAGGTGACTTCTTTAGTTGGGTACTCTGAAAAATCTACTACCTAAATCTTTAAATAAACCGGAAGATATTCATGTTGCCTAAAGGTTATAATTCTCATTGTGTTCGATGCTCTGAGTACAGACTGAGAGATATGTCTCAGACTAAAACGGAACAAATATCCAGTTTTCTATGAAGTTTAGTAGTTTTCTTGTTGACATGAATTTGTGACACGCTACTACTAGTTTGAGAACACCTTAAGAACAACTGACGGTGAATTTTAGTCTAAAAGAACCATATAAGGAAAATGGGAGGATAAATCATTTTCAATAATTTGACTTTTCCTATATGTACGTTATATACATTATTGAATCATATCTGTACAATAAGTAGTAATGAATTTATTTTCTCTCTGTAAATATCAATTTAAGCATTCACCGAAGAGGATTCGAGCTCAAATGGAAACTTTTGTATACAAAAACTCTTGATAAAATTAAATAGTTTTCAAAAAACCTCTTTTTACTATTAATTTGTAAATAAAATGCTGTGAAAAACGAGAAAATCAACTAAACAGTTTGCTTCATAATTCAACTTCTCATATTAAAAATTTCCACTAACAATGTAATATAACGTCATTTGTTCACTATATTCATAAAAGTTCTCAACATTAGTTCTGTCTACGTTTCTCATACATTGCATTGTACCGAATCCTTTGAAAACTCTTTTACATGACATACATTTGGCCAATGTCTCTGGAACTATAGGCTTGTTTTTTTACAGCGTCTCCTTGCAAATGATACACCAAATAAATATTGATTGTCTTGTTTTTCCTCAATCTCATTTTTTGTATATTATTAAATTTTCACATAACTATTCTACAATAATACATATATGTAATTTACTTATTCATAAATTGTTATTTACATAGTCAACCTATCAACTCCTGACATTCCAAGTACTCCAGAAGTTACATATCGGCTAGTATGCAGTCCTGCTTTACTTTCAAATGATTTGTCCGAACCCTCATTAAATTCAGAGCAGCAATTTATTAAAAAAAATATTACAAGTCTTGATGCAAAACCTCCGATAATTCCAAGAAGACGTAATCATGTTTCGTATAAGTTTGATAATTCTACGAATAATAATTCACTAGTTGACAGTTCTGATTCATTATCTTCGGATTCAGAATTACATTCACCAAATCCAATCAGTCGATCAGCAACACCAACTGTAGTCAAACATACACGATCATCAAGTGAACATAATCTCATTAGTGGTGTGAACAACTTAGGATCTGGTGAAGATACTCCAGTTGGTTGGAATCCACCATTTAGACGAAATTTGTTTGGTGATTTGCAAGGACAACAGTTTAATGAACATCCTCTTTTGCCATTTGCACGTCAAAATTTTTTAAATAAGTGAGTGAATTTAGAAAGTTTTATTTTATTTTAAGATAAAATTATGGTGAGAATAATAAGAACTAATATACGGGTATTTGTTTTTGAAATATCGAAAACAATTTACTTTGCGGTTTAGTGAATCACTTTATCATATTTTGTTTTGTCCCAAGTTTTTGTTTAGAAATATATATTGTACAGTAAAAAATCAGTTTGTATGTTAAAACCCTCCGTAGCAATATTTAGAAGCATAAACTATCCTTTCCGCTTCGGCTTTCCGGAGGTGGATATCATGCTATTGTGATGTTAACTTTGTCGCTACCTGTCTGTATAAGATGATTAATGATAATCTACTGGTAATTGGTTTTCGATCATCAATGAAATATACTGTCTGTTTACCTTTGTCTAGTGAACAGTGTGGTATGTTTGTAGGAGAATCAAACTGATTACAACTTATGTGGTTAAAGACAGACATATCCAGGTTACAACGCCTCTCACTTATGCATGCTCGATGTATATGTAACTATACTGACAGTCTGTATCCAGTGTCTGTCTTTTATATTCGTACCCGGTCAATATTACTTCATGTGAGTTTTTTGAAGAATTTTGTCAATACATTCTTACAGAAATCAACGCCGAATTTTCATGTAATCATTTTATACTTTGGCTTATTGTGCATGATCCTCTGTAGATCAGTTAATTTGCGCATAGTTAAATGTTTCTTTAATAATAGAAACTTTCTTCAGAACCTAATACGAACGAGTTATAGTGTGGTGCAATACAGGTGGAAATGCAATTAAGTAAATTATTTCAAATCAATATCATATAGTGAAAAAAGTTGTTCGACATCGACTGAGATATTATCAGGGAAAATAATTTGTCAATTAGAAGTACCTCGGTGTTTTTTGCTTTCTTTATCTTAGACAACTCTATCGTGAAACGTTTACAACCCTACTATTATGAAACAATGTCTGTATAGAGTTAATACAAATATATCGAACTTGATTAATGAAAGAAGCAACTTTCTTCCTGTCTTCGTTTTCACATAAGGTTGATAAAACTACTTTTTTTATTTCAAAACTGTTTTTAAAATCCCCAGTTTATGAAAAACCACTATAAAATAATCAAAACAGTTTTACTAGTGTCGTGTGTGCTACTGATGTCGACAGATATAAGTATTTTGTATCACCAATCGAAAGTGGAATGTCTAACAGCAGAAGGTTGAGAAAATCGAACAGAAGAGAACGAAGAGAACGATATTCTGTAATATATTAAAATACATTTAGTTGTCCCCGCCTGTGCTTTCGTTTACTACAATATAAAGTACATTATTATGCAAAATGTCTTGTGAAATAATCTAGATATAAAGTTTATACTATTTATTTTTATCGTATTAAAAAGTGAAATAGACTTTTACTGTAGAACAAAAGTTTATAAACTTGTCTTTCTGTTGACTGGAAATTATCCATGCTTACATTTCACTATTATCACATTGAAAGAATTTCATAACTAATAACTGATTTGAAATGTTTATCACTTCATGAATAAGAGATTACTGATTTGTTCAAAAGGCGAAGTGATGTATTTTTGCTCGAATACTTAATGATTTAGAAAACATTGTTCACCAACATGTTAACAGATGGATTTCAGTTTAATTCATGATAAGAATTGTGTTCATAACGTAAATGTAAATAGATATAGGACTAATGATCTGCGTAAATTATTGTCATATAATTTTCGATTGAACTGTGCCGCTCAACATTTTCAGTGATCTTTTTTTTATTTTTAAGTTTAAAGACTTTTTAACCAACACTAATTTACATAAATATTGTAACTAGAAGAAACGGTTAGTCATCCTTGTAAATCAAATATTGATGAAATTGAATAAGTGATCATTTCCTTTTGAGTCGTTCGGTTTCCAAGTGGTTTTTTAAATGTTTTTATTGGTTCTACCCACTTTTTTAACGAAGAGTAAGATTTCTCCATTTGTATGTATTTGTAATTTAAATTTCTTAAACGTTACATTGTGACTTCTTTACTTTATATTAAAGAAATGACGTAATCCAACAACTTAGTTGGGAGCCTCAACCACCTGAATCTGGATCTCTGTTAAAACATCCAGATAGTGTGGATACGGAAGTGTCAAGCAATATATTTACACGTATGTATCATAGCGAAAGTAATCTGCTGTACTAACACTTGGTGGTTTACACCTAATTTTACCAACAAAATCAGTTCGCTTTTAATTTAATTTGATACAGTAGTCAACTATTTATGTGCACATTAATTTGAAGCCACGTTAACAATTATACATTTTGATCCTTTCCGTTACTGTACATCCATATCTAGCTTATTTTATTCCATAAACTATTTTGCCAGTCACTAAACTCTGCAATTTCACATTTACAGCGCTCCTACTTTAACTACATTAAATTCATTCATTGCATTTTTCTTCCATTCTTCCATTTAAATGTGTGTTGAAATTAGTACACTGTTAAATAATTCTCATCACAACTCCATAACATTTTAAATAATAGCTGAAATCACTACAAAGAGGACATAGTTTTTATCTTGTTGACAAATAAATATCCATAACTTCCGTTTATTGCTACGCTTCCAATTCTCAAGCTCGTTAGGTGCTACAACCAATTTACACCTACATATCAATAAGCATGCAATCTGTAGAATGATTTGCTTAAGATTCGAATACTAATGTTTTGGGTTTTAAAACAAAACACGTTTTATGTTATAATGATGATAAGTAAACGACTCTGAATAAATTCAAGATTTATCAAAATATTATTGAGGTATCTAACTATCATTTCATTGATTTAACAAGATACATTATTTTTACCATTGAGCTTATAAATTTTATCTCTGATGAAAACTATCATAAACTAATGTTATTACCTTACCATTTTATTGATTCTATGGTTTATTTTATAACGATTGGATGAATGCTCCGTCTACTAAGGATTGAATCTTTTCATTCATATCCTTATTGCCTGTAGATTTTAAAATTATTATAATGAACAGGTTGGGTAGAATTTATCTCGGTCACCGCGTCTTACTGTTGAAAATAAAATAAAATATATAAAGGATAGGGATTTACTTCACCTTATTATCTGCGCATTGTCCTCTTACTAGTTAAACTTTAGTAATCATTGGGAATAGAACAAACATTTCAATTGTCATAACTAGATTACTTATATTTTAAAAGTTGGACAATTTGATATTTCTATCATATATGAACTGCTAATTTCTGTATATATTTCTTTGTATTAAAACCTTTTAAACTCATCTTTATCTTCATTTCAAATATATCAACAACAGCAACAACAAATAATTTAAAGTCATCATCATCAATCAATTCATATTCTGTTTACGTATTGCATATTTATTTCAATCTAAGTTGATTTTAATCAAATAAACAAAAAGAAAAAGGAAAAAAAAACAGATTCTGTTTAGTCTACCAATCAATCTTTTGAATATTATTTAGTTTTAAATGATTTGATTTAATTTCTTTTAACAGAGTTTTCTTAATTAATATACTTTATATATGATTTACAATAATTAAATAACACTCATTGAGTAGATACGTTACGTAATAATTATATGACATATCGAGTATAAACTAACATTTTTTAAAAATAGAACTGACCTTGAAAGGATATTTTTGACAAACAGTGTCCAACAAATTAAAGTATATCTCATGATTAATATCTCTATTCGAAACTAATAAAGACTATATATGTACATAGAATGGAATAATCAACCGAATATTCCATGTTCTATTCCTTATGTATTTAAAGTTTTATTGTTCAACAAATTACTGGTTCTTACCATTATAAATTATGTCAAGTCACATGAATCGGCTGAATATTATAGTTTATATTTTTAATTTTTAAATAACATAACTAGTCGTTTCAAAACAAATAGCATTACATAATTTTGATTCTTATGCATTCTAAATTGAAATATCTAGATTTTTATAGCTTCTGTTTGCAAAACAAATCAACTTATTAGTTTGGAAAAAGCTAACTAAGCATTTTTAAGCATCCTTTTCTTTCATTTATTTAAATAGTTATTCAATGTTTTGCCAAAGAAGTTCCATCGAAATACCCACAGAGTGTGATTATTAAATTATTAATTGAAGTAAGTATCAAAACGTTATGCTCCATAAATTAAATTTTTGTTTACATTGAGTTCATTTTAATGAGATAGTGATATTAAAGTTACCTCACTGTTTTTTTGTTTCAATCTTCATAGATGCTGAACGAACGACCATGGCTTTCTGATGAGTTGTACTGTCAACTTGCTAAACAAACATATTCATATAATAATAGGAGTAATCAGTAAGTTATTGATTTATTCTACTTTTCGTTGGATATCATTTCGATTATATTCAAACAAATGGAGTTGCAATGGGCTCTCCATTGGGTCCTCTTTTGGTTGATTGTTTCATGGCCAATCTAGAAAATTCAGCACTTCGTCAAATAATCGATAAATTTCATTTATATAAGAGATATATGGATGATACCTTCATTATTTGTGATGATAACATGGACCACAATGAAATATTAAATATTTTCAATAACTGTCACCCTTCAATTCAATTTACCTTAGAGGCAGAATCGAACCACGAATTCCATTTTCTTGATGTCCATTTGAAAAGATTGCCTGATGGTTATTTACAAAGATCTATGTATAGAAAACCCACTTGGAATGGACAATACACGAATTTCCATAGTTGGGTTCCATTGAGTCGAAAGAGGAACTTAATTCACTCTTTATCATCTAGGATTAAGCGAATCTGTTCTAGTGACACAATAAATGAAGAATTACTTCATCTTCGACAGACCCTCATCAAAAATGGTTATCCACCGAGGTTCGTTGATAGCAACTTAACATCTAGACGTCAGCAACAAATAACTTTGACGGTGCAGAAGAAAACCTTGTTTATGAATATGGAATTCAAGGGAGACACGGCTGCTGAAATCCTGAATAAACGGATTTCAAAAACGTTGAATAAAACTTTCTACACAGCCAAGCTCCGAATCGTTTTCTCTAGCCGGCCTACCATTCGGGGGTGTGTTAAGGATAAACTTTCGCTTTGGGCCATATCGATGTGTATTTATAAATTTACTTGCTTATGTGGAGCACGTTATATAGGCCGCACAAAGCGATCGCTTTCCAAACGTATCTCTGAACACTATCCAGCTTGGCTCCTAAAAGGTGAATGTAAGAAGATAACCAGTTACAAGAGCACTTGATCAATTGCGGACACATTGCTCCAAAAGAGACGTCTTTTAAAATAATCTATAGAGTTAAACGAACCGGATCAAAGGGAGGTCGAATCAATATTTTATGCACTGCTGAGGCATTGGCAATCCATGAATTCAAGCCTGAACTTTGCGTGCAGAAACGATTTGTCCAACCTCTTACCCTTCCTTGGCCCTAATTCCCTCATTGGGTACGTTTTTTGGTTTTTTGTTTTTTGTACTTTTATCTGATTATTATCGGTTTTTTGTTTTTTAAATTACTACTTTACATTTAATCTCTAATCAGTTATCATTATTATTATTACCTTATACAAGTTTTCTTGATTATTACTCAGATTATTTATCATTGTTGAAAGCGTGAGTCAATTGAAGCTAGACCACCATGGAAAACCTGGAAACACTGGACGGCCGTTTCGTCCTATTATGGGACTCCTCAGATTATTATTATTATTATGACCTTTGTGTTTGTCACTTTTCTTCATATCTGTCAATTGAACTATTATCTGACCCATAAATTATTTTCTTCCTTACCCCTTGATTAGTACGTCACCTCATTTGTTATTTATTGTCGAATCCATTTATAAAGCAATCTTTTCTAGCCTCCTATAGACATATATTTTCCATATTACTATATATACGAATGTACAGCTTAAGTAAATGATTTCGTCGAAAAGAAAATTTTCTTCGCTGAATTCTCTTTTTTTTTATATTCAATTTAATGACATAATGTTTTAAACAGTTCGTTCGTTGAAGTTCAATTTTGTCCCGAATTGACTTCAACCACTGAAAAATAATGAAGAATGAGAAGCTATTTCGTCGCTTTATATGGCTCCTTGAGAGTTTCCCCCTATTAACTCTATTGTAAGTCAGTCCTAGAACTGTTGTAGTGAACGGAATAAAGTTCTTTCATAAAATGTGAAAACCATGCGTTAAATACTTCATTTGCGAATCTTCCATCACTTGTCCTTTACATTCTTCATGTTTCTTCCTATTATCAATTTCTTTATGTCCTCCTTTCTGTTTTCAGTTTAATCTTTTCAACCTTCTTTTGACAGGTATTCCACCTCTGATTTATGTTACATTCTACTTATGCCTGTCAACATAAAATTATAATGTCTGAACATGTATAAAAATGGTTGCAGAAACAAATAGAATCAAATGACCCCATAAGAGTAGAGGATAAACATCCATCATCCTCTATTACCAAACATATAATCGAAACAGGCCATAAGATTGATCTAAACTCGGCTTTTGTTGTGTTGTATAAGTGTAAAAGGGCTTATACTAAGGTTGATTGAAGCCCTAGCCATACGAAAATTCAAACCCCCTTTGTGTATTCAAAAACAGTTTGTTCTCTCCTTAAACCTACCCTGGTAATATACGCTTATTATCCAGAGTGATTAGGTTTCAAATTGTTTTCATATTATTATTATTATTATTATTATTATTATTATTATTATTATTATTATTAATCAGAAGGGGTTTTAGTGGAGATTTAATATTTGCATAGTTGAATCTCGTTAGGCGATGTCGTGGATGCGCACTACTGAGGAGTCTCACAATAGGACGAAACGGCCGTCCAGTGCTTCCAGGTTCTCGATGGTGGTCTAGCTTCAATTGACTCATGCTTTCAATTATTATTATTATTATTATTATTATTATTATTATTATTATCCTTGCCTCCTCTTAAACCCCATCTTCAGTCTAGTTGACCCTTTATTTTTCTAAATAAATGTTCTTAACAAGTGTATGTGTGATCAGATTGTTCAAAATGTATATATATCACGTATATATCACGTAGTTCTGATAATCTTCGTCTTATTACACTATCTAAAAACCTAAGGAATTCGTTGCTCTAAAATCACTCACTAATGGTTATGTATTTTGAGCTTTTAAGCCCGGTTACGTGACTTATTCGCTAATCGGAACGCGACTTATACAATCTTAGTGCTGTGCCGAACCAATGATATTCGATCTTTGTGAGCAGCCTAGCGTCCTTATTGTCCCTTTGTCCTCATAGCCCTGCCAGTTGAGTCCAGAACACCAATACCAGCTTCCACTATGCGGATCATTTATTTTAAACATACCTGGTTTATATACAAGCCAAAACGGATCAAATCACACCATAAAATAGGAAATAACATTTGTAGAGGATCAAGCCCAAAAGTAACTGTGAACGTGGGAGACAGTAATTAATAAACTGGACATAACTTAAGAACAGTAAATCGTATAATAATAGTCTATAGATTAAAATAAAGCTTATAATAAAAGGAATATAGATATACACAATCTAATTACTAAATAGTTACACAATAGCAATATATATTTAATATTAGTCTATTAATAGTTTACTGAGGTTACCCGTAATTTAATCTTCACTAGGGCATAACAATGGGATTAATGTTTAATTGAAAATTTACTTTACAACAATGGGACCCTTATCATCTAAATCATTATTGAAAATATAGATTCCTTGAATAGAAGTGTCCATCTACATAACTGTATTTTCATTTCTATAAGTATTCTGGAATACCATGGTTAGGCGCAGAATTTAGTTATTTCGGGATTTATATAAAACATAAAAGACATCTAGTGTTGGTTTGTTAAATATAATTACTTAAATGAAATCAGTCTTCAGCAAACCTGTGTTCATAGTTTTTTAAGAATAAATGGCTAACATGTTCGCATAATGAAGATGAAATTCTGTAGACGCCTAAATATCGAGTTTATAAATTGAACTGGTTACTGATCTAGTTTATTGATTACGAAAGCGAATTCGCGTGAACAAACTGATTGATGAAACGATTGAAAATAATACTTTATTCAGTATAGATATATGTGCAGTACCTGGGAAGCATCATTGATAAACAAGTAGGATCTGATACAGATGTAAAGGCGAGGATTGGCAAAGCAAGGACCGCATTCCTACAGTTAAAGAACATATGGAACTCAAAACAACTCTCAACCAATTTCAAAGTGAGAATCTTCAATACGAACGTCAAGACAGTCCTAATGTATGGATCTATAACGTGGAGAACTACTACAACCATCGTGAAGAAGGTACAAGTATTTTTTAAACAGTTGTCTACGCACAATACTCAACATTCACTGACCGGATACCATCAGCAACAGCCTTTTGTGGGAGAGGACAATCCAACTTCCAGTTGACGAGGAAAGTAGGAAAAGATGCTGAAAGTCTATAGGACGTACATTAAGGAAATCATCAAATTGCATCACGACTCAATCCCTAACTTGGAATCCTGAGGGGAAGCGGAAAAGTGGAAGGCCGAAGAGCACATTAGGCCGGGAAATAGAAGCAGATATGAAAAGGATGAATGTTAACTGTAAAGGATTGGCCAGGACAGAGTTGGATGGAGAATCCTGGTGTGCGGCCTGTGCTCCTTCACGAGGGGTAACAGGCGTAAGTAAAGAAAGAAACAATTGTGAACTTCATTAATACTATTCTCGTGAATTGTATGAGGTTATCCTTCCGTTCATCATTGTTCAGTATCCAACAGTTTCTGGGATTTTTTCGTTCATTTATCGAGTGAATGTTATACATAAGATTCTATTTCAAGCATCTAAATTTATGAACATCTGTTTTTTATAAACATCTCAGTGTATCCCAATATGTTAAACAACAAAATTAATATAGTGTAGGTAAGGGCTTGAAACGAATTCTGAAGTGAAAATTACACTCTTATATGCAATGCTTTCATACTACATAAACGGAAAAATATCCTAAAATGCCATATACTGAACATTTATCGAATGTCGAAAAACAGACGGATAATTCCACACGATTGATTAAATTAAACAAATGATTATCATTCGAATTAAAGAAATCAAACTCCTCTACAAAGATTTCTCTGTTAACGCTTTATTTCACCTTACATTGTAACTATTTTCATGATTAGTGATTATTTTCTCTTCCTAATGTTTTTTTTATGTATAGGAATAATTTTAAACTTGTGTGGTTATTATGGAAGTTGTTAACAATTTTTGTTCCAACATCAGATGCACTTAGGCCATATTTAATTAAATATATTGGATTTCGACAAGATATTCAACACCAAAAATTACAAGGTAGGTCTGTATACGGAATTTTCAACTCATTTATTCAGTGTTCAAACATATGTACGTCTGAAAAGATAACATTTTTTGTTGCTACAGCAAATAAAGGGAATCAATTTCAACAAACAGAGACTGGTTAATGATAAAGTGAAACTTGTTTGCTTTTTTCAATCACTCGTAAAATCTCATAGGCAATAATACAAACAAGTGATTCAGAGAAACAATATTTATTGTTAGAATTATAGTCATGTCCTACGTTATACGTAAAATGCACTTCTCATGCTTATAATTTTCTTTTAATTTATCACGGAAGGACGAAACACATTTCAGTTTACAGAAATTAATGTTTATGTCTGAGTTGTTGCAACATAGATTAAGTAGTAATGATAACAATTATGCTTTAATTACAATCATGATAAATCGTAAGTGTTACGTCTTGCACTCGATTACTGCAGAATACGATATACAACTAACGGCACTTGAATGTATAGAACTCCACAGTCGCAAATCAGAAGACAAGAAAGCATGAGAAGTGATTGTTGGGTAAGAATCAAAATTGTACAGAAAAACATGTGTATCTATAGTTACTAACGTTGGTTAAAAAATCATTATAATTCAGCTAACCCACAAGGAGACAATTTATGCTACCTTGATAATTCCAAATAAATTGAGTATAGAGTAGATTGTTATAAATAAAAATAATATCATCCTGATTAGTAGAAGAATCAGATTTCTTGATGTTTCGCAACTCAGTGGAAGCCACTTCTCCAGAGAAGTCTTTCTTGTTCGAGTCTTCGATATTTTGTTCTTCCTGGTATTCTTGGACGTATGTGTCATTGACGTGTCTGTGATTAACCCTAACTGATGATTCACCTGGTTATCTCCGGAGCACATCATTCTCTTATCTTTGTAGATTTGGTTCTTGCATCTGATACATGTCTCGAAAGCTCCTCGGTCTCTACACAAAATTCTCTCCAATCTTCCTGCAATTGTTCCTGGTTTCCATCGATTCTTTCGGAGGTATGACTCGAAGAACACCTTATCGCCTACATTAAAATATCGGATATTCGGATCTCGTCTGTGCCCACCCACTACTTTAGGTGGTAACATAGCGTTGAAAATAGTCCCAATACCTCTTCCAAACATGACTTCAACAGAGGACTCCCTACCCGGGACAGTAGGGTTGAAAGTATTTCTACCTGACTTGTCCCCTCGTCCCTCTCTTTCAGTAATGCTCTTTTAAATATGTCGACATAGTTCTCTACCTTGTCTTTTGATTGGAAGTGATAGGGTGGAGAGCTTAGATGCGTTATTCCATTTTTACTGAAAAAGTGCTTGGATGATCCCGAAGTGAATTTTGAGCCACTGTCAGTAACCAAGGTCTATGGAACTCCAAAACAGCTGAACAACTGCCGATTGTTTCATTGGCTGTGCAATTCGACATATTATAAATTTTTAATCATTTAGGCTTAAACTGGAACAGCGGAATTCACGTGAAGTCTCTCCCAGGGCCCAGAAGGATTAGGCCACTACTGTGGTACGCATTTCAAAGGGTTTTTAGTAGTCTGCAGACACGATGAACAGTTGTGGCATTTATTTCCGATATTCCTGTCTATTTAGGGCGGATAAGCGTAACATCGAGCCAATTATTTCATCTTATTGATCTCAGAATGACCACTATGCAATTTCTCGGGAACTTTGTGAAATAACAATTCCGAACAGAACACATGATTTGACAACCATCAATGAGTCACGTTTACGAAATTACTGCAAAAGTTCTCCTTCGAAGCGATGATTGGGTGATGAAGTAAAAAGACAACCTCTAACCTCAATATCTTGTCAATTTGAGTGGTTTCTTTAATAGCTTCGAAGGTAATCCATAGTTCACAGATTGCGTCATTCAACAATATGAAGTGACAACAAATATGATTAATCCGTTACTCCTGGTGCCGTAAATGTTTTTGAGTGTAAGAATTATTAGAAGATAAAAATTCACCTGTCAAAAGAAACAGTTCACCTGTGATTGGAGAAATCTATTATTTAGTAAAAATACAACTCTTTGTATACTCTACTAGATAAGTTATCTCTACAATGGAAAAACATTTGAATAGTTTACTCTGATTGATATGACAATAACGACAGTATAGTGAATCATAATGTGCTACATCAGTCAACAGCCTTGAATATTGATTTCTGGATTAGCCAATCTTTATCAGAATGTATGGATATTTTTAAATGTTGTACATTTAGCTAAAATATTATCGAATCCTTTTCATTTTACAGCTTGCTTAGATACAATTATTCAGAACATGGAAATCGTTTCCCGTTATGGCCCTAGAAAACACTTACCACCTGATAATGCTTTAGAGTCCTTTATAGTAAGTAAAATGTATTTTTGTAGATCACTTAGTCACACAACTCTACCTTTTTATGTATATTCAATTGATTTTTTCAGTAACGTTTACTGATTAACCTTACCGGTTCACTTATTTTTAACTAATGAGAAAATTGACTGAATAAGTAGCATGAGAAATTTTTAGATGAAGTAACAAAGTGAAAGGTTTTTAAAGCACACTATCTGTTACATAGACTGATAAACTTTTCTTTCTAAGCAGCTATATTACCTAACTTAAAATAATGGATTGGCTTTTTCTTCTCGAAATAATTATCTATGTCCTCGGCCCTAATATCATGTATTTGGTTAAAAGTCAGGTGGTGGATCTTCATCCGGTCACTAAGAAAAAAAGCAAAAAAACAACAATTTCATCGAGCAGCTTTATTATTATTATGATCATTATTATTGGTGGCTTTATTCAATATTATATTTTCGGTAAAATATAAAATTCTCAGCACAAAATATTCCAACAAGTTTCTGTTTTTGATTTCTTGATCGATCCTGACGATAAATGTTGAGTGATCTCCATTTAGATGTTAGCAGTTCAGGAATCGACATCTGGATAATGTTCATTATTTTCGATGCATATTGCCAGCCATCATGAAGTCTCTGATTCTACCTGTTTGTAAATTGTACAGCGTAAAGTCGTAAGCTTTTCATAATCAAGCCTTAATAGATTATGTGATCAATAAATATTATAATGTTTACGAATCTTCGTCAACACTAGAACCACTAGTTTGATAAAAATTGGTCGCCGAGTATAGCCTGAACCGAAAGGATGGTATTCAATTAGCAACTATACGGCGAATATTCGTAAACAAGTGATTGTACCCATTCCTTATCCAACCTGTTTATTTCACATGCATCGTTTTTCTGATTGAAATTAATATAGATTATTTTAGCAATACAATTATGTATTTGATGATTCTCATTTTACATGATCATCAACGATTCAGAAACAATTTTTTCAACCTTCGACTTGCACTTTTATTTTATTTTTTCTTCACATAAAGACATATTAACACTGAATATCAATCATTAGTAAGTCAATCCTACACATACAAACACACGCAATTCATTTAGTTATTTGTTTTCACATCGTGAATGTTTCATATGATTCGCATTTAACTGACTCATTCTAGTTACTAAAGTCAACATCCAAATATGATTGGATTAACACAGTATAGATTTGTTTTGATTCTTAAACGCTATATATTTCTTTGATGATTTTGATAATTACCTTGAAGATGCCCGGACGAAACTTTGGAATTATTTAAACTTCAATCGCTGAGATTATGTCCAACATAATTTTCACGTATGATATTGTGTTAAAACAAAGCAAAACAGAGAACTTGTTGAAATATCTAAATGTTAGGAACAGGCAGTCCAGGTATTCAAGCAGGCCACCCGATGGATTGTTGGTAAAATATCTAAATTATTTTAGGAGTGAGATATCCCTCCCTATTTGACTGCACTTCCTCCCAGAGATTACCGACTAGTTATTCGGTCACCAATGATTTCACTTGATAGGCATCGGTCCCCCTAAATTCTAGTTACATCTTACTGGCGAATGGTAGCTAATACCGATATCTTTATCTAAGAATTCTTGTTAGATGACTTTTAACCACCTAATATATAACATACAACCTACTAAATTAATAAGATGTATTGGAGATGTATTTTACTAGTCGAGTATAAATTATCTTTTCTGATTTTAGGACGGTCACATGATCCATAGACAAGAAATTTATTTTGTTAATAATAATAGTACAAGTATACCACTCGTACAATTATGTCTTGTTCAAGACGTCATTCATAATGTAATCAATAAACTCAGTGCAAGTCTCCTTAGTTCAGCGACTGATTTCGCATTATTTCTTTGTCGTAAAAATGGATCGATCAACAGTGAGCCAATTTCATTTTATGAACATGTTAATTTTGTCATAGTTACTACTTACTGTTAGTTTTTCTCTAGTAGACTGTAATTTGATCAGAGCCAAAACAACTAGCAATGCGGAACCACCAGGTCTGTTTCAAGACGTATAAATTGATTAAGAAGACGGAATATAATCTATGTACTATCTAAACATAAACAAATGAGAAAAATCCAACAAATAGCTTATCCGACGAACTATAGAGGATATCTCAAGGATTTCGACCAGACTGTTAAAACTATGGAGGACAAGTGTAGCTCATAACCTAAAAACATTCCTCTAATTAATGTTATGCTTGCTGAAAATCCTGGAGAATAAAAGCCAGATATTTTCTAAAAAGCAAACCGTTTTAATTACAAGAAACGCTGGTGTGGACAAAGCCATCCTCTTCATATTCGACTGAACAAACACTAATAAGCTGCTAAAATTACAATGGATCTTCTAATAAACCAGTATATAGATAAATATATATAATTTCAACTGGTAGATTTTTAAGTTATTTAATAGAAACAACACAAAAATTACCAGAATGTTTTTAAAACCTTTGTATTCAGATCACTTTACAATCAACAAACATATTGATTTAGACTGAACCTATCAAATAGTGATAAAAATAATTAATAACTACAGTGTCAGGAATCATAAGCCTAACTGAAGAAATAGAAGCTGTTACGAAGATCCAGAAAATTCCTCGAAAACAGCCAAAAGTATGCTCTGAAAACTCTAAGAAACATCTTATCCAATCAGCACTTAATAAAATTTTTGCCAGAAACATCTAGGAAGTGAAAAGTTACTAGTCACGTTTCTGATTAGATGATTACCTATACTGCTACTATGTTTAGTAGCGCTCCAGAATTTTCCGGAAGTCAAGGACCATCTAAAATACTATAAATACCCTAGATTTTCCGTACATATACGAAACTTGTAATAAAGCGTTTCTTCCACATTTCGCGCCTTTTCTCTCGTGTTCAGGTTGCTGTGTAGATTAAGCCTGAGGTTACTAGAAGAGCTTAGGAACCGAATCAAGCGTTCAGTTAGAAAAATTATCAAAGCATGATAAGACATGCAAATTATAACAGTCCGGTTATTGGGACTCATTAATCAAATTCTATCTTAACAGAACAAGTTGTTAATTGCTCATCTCTTTATGAAGTTTGTTCTGATAATGGTTTCTTAGAATGGTAACAAAAGTTTCAAGATTAAATCAATTAGCAACACTACCACTTTGCGTTGTGTTTCGCTGACTCGAAATTCATGTGATATCTTAATAAATTCAAACTTATATTAATATTTACTAGAATAATTCAGATTTATTCAAATATATGTAGTCTTATGTAATGTTCATTAATTGAACGTCGGGTTATTGAGTTTAATCTCTAAAGTTTGTTTCTGTATTGATCTTATTTTCTTCAAATGATTACTTTATTAGCTTGTAGTAATGAACCGCTGATACCTTTACCACTGGATACATACATATTCGACTCTCCAATATACCATAACGATTTGATTATTCATTTTCGAAGGATATGTTGGACTGTCCCACTGGAATTGCAAAAGCTTCCTCGCGCTTATTTGGATTTTTTATTTGATCAAGTAAGTAGGAAGAAGTAGAGTGAACTGGTTGTTTTTCTCTGAAGGTGATAATATTTGTTGAAAAGATATTATTTTGTAATGGAGTTCTTTTTATTTTATACTAATTTATTTCTAACTAATAACTTCTGTAGTTTTTTTCTTTCACCGTTATTTATTCCATCAAAGTATCTCCAGATGTATTTCTTTTCTTGTAAAACGAAAGCTACTGCTGTTTATTTTCATCACTGCTATCTGTTTCTGCATAAATTTATTCCGAGTTTTATTTTTTATGTAATAAGATGTACAAAATTCTGGGCCATTCCTGAACAAATTATGCTCAGCGTGTTGCTCTTCATCCCATTAACGTATTTTGATTCAATTATATTGCTTAAAATTGTACAACTGATTTAGCTTCGTTAAAATTTTAACGGATTTTCGCTATGGTATTTTGATGATGCTGTACAAATATTTAATAGAACCTAAATCGCAATCCAATAAGGCCTTTTTGATGGTTAAAAGGACCCCAGATTCTTTTCCTATCTTGTTAATGTTGGGTTTGAATGAAAATTTTAATTGTTCGAGGGTAATCACTTGATGGCGTCGGACATATGAATTAAAGATACATCCTATTGATTTTCTCGATTTAGTCTGGACCTAAAATAAGACTAACACAAACTTTGATTAATTAAGCTCAAAATCAGTCTTTGTCAAAGGGATTATTATTCAGTAATATCACCCCTTTTCACAGGATTTTTGTTCAGATCCCTAAAGTGCAAATACTTTGGATCTGAAGACGTTAGGTAAGGTGTTTGAAGGTTGGTGACAGTAGTACTGAAACATTTAAACTGTGTCCATCAGCAAATATTGTACTTTATACTTTTTCTTATTGCTAAAGATATACTTTTCTATCGGATTTACTAGATTTGCTCTCTCCATTGTTTTGTTGTTGCAATACTATTTTTCAGTGTACCATTTATAGATAATCTATTATTTTATACTCCTTGGCCGATTTATTTCATTATATTCGGTTCATATTGTGTTAATATATTCTTATTACTCTACATAACTGATACCTACTGAGAGAGTCTTTGTCAGTCACAATTAACTTTGTAAGGAAGCGAAGTTCAGTATCATAGGGACAGTGACACTGACTGATTAGGCACTGATCCGTAAACTAGTTTCAAGCCATATAGTCCCAAATCCAGCCTTGTGATGTAGCCACTTACTTAAAGGAATCAGGAATGTAATCTACCCAAATTATCGAAGAGGTCAATCATATCTTGCGTAACTATGACTGATATACTTTGAGGTGATGTAAATTTAAAATTTCTATCGGTTCCGGTGACTTTTGAATCTAAAACAGAGTAGAGTGTGAACCTGAAATTTTTAAGGAAGAAGAGTTTATTGCTTTTAAAATTGTTAGTGACTGGCTTCATGATACCAACGTGATATTTTACAGTACAAACTAGCACATTAACACACATTTTCGCATATAAGTCTGTAATGTAAGTTATATAACATGTATGTTCACTTTCAGTGGCCTTCCGACTAAATACCGATATTTACGCTTCCCGTACTCTATGCAAGCCTGGTTCGTCAGTGAGAAGACCCAGAATATTCATATAGCTCTATTGGCATTCCGAATCAAAATTTACAAAACTGATAAGTACATATATGTACATACATCCCTTAAATATATGGACCAAATCTTGTGGAATGGTATAAATGACCTTGAATAATAGCATATCTCCTTGGGCACTCTAAGCTCTTGCAGTCGTCTAACCTATCAAAAACAGGCTCTTGTACTCGTCTTTGATCCACATGGTTCGTGTGAGAACTAGAAATTCTACCTGTCTCTCATACCGAAATAGACTTTCCAGAGGTTTAACCTACGACATACTGGTTGAAACCCATGTTCTTTAACCAACAGGTTAGCATCTAGCTGTGCATTACAAATTAATTGAATGCCATTTAATTTACAATGTGTTTTGATATTTTATTTTACAAAATTAAACAATACTTATTTGTCTGAGTTTTTTGTTCTCATTATTTTGCGTCAGGTCGTCGATGAATACCTTTCGGGACACTGGTTACCGGATAAACTCACCTATGATGCGAACGAATTATATGTAAGACTGATAAAATATGTAATAAATTTAAGATAATTTGATAATTTTGAACAAATTGAACATTGGGTAGATTGTTATAAATAAATGATATATTTGTAATATCCCAATGAGTAGATAGTACAAATATAGCATTCATTTAAGATAACTTGTTTTAGTACTATAATATTTACAAGTAGTCTTTTTCTTATTGTAGAATAAATGCCTTCATCTCTCTTGCGTGTTACATAAAAGTCATGAATCGTCTGTTTCTATCAGCAGGTGAGTGAAAGCAAACAATTCCATCGATTTTTCTATTTATTAGCAATTAAATAATATTTTGATTCGTTTTTAAGGGTCCTCAATAAGCTAGATAGAACAAAATTATCAATCAGGTTCTAAAAAGCAATATTATATTCTTTAAAGTGTATCTTTAATAAACATTTATAGTGGTGTTAAATAGAAAGCTCTACTAACATAAATGTATGTTTTAATATCGCTCCCGTTTTCCCCTGTGATTATAAGTGACAATCATCTTTGAAATTGTATTTTTACATGACTTCTATGGTGTGAAAAGATTTATAAGTTCGTATCTATAACAAAATAGTTTATGAAATGAATCTTAGTCTTTCTCTAACCCAAAGAAAAAACGCAATTTCCGTTAGATTTTACCACTAAGTCAGTGAATAAATTAATTCTAATCCGTCACATAAATAATAACATTCATATTATGGTATAAGCGTCAGTTTACTGTGAAGAACTAGTAGTATATGTAATAAATAGCATGCCCTTTTCTGAATATTCTACTGATGTAGTCGTCTGAACTCCTTTAAATTTCATAGATCAAGGATGAACTTGATTACAGAATTACTTTCTCGTCTCTAAAAAATGACCGAATGTTTAAGTGTTTTTCGCACAAATTTTACACAGAAAATTTCAAATTGGATTTAATACTATTTTGTTCCTAAAAAAATCTATCTACTTTCAGTACAGCTGCTGCTTCACTTAAACCAAAGAATCTACATATTTCAATAGAAAAATGGACATCAGAATTAAATGGATTACTTAAGTCAACACAAACAAAAGATTCTGAAGATAGTCAGAAAATTTTTCTATGTAAGCAAGCCCTGTTTAATTTGAGTTTTTTTATCATAGTGCAAATTGTATTTAGATAGATTATCTCTATAGGAATTAATTTTTACCGTATGACTCCACAAATTCTCATACGATGAAATACGGTTTATATCCGTTAGTAGACACAAAATAAACTTATATGAATAGTTGACTATTGGCTTAAATAATACAGTCTAAAACTGATATTTTGCACGATTGTTCTGTTTACAGGTAATCCAAACCGTCATTTACGTTGAACACTACTTGCTCAACATCATAAATAGGATCTTATGTTTATTGCTGATAAAGAATAATTTTAATCCATTTTTTTTATTTACTAATTAATTGTTTGTTTATTTTATGTATCGTAATAGCTTCAATCAGAAATTGGCCTCTTTTTGGATCATCATGTTTTCTTGGTTTGATTGAAAACGGTTCTTATGGAATCCCAACTAGTCGTGAGATATTAGTTGCTCTATCTCATACAGGAATTCATATACTAGATTCCTCAACTCATCAGTGCCATTTGGTTTTTGCTTACGAAAATATTGCAAGTACAAGGGTAAAAATGTTTTTAATCTCTAATTATCATTTATTTGTGTTATTTTTTTCGTCATTTTGTGAAAAGTTTTAATAATTTAATTGATTAGTTTCATCATAGCCATTGAAAACTAAGGAGCATTAGAGAGCTGCTAAGTCTCATTTCAAAATTTCTCTACAATAAATCACACACATAAGAATGAACCCTATAGTAATGGTAATAATAATAGCTTCATTTGAAACTATTAACTCCGTTACAATACATGATTCATCCATTGTACGATGTTACAACAAATATATTGTTCATCTAGGGTCGACAAACATGTTTTATGTTTCATACTTGTAATAATTAGTATCGGCCGAATTCATTCCCTAAAGTTTTCCACCAGTTCAGCTATCTGAAGTATTTCTCCATCCAATATATTTGTCTCTCGTTTCTTCAATTGATAGATAAAAACTAAAATATCCCAAAAACTACCGAATTTCTGTTTATATTTTTCAGTCTTTATAATTACTCAGTTCAAGCAAATCTAAAACAGGTAGGTTAATTGCAATAGTTGTATAGTTAGAAAAAAAGTGACCCAAACATTTGAGGAGATCACTGTGTTCTCAGATCCCTCAGTTAGTACCATGTAATTTGACCACTAACTTGCAATCCAATTGATCAAATTATAGACCTAGCCTCATCTAATAGCAACACTAAGTTGCCGCATTACTCCTGACTTGTTTGACTACTCAAGTCATAGTGTTTGATCGTAACTTCAAAAGACCTACCTCAAATCTATCCTTCCATCGAGTGTTAAATCACGACAGTACAAACGTAGAACTTTGGACAGAATTTTCTAAAATGTGTTGTTTTCTATTTTAAACCTTGGTAAAATCCATGTTTCTGTTAACATATTAGTTTCCAGTGGTTTATGACCATTCCCGTCATTTATGTAAATTTTTAAATATTCTGCATTACGATTTCTTTTAAAACGCTGCCACAGTCTAATTACGTGTCTCAATTAAAGTCAAATGATTTTATTTTCTCGTTTTCAATCCTCAACTTTTGAATATCACCTATAAATAAGAATAGATTTGAGGGAAAACGAAATTGTTTTCCTAATAAAATTCAGCTTATCTCACCGATCAAAATGAAAATTAGTTTAATTAGTTCCGAATATTTCTCATCAAAACTTTTTAATATGCTTTATGTGAATTAAGACGAAAGAACTATTATGAACAAACTAACTGCTTAACTATCATTTAATAACCTATTTATAGCCTAACTGAACCAATGTTAAACCCAAATTGAGCATTTTGCTATTGTGTGACCACCACACTTTGAAACAACATAAACACAGTGATAAATAAATAAAAGCCTTCTAATAATCAAATAAATTAGATGAGTATAAATGGATATCGAATCTGGAAATATGAAACAATCATGTTTACTTAATTCAAGGGGTGATAAAACTCGTTTTATCCAGCAATCACATCTGATTTTCAGTCAGGAGGTTACGAAAACGAATCATCTTTCCAAAAGTAAAATATGATTTCGGTTATCATTAAAAAGTGTACGCAAAATGTAAGAAAAGCGAATTTCTCTTCTTCACTATGGCTTTTGTCACTTTTCTAACCTTTGGATTTACCCACTCATCCACCTGTGTAAGTCAGAATATGGTAATTCGTTCGTCAAACAGGCCTATGATGTCTTATGGATTTCAGTCAAAAATCTTACGAAACTCAAATGATTTATGAGTTCTGTCAGTTACCCCTTGAGTTTGTGCCGTCACTTTATCTATTAATTGTAAGTGTTATGCCTGACTAACTGCTTTTGGAACTAATAGCTTATGCCACACTAGGAATTGTCTGATTATTTGTTAAGTAAGAACCATCCAAACTAGCTATTACATCTTTATGGCTGTATTATTATGTCCATCAATCTTTTTTAAATATGTTAATTTGATTTCGAAATTTACTACTTGTTTTACCCGAAGAATAAATGAATGGTAAATGCTGAAATTATTCATGGACTGTTATTACATATATTCTTAATGAATAATTAATAAGTATCTAGATCATGTATATTTATATTCCTTCTATCATAAGTTTTCATTTCACCCACTAACTACTGTTATACAGTTTACTGTTCTTGATTTATTCTCAGTCTGTTAGTTACACTCTGCAATAATCACAGCTACATTTGGCTTGATCTTGTGTAATTATTACTTTTCATTATTACTTTCCGTCTGGTCTTACTTTACCTAATTACTTCCTTACTTAGCGTTTTTGTCTATCAAAGTTGTTTTCTACGGGATGGAGTTGCCGACCCCACTCCCAACCCTCTACCTTTACCCGGGCTCGGAACCGGCAGTAGCCCTAGAAGAACTACAGGCGGATTTGCCATCTGGTTTGTTTGTACGTAAACCGCGTACGCCTGAAATATATGATTCATATAGCAGAGGCTGATATTCATGTTCTGGACTGAACGGGTTGGGCTAGATGATGAGCTACTAAACTGAGGACAAATGTGGATTGAGAGTTGACTCAAAACTATTAGTGCTTGCCGGATTGTCACTGGTTTAACACAGGTAAAAGGTCACAGAAGTATATATTCTGATTAAGGACTTTTTCACGTGATATTTGACGCACCATAGGACATAACGCTACTCATTAATACCACTTATTTCATTTACGGAGTACAACTTTAAGCACTCAACATTGAACAACAATGTTTTTGATATGGCTAGCGACACCACGCAACTGCCGAGACCAAAGTGGGTACATTGGAGTTCAAATCTGTTACCTAGTTTTTGAAATCCAAATATTTCAATCACTAAGCCACCGGCCCACATTTCTTACTTGCATTAAAACCTATGATAAAATACTTGTAGTCAAATCACTTTGTCAACTTTAAACGACTGTATCTCGCAACAGTTCAGATCAAATTGCATATATTTGTTTTATGTGTCTATTAGATTTCTATTTTATATGCCTGAACAAAGGTAGAGTACATCACCTGTATTCATTTTTTTCCAAGGTTACATATAAAGATAATAATGACTACAACTGTATTGGTTCTGTGCGTCTTACAGCTAATAACGGTCAACAGTTGATCTTGTCTTTGATGCAAGTACGTAAAACTGGTTTATAGTCTATTTTTTGAACAAGTCTATATTTATTCTGCCAAATTTATCTTTCTCATTAATAGTCATTCCCCTACATAGGGCCCCAAAATACCCTAGTACGGCCGAGGGTGGCAAAAGTCCACTCTTTCTCTCAAAATGCTCTCATATAGCCACGCGTATACAGGCTGTCATACTCACTGCCTTCTCGTGTCGGGGGTGTTGTTTACGAAATCGAGAGGACGAAAAGTGAATGTTTGGTGCCTTAACCGGGTTGGTAGACGCGGAGGGTTCACCTAGGGGAGTTGGAAAACCCTCATTCCAAACCAATGGTGCACATGGTCTCCATTATCCTGAGGGAACAGATGGCGTATGAATCAATCGTTGGTTACCGGCTATCACGGGACTGCATCTCCTTTCGATGATCCACTGCCTTGTGGATCAGACTTTAAGGTCAAAGACTCCGTTTGTGGTCCGCTAAGAAAACCACTTGCTTCGGTGTGGGCACCTGGGCATTATCACAGCCCTCACGCAAAACTAAGGTTAAAGTGTGGCACATATGTATTCGGTGCCTCCTTGTACCAATATTCATGTGTTTAAACAAATAAATATGCATTCCCATCACTTTTAATTTTTAACTTGATTTTGCCGAAAAATGTGTTAGTTTAATCTCAATAGCTCATACCGAGTTACTTATCGTCCTTCGACTGTACTCTTTGTACATCCAACAACAAACTAATGACGTAGAGTGATCATGTTTGTTGATGCTCTTCAACATTTCGCAATCACATATTCGTCGAAATTCATTATCACTAAAATCAGCTCTTCAGTTCTCAGTATATTAATCAGATATTCAAGAACCAACTAAATCAAAGTCTTTTCCCTGTTATACAACATCTTGAGACTTTGATATGATCATATTTAGCTTGACGATATGAAACTTATATATAATTCCAATAATCCGATTCAAATGCTCCTAAAAAGGTTTAACTACGATTTTCAGCAATATCATATTTTTTCCTAAATTTTGATGAGTGTTGTTTTTCTGATCAACTGATTTCATTGTACCTGACTTCGTAAAAAATATCTCCCAATAAATAAATTCATATAAATGTTTCCATTCTTTTCTATTCCTGTTTTCTTTATTTTAGGCTAGAATGTTCGTCTTCATTTTAAGTAGATACCAGTATATATTGTCAGCAAATCTGTTAGCTTCTGCTTGAATTATGTTAGAAGCTAGACATCTCATCAATATCATACAATTCTTAGATATAATTGTAAAGATATGAAGCAAAAATTCCTTCATATCCCAACAAAGACATTTATTTTGTATTTACTTTGAAGAGAAAGGAGAGAATCTGTGACATCTTTGATACAATTATCTTCATTGTGGGAAAATGTGTTCATTTATTGCATAGCTCAAACTTCATTTAATTTGTCAACAATCATATGTAACTCCAATTATTTTTAAAATGACAAACAAAAATAATTATAATCAACAACTAACTAATTCTTTCCTCGAAACTCTTTAGATTTAATTTTATCAGTCAAAACATTATATGAAGATTATAATAATTTGATATTATTGATTATGTTTATAGTGAGTGGTGTTTTTGAATAATTTTTTTCTCCACAATAGGTCAACTTTTAACGAGTATTCGGGAATGCATGCCTATGAGGTATGTAATTCTCAGTAATTGAAAACATCTGTTCTTCACTTCCTTAAATTTTGTCAGGCAATAAATTCTACAACTTTTTTTAATCATGAAGCAGTTATTTAGTTGCTCCAGTTCGTTCCTAAACCTTTGGTCACCAGCATGTAGGTCTACGCTGTTGAATTCCAGAATATTAATAGTCATTTATCAGACAAGATGAATGCCACCCACTCTTCTAACTTGTATGATTTCATTGGTTATGTCATAAATATGAATATACTCAGTCAACATTCCAAACATACTTATTCGTTATCGGATGATCGGACAGTTTTCTGACTACTGTGTGAGACTAAACCAACTAAATGGCAATAAGGCCTTGATCGTTAATAGATTTTAACGAATAGAGATGAGTTGTAAGATATTAGACTGTCGTTTTAGGGAGCATTTTGACGATTGGTGAGGGGATTGTTACTAAAAGAGAAACAAAGCAAAGTAATCACAAATGTCTCGAAAATATTTTCCTTACACAGTGCTTTTCCACATTTCCAAGTGGAATGTTACCTAGAGAAGGGAAATGTTTAGTAAAGATAGCAGTCTCTATAATCTGAGAACTCACCAGTTGAGACCGACATAAAGAAACGAATTTCAGTTGGAAATGCTAATAGACGGAAATAAAGCAATCGAAGGATTCTAAAAATAATGGTTCGGTTCATATTCTCGTAAAAGTGGTCTGAAGAATAATCAATTTCTAATAGCAGTTCTGGAATCCTTCAGAAACAAAAACATCTGGTGCATTGCTCCTAATCCAATTTCACGTATGACCCTCCCCATCTTCTGGTTAGTTGCTATTGCTTCTCGCTAAATTCCTGTATGCTTGAGGGTTATATTTTGTCAATACAGATACATATTTGCACCAATTCATTCTGAACTGTTTATCCTACCTTCAGTGTCTAGTTCCATACATTTCGTCCTCTCCCTGTGTTAGTCGTCTGTTGTTGATATGCTGTGCAAATCACCGTTGTCGATTTTGAGAACTGAATAAATATAAATAGTTCAGTCGTTTGTACCTCTATCTGCAAGTATTGTAGGCCCATATTAACCAAATAGTAACCAAATACTTGACACTTGAAACTTTGTTACTAAATGACTGATTTAGTATAAACTCTGCAGTCGCCCACCGTCAGCGCTTCATTGTCTATCCGCCTGCTTGCCCAAACTTATGGCGAGATATAGTTATGAAAGTTTTATTTTCTGAACATCAAATTAAAAGAACAATCAGAACACTGAACTCAGGTATTTTTAGTATAGGTATAAAGCCTTGATTTGATGACGATGAACCAGTAAATAATGTATGTTGGTTAGTAGATGAAGTACATATCAAGGTGAAATGGGTCTGAATAATGGAGGTTAGGCTGATATTGAAAGGTGGGAGTTCGTTCCCTAAAACCCACAGTCTAACAAAAGAACATGGAGTATTTAGAAACGCTAATAACTTGATCAGGCTTACTACCAATCATTTTATCTTGATTATTTAATTTTCCATCAAATATGTACGCTTTAACCATAGAAGAGCCTGAAATAACATTTAGTTTATTATCTTAGTTTATGTAAGAAGTGGCAAGCATAGAAGAGCAACCTAAATACCATTGGACAATATCTAAATAGGGTTAGTGCATCTAAGAGCTGAGTGTACTTATAATACAATCCATCTGACATGCGTATTTCTAAGAACATGTTATTCTCTGTGAGTACATAGGTCCGGACTATAGATACTTCATTATAAAGGGATTACATATATACATAAAGTAAGAGTCATAGCATATAAAAAGTTGGTCAATGTAATAGCTTGAAGTACGTAGGGAGATCGGACCTAAGCCTTGTTTTCCAAGTGGTCTAAATTCCTAAGATATAGCATCTGAAGAGATAGTTTGTAGATGACGTGGAGTCTTGATTGACTATGATCACCACTGGAATAAGATTACGCGCCAGAAAACGATTTGGTTCCTTCGATAGGTCAAAAACCAGAAGGCTGTATTTGGTTCAGATAAAGTATATTTATTGGCGATCTCGTGGTATCGAAACAATACTGAGATGTGCCAAAGAGTACAGGCAAAACGGCAAAGAGTAAGAAAGTTCAAACGAACAAAATGGCCAACAGAACGAAAAATGATTTTGATACATTAAAACAAAACGAGTACAGTAAAACAATCACTGGTACAACTGGTTATAATAATATTTGTTTCCATTATACCAATCACGTTCTCGTCGAGGAAAGCAAGTCACTCCTAGTTAATGACAGGAAAAATTCTCATCATTTATCTGGCAAAACACCATTGTATCCATTCTACCTTTCGTATATCATATAATAATGTATTAGAAAATATTGAGTATCATTGAATGAACTATCTTATTGTTACGTCCTTGAATCTGTCTGCCCACTTAGTGCCGAGTATAATGTAGATTAAGACCTTAACACGATAGGCTGACTGGCTTAACCTTTAGGCTAATATGCGTGAGTTCGAAATAGGGGTAGAGAGACGAAAACTATTCTATCCCTGATTGGCTGGCAAGCACGCGAGAGAGAGAGAGAAGACAAAGACAGCTGGAACACTAATCACTTTATTCCAACCCCGATCTAGCACTCGAATTCCCAATTCAGATTAGGGTGAAAAGTTACATCAATAAATAGATGATTAAGCTGACCACAACGTACAATAATTAGAAAAATACAATTATGTCCAAAACTGGGGAATTATAGTAGAAAATAGGGTACAAAAGAATACGTCTAAATGACAATAGTTCACATCATCTTCCCCCTTGACGAAAAAAAAGTTATGTTATCACCGCCATTGACTGAGTGCATAAAGGGAAACTGGATTGCGTTGTGGTCGTGACCAATTGGGTTAACTGGAATAAACAAAAAAAAAAAGAAAAACAGTTAGACACTAATTACAAACAGTAGCTAAGATATCATCACTGATATCTCCCCTCAGAAGTATATGCTCTTTTCTTCGGGTCCACCTGCAGTATATCGGGTCTTCTGCGTTTCCGTAGTGATCTCCTAATAGGATGTTGTTCCAGTTGTACAGTTTTCTTAGTTGCTGGACTTCCTGTGTCGAAACTGTCCAGGAAGACTTCCCACATTGAGCACATTTTCTCGGTTTTCTGAGGAGTACCAGAACTTTCCAGTATGTGGTTAGCGTGACGTATCCACTTTTGGCTTTCAACCTCCACCACATACATTACATCCCCTCGTCTCCCAAGTATGCGTCCACTGGTCCATTGTGGAGGTGAGTATCGGAAATCACGGACGTATACTTTTGATTATCTCGGAAGATTCTACTTTTCGCCCCATGGTGGCGATTAAATTGAGATTCCATCTTCTGGTTTCTTCTTCCTACACCATTTTGCTTTGGTTTTATGGCATCGAGAGCAGTTTTAACTTTTCTACCAAACATAATTTCTGCTGGAGACAATTTATTCCGCGCTGTTGGATTTGGAGTCGTTCTGTAGAATAAAACAGAAAATCATCAAGAATTTCCTTTATCTTCCCTTCCCGCCTTGCCTTCAGTAGCGCTCTTTTGAAGGTATCCACAAACCTTTCTGCTTGACCATTTGATTGTGGATGGTATGGAGGTGAACGAACATGTTTGACCCCAAACCTGTTGCAGAAGTCGGAGAAAATGGAAGAAGTAAACTGAGTGTCATTATCTGACACGAGAATATCTGGGACTCCGAAACGAGAGAATAACTGACGTAACTCGATAATAGTCTCTTGCCACGTGATTTGCTCCATGGGTAGAATCTCTGGCCACTTTGAGTAGGCGTCGACACAAATGAGGAAATATATACCTTGAAATGGGCCGGCAAAATCAATGTGTATACGCGACCAAGGTTCTTTCGAGGATGGCCAAGAATTGAGTTCGGCTTTCCGTGGACATTTCGAGGCTGCAGCACATTTTCTGCACGTACGCACTAAATCTTCGATGTGTTCATCAATGTTAGGCCAGTATACATAACTTCGAGCAATAGCTTTCATTCTTCCAGTACCTGGATGAGCTGTGTGCAGTTGTATCAGGACGAGTGAGCGTAGGTTACTTGGAATTACTACGCTATCAGCGAACATAATAGTCATTTATGATGGATAAAGATTGGCGTCGTTGATAATACTGTTTTAGTTCATGAGATGTTATACGTGGGGGAAAACCACGCCGGATAAATGTAGCTAGTTGCCTTATGATAGGATCACTGAGAGTGTGATCAGCGATTCGAGCAGCTGTCACTGGAAGAATTCGCGTTGAATTGAGCAACATGCTGCTTACATCTTCTTCCACTGATATAGAAGCAATGACAGTATCTTCATTTTCAAGCTTATGATTTCTTATTAAGCGCGATAGTGCATCAGCATGCTGAAAACGTCTATCAGGAATAGGAAATTTTCCGATTGGACTAATAGTATGCTTTTGGATCTTACTACGTTGACACTGAAGGCAACCACGTGTCCATCGTTTAATATCTGAATTGATTTTCGGCCAAACAAAACGTTCAGTTATCAGCTTTGTAGTAGCTCGGATGCCCGGATGTGATAAACCATGCAAGTGTTGGAATAACTTTTGGCGACATGCAAGTGGAACAAAGGGACGATTGTTACCTGTTGATGTGTCACAGATGATGGATGCGTCGGAGATTGGGATGGGTACAGGTTGGAGATTCAGGCGAGACTTTTCTTTGCAGGTTTTTAACTCTGCATCGTCTGCTTGAAGTTTTGCGATTATTTCTAGGTTGACGTCATGGTTGGATGCAACTACATTGATGTCTTTTCTCGACAACGCATCTGCTACAATGTTGGAGTGACCTTTGACAAACTGAATGTCTGCGGTGAATTGTGAGATGTAATCATGCTGTCTTGCTTCGCGTGGTGAATGTCTGTCATACGACATACTAAAGGAGTAGCACAGGGGTTTGTGATCCGTCATGATGGTAAAATCCCGACCCTGTAGCAAAAAGTTGAAGTGTTTAACGGCTAAATACATGGCTAAGAGTTCACGACCGAATGTGCTATAACGCTCTTGTACAGGTGATAACCTTTTAGAGAAGAAAGCAATGGGTGTAATCGTATTGTTTACTCGTTGTTGTAATACTGCCCCTACGGCTTTTTGTGATGCGTCCGTACAGAGGATCAGATGAGTTTTGGGGTCAGTATTTAGATGTTGTAGCTTGGTGGATTGGGCACACTTTGAGGAAATCACCCAATTGTGTCACAAGACAAGCCCTCACATGGAATCCTGAAGGTCGAAGGAGAAGAGGAAGACCAAAGAACACATAACGCCGAGAAATAGAGACAGACATGAGAAGAATGAACAAGAACTGGAAAGAACTAGAAAAGAAGGCCCAGGACAGAGTGGGTTGGAGAAAGCTGGTCGGCGGCCTATGCTCCATTGGGAGTAACAGGCGAAAGTAAGTAAGTAAGTAAGCTTGGTGGCGTCCGCAATCAAAGATTTGGCTTTTTCAAATGCCGTTTTGGCATCGGAAGATAACTTGAATAGTTGGTTCTTTTCCTTTTTGCTACCTGATTTATCGTTTTTTAGTAAGTCAGTCAATGGCTGTAGTACATCGGCACAATTTGGTAGAAATCGTCGATAAAAATTACAAGTTCCAAGGAAACGACGTAGTGATTTTACTGAGGTTGGTTCTGGATAGCTGGTTATGGCTTTGACTTTATCTTCAAGTGGTTTAATACCTTGGGAATCAATGTGGTGTCCCAGGAATTCCAGTGATGAGGAGCCAAATATACACTTCGAAGGGTTGATTACAACACCATAACTTTTGAAACGTTCAAAAAGCGTGTGTAAGTGTTGAATATGTTCTTCAGTGGAAGAACTAGCGATCAAAACATCGTCGATATAGACAAACACAAAATCTAATCCTCTAGTTACTTCGTCCATAAATCTCTGAAAGGTTTGAGCGGCGTTTTTAAGTCCGAAAGGCATTCTCAAGAATTCAAACAAGCCAAAAGGTGTGATAACGGCTGTTTTTTCGATATCCTCAGGTGCCATCGGTATTTGATGGTATGCTCGGACGAGATCTAACTTTGAAAAAATCTGTTTTCCATGTAGGTTTAACGAAAAATCATGTAGATGAGGGATCGGATACCGGTCGAGATAGTCTGGTTATTCAATCGGCGATAATCTCCACATGGGCGCCAGTCCTGATCTTTCTTGGGGACCATATGCAGCGGCGAGGCCCAAGGACTGTTAGATTGTCTGATTATTCCAAGTTGCATCATGTGTTCGAATTCTCTCTTAGCGAACTGCAACTTGTTTGGAGGGAGTCTTCTCGCCCTGGCGCGGGTGGGTGGTCCGGTGGTAGTGATATGGTGTTGCACCAGCTGTGGGTTACCCTCCTTTTGGTAATCTGCTTTCGTAATGCACTGATATTCTGTTAGAATGTCGTTGAAGATGTTGTTCACAGGTTTCATTATTCGAACACCATGGATCTCGTTGTCATTGGAGAGCGCAACATTTACCTGTAAACGTGTGTTTACGTCGATTAGTCTCTTGTTGGTCATATCTACTAACAGGTTGTGCGCACTAAGAAAATCGGCCCCGAGGATGGGTCGTTTGACTTGAGCAACTATGAATACCCATGTGAATCTTCTGCGGAGCCCGAGGTCTAATATAAGAGATTGTTCTCCGTAAGTTTTGATAACTGATTCGTTAGCCGCTATTAAGGACAATTTAGTGCTTGTTGTCTGTTGTCTGCGGGAGAGATGGAGTGGGATGATGCTGATTTCTGCTCCAGTATCGACTAAAAAGTCCGAGCCAGAAATGCGATCCCTGACGTGAAATAGGCGGCTAACATGTTGGCCAGTAGCAGCTGCCGCCGTTACTGTCTGGCCGCTTGGTTTCCCTGATAGATTGGGTTGTTTGTCTTAAAGGTGCACGGTTTTGTGCAACAACGTGCTTTCTCACCATACTTCGAATGATACCAACACATTCCGGCTGCCCGCTTAGGTGACCTAAGACGATGTCTGGATACTGATCTCCTTCTGGACGTAGATGCGGGAGGTCGAGAATGGATGGTGGAAACAGTCGCCTGCAGTGATGCTAGCTACTGCGTTAACAGTGTTATATGTTGTTGGATGTTGAGTGCGTCGCTCATGTTTTCTGTATTTGAGGATTGTATCGCGCTAACGCCGTGACTATCAGGATATATTTCTATCATCTTATCAGCCATGTCTGCTAAATCATCAAGACTGACAGAGGCTTCTGATATGCTGAGGATTTGTCTGACGTTATATGGTAACCTTTGTAACCAAATCTGCTTAAGTAGTGCTTCGTCTAACTTGTAAGGGCCTGATAGTTGTCTCATATGTCTAAGCAACTGTGAAGGTCTTTTGTCCCCTAACTCGCATGCGGTGAGTAGTTGCTGTAAGCGTTTATCATCAGACTGCGAAGTACGGTGGATCACTGCAGCTTTTATTTTGTCATAGGGGTCCGTTTCTGGTACGTTATCTATCAGGTCACTGACTTCCGTTGCAACATCTATAGGTAGTGCCCCGACGATATGGGCATATTTAGTCGCTTGTGAACGTATGCCCCTCGCCAAAAATAGTTCCTTAACTTGTGCAAACCAGATTCTGGGATTATTAACACCATATGTTGGTAATCTCAGTTCAGAAATAGTGTTGATTGAGTTTAAAACATTATCTTCTGGCAGTGGTGAATGAAAGGGGTTGGTTAATGAGCTATCAATATCGATAAGTTTATTAGAGGAGTCCATAATGTCAAAAACAAAAAATGGGGTCGTGCCAATTAATAAGAATACTAAATTATGTAGCTATATATAGTAAATGTCTATAAAAAGATAATCGAGGCTCACCAAATAATTGTGGTGGACCAAAATGTTTGATAACCAAAAAATTTAGCAACAAAAATATTATGTCTATAGTTTATGTAACAATTAACAGTTAATAAGTAATTACACACAAAAATAACAAAATAAGGGACGTTACTTAAGTCTTCAGGCTATTGCGTGTTCGGCTGGGTTTGGTTCAGATACTCCACAATTATAACAAAATTAATAATCCCAATATGGACGATATAGATCCAGTAGTTTTACCAAGCGTAGAATTCAATAAGAATGTCGCAATTGTCTATAAACGTAGATGGTATGCAATTAATATTTCATTCAACATATTAGCAGACAGGGCAGAACGATGCAGACGTGAATTAAAGTGTATTTGTTGAGGAGAATTAACAGTGGCACGGTATGTTGTACTCAAAACGGAAGGAAGGAGTCTTACAAGCGTTCAAAGTAATACAGTTAAACAACAAGTACAATTGTTTAATGCTTAATGTACAGAATATGAAAATACATGCGAAAACTATGAAAAATTATTTACAAAATAGGTTTTAAGGTTCTATCTCCACATAGCTCCCCCCAGAGTGTCCGGAGGTAACACTGATTACAATATGAACAACAAAAATTGAGAAATATTGTATACAAATGTACATAAAATAGTATTTACTGTAATAACGGAAAAAAAATGGTGGAGATAGGAATAAATGGCACGTTAATAATATAGGCTATGCTACGCAAAATGAAACTGAAAAACGAGCATTAAAAAGCTTTGGTTTGTTAACAATAATAATAAAATGTGGAAAGCTGTTAATAGAGTCATAAAATTAAAAAAAAATGAATGAATTTAATAAATAGTTAGTTAGCATTCACTCGTTTATTACTATGACAATTTTTCTTATTAAAAAACAATTGGCAAAACCAGTGATAACAAATAAATGTAGTTATTAAATGTACATGTAGGGGAAATAAATATCTTTTATTAGAAGATTGCGTAACTTCACAAAGTAATGCATGCAACTGATTGATTGTGTTAGACCATAAAATGTACATAACGTTTGGGTTTTTTAATAAGTCTCCCGGAGCGTGTTAAACAAGAGGGTCTAGTGCTGAGTTTTTCCTCTTCCTCTTGTTTCTTAGCAATTGATGGGAGTGATTGTTTGTTCGCCGTATTGTCATCAGTGGCTTGAGGGGGTTCGTAGAAAGCTGGTTTTATTCGGTCTATGGAAATTGTTTCGTTGTTCCCGTTTTTGTTGATAATGAAATATTTGCAAGTGCGTTTTATTACTTTATACGGACCTTCATATGGTGGTGTCAGTGGCTTTTTCACCGCGTCTACTCGAACAAAAACAAATTTGCACGTTTCTAAATGTTTGTCGAGATGGACTGGATTGTTGTATTCTCGCGGTGGTATTGCTCTAATGTTCTGCATCACTTGTAATAGGCAACTTGCGAAATGAGTAGCATCTTCTTGTGTTGTAGGTTCACAGTTGACTAGTTGGCCGGGTAACGTTAGAGTTGTACCATAGACTAACTCGGCGGGTGTACAACCTATGTCTTCCTTCACCGTGGCACGAATCCCAAGGAGAACAAGCGGCAAGGCATCACTCCATTTTGTTGAATCAGTTTGAGCCATGAGTGAGCTTTTTAATTGCCGGTGAAATCTTTCAACCATGCCGTTTGCTGCTGGGTGGTAAGCTGTGGTTCTGATGTGTTTTACGCCCAGAAGTCTTGTGAATTCCTGAAACAGGATGGACTGGAACTGGGGATCACGATCAGTTGTGATGGTTGTCGGTACACCGTAGTGCGATATCCATCGGTCTAGAAAAACGGATGCTACAGTCTCAGCTGATGTGTCTTTGATGGGGCATGCAATGGCCCATCGAGTGAATCTGTCTATTGCCGTGAGGATGTGAGTAAAAGAATTTGACGAAGGCAGAGGTCCTACTAAATCTAAATGAATATGCTGAAAACGTCTATCAGGAATAGGAAATTTTCCGATTGGACTAATAGTATGCTTTTGGATCTTACTACGTTGACACTGAAGGCAACCACGTGTCCATCGTTTAATATCTGAATTGATTTTCGGCCAAACAAAACGTTCAGTTATCAGCTTTGTAGTAGCTCGGATGCCCGGATGTGATAAACCATGCAAGTGTTGGAATAACTTTTGGCGACATGCAAGTGGAACAAAGGGACGATTGTTACCTGTTGATGTGTCACAGATGATGGATGCGTCGGAGATTGGGATGGGTACAGGTTGGAGATTCCGGCGAGACTTTTCGTTGCAGGTTTCAGTGACCAAACTGCCGGATGATTCGACTAGGGGTCATGGGCATTTTACTGCCTGATCTTCTCTCAACTTTTTAATTTTCTATGGTGCATATATGAATCAATGATTTCTTTGTATTGATGACAGTCTTGATTTTGAATTTCAAATACAGCACATTCGTTCGTGTTCATCTGACACTTCTTGATTAAATTGCGTTCTTTCTGGGATTACTAGTTCATACTACGACTCAAATACCCTTAAACATCACATTATCTGTTGTTTATTTTTACGTTGTAACCAGTCAACCTACCTCCTGGTGGTGTGATAGCCGCTGGTATTTAGATACTATACTACATAAAGTTAAACGCACTCATTGATTTTGCAACCCCACAAATAACTACTGTGGCGGACCAAAAAGTATATTAACCCAAAAATAGAAATAAGGTTATTACGTCCAAAAGTTAATGTATTAATAAACAACTTATAAGTTATTAACATAAATAAAAGTTATAGGACGTTAATTAAAATCAGCTGGCTGGTGTGTCCTGTAGAGTTTGGTACCAGAATCCACAATTATAGATAAATAATCCCAATGAGGTTGATATGGTCAACCGTAGAATACAACGGGAATGTTACGACAGTCTATAAATATGGATGGTAGTTGGTTACTAGTTCGGTTATCACATACACAAGCATGATAGAACGAGATGCGTGTGTATAAAAGTGTATTTATTTATGAACAGTTATTTATGAACAGTCGTGCTATGTGAGATTCAAAAACGGAAGTTAGCGTCCAAGGTCATACACTTTAATAACTAGTACAATCATTTAGTGATAAATGTATAGATTGTAAAAATAAACAAAATAAATGCAAAATATATTAAAAACCATTTACAAAATGGTTTTATTATGCCTGTCTACACACTACCACTGACTGGAAATAATGCAGTCGATTGGCTAGAGTAACCTATGGTTTGACATGATAAAATACCTGGAATCTTGTTGAAACGACAAGCGAGCGCAAAAACATAAATAGGTGTATACAAGCTCGTCACAAACATATTGGATCTTGTTTGTACCCCTCATGTTACTAGGACGAATCAACTTGCAGACGTGTTAAACTTGTGAAATGAAGGACACCGGTCAGCAACGTTTGCCACCTTTGCTTATTCAGTCATCGAGAATTAATGGTACCACTCATGTATTTATTAACTAGTTTTTAGGTTGGTTATTGTCGCGTAAAATAATACAGACGGACTATCCGAAGAAACTGAAGGAGATAGACTGCAAAGTCAACGATTGCGTTAATAAGTATCCTGAAGTTGAGGTTCCGATTTTTGAAAGCCCATGTAAGACCGCATATTCATGTTCATTAAAATTGTCTTAGCATTGTTCATAGGATGCCGTGAATTTTTAGAAGAACTAGTCAAGACAGACAACAAAACTGACTTCTTCGGACGTTTTAGTCCGTTAGTTCGCGTATGCTCTATTTCTTTGAATTATTAGATACAGGCGTGGACTGAAATTGTCAGTTCGTTTCAGAAAAACAACTTATACTTGGGTAGGCCCATTTCACATTATGATTTCTTCAGCCGAAGTAGGAGATTCGATCAACGAGTTAGCAGCTGTACAGGTCCCTAGGTGTAAAATGTTCATTTCAGACAGACAAAAAAATTTATTGGTACCTGCACGATGTAATTTATTATCTTTGAGGACTTACGCCAAAGGTTAAAAGAACAAAGTTTAAATCTCATCAGGAAAGAAGAGTTATTGGAGAAAGTTTATAAAGAATTCCACGTTGATGTATGTCTGAATATGTCAATCTTGAATAATGTCTGTATAGGTCAAGGAAGAAAATGTAAGGTTGCGTCTTCTGGAGGAGGCTGAGAAAGTCCCTATGTTTTTGACAGAATTTGTACACTCTCTCACTTACCTCAAAACCGCTCTTCAGTTGTACATTGACTTCAAAAACTTTGTCCTGGGAGGGTAAGTATTGTATTCTCTCGTTCACTTTCTTGCTACTCTAGACATCATTGCATTGCTTAGTTTTAACGAAAATGAATGTACAGTACTTGTTATTTTCCAGAATTATATGTTGATCATTGTTCTTGGAGCGCTCCGTCAGCTGTTTGACTAAGCAACTACTTTGACTTTGGTTGAGTTGCTTTTATAGCCACATATGTGATAGAATTATAAACATATACTTTGTTATATCGTTTTATCAGAGCAGCTGTCAGCTTTTAGGAAGGATTACGGACATCAATGTGCCTGAATATGTAAGAATATAAATGAATTTCAATTTAACAACGATCAACTGAGAACCAGTTGAATAATCTAGCGCCTCGTGTAAAAATATATTGGTTTGAGTTCCCACATTTTGCCCCTAAAGGGAGGAGGATTCCTTAAATACTAGATGTGGTCAGTAATTTCTGATTGAAATCTCTAATATTTTCCGAATAGTAGTCGTCATATCAAACTTCAGTGAGCTCTGGTATCAGTTCTTCATTCGGGTTTCCATTAGGTAATTAAGTTTTAGCTGTAAATCACTTGCAATCTTCTCTGAAGTACCTTTTTCAAAATTTTCACTATCTTGCCTTCAACAACGCTTGCTGTTGTAAGCGCCAGTTGCTCTTCACTCACTGCTTGACTTCATCAGTTTTTCTATTTGTCGCTCACCACTATCCAATTTATTTTCGTGCTCTCTTTTTTCATATAGTTGATTAAAATTGATACTTTATGTGTTTTTCAACTGGTAAAGTCTCTTCCTAGCTGCCAAAATATATGTCATTTTAGCAGGATTTTACGAAAATGTGAAACACCGTTATTACTGTCAAACCAGTGTATTATATTATAGCATATACCACAGCTGCTTGAGGTGATTTCTCTGTCATCCGTAGAGTTTGTACTGGAAATTGACCACGCCATATCATAAGACAACAAAACGAAATGAAGTACGCTCCTTATAGGCCAATTTTCTCCAAAATATTGTTGTTGCAAAGTGAAAGGGTCATTTTAGGTTTTGTTATTAAGTTTAAGCTCATTTTGGAATGTGACATTAACCTAATCACTCACTGTGCAGACAGTTCTTTTTTATTTCAACGCTCTTTGTTTAGATTAACTGCCATAGTAAGCTTCTGAGGAATAATTCCATAGTAATGCTTTATTTGGTAAACACACCTACTACAGTATAACGTTAACTTATTTTATTTATTTATTTATTTAAACACATATATATTGGTACAAAAGGGCACCAGGTACATATGCGCCACACAAAATAATGAAAGTAGGAAGAGAAGGGATGAAAAAATAAGGCGGACTAAAATGTACAACCAGAAGACTCTTTCAAATAGGAAAGTAAGAACCATACTTTATGTAGAAAGTAAAAGAAGGTTGCAGCAGGATCGCCACTGGCTTCTATTCTGAGCCATATCTGATAACGTCTCTAGCCACTGTGTTGCACCATCTCGGACCCCAACCAAGGAGTCGTGAAGGACCAACAGAAGCTAGCCCTTTGCAGCTCTCTTTCATGCCACGACACCATGTCATACACTGACCTCCTCTCCGCTTTTTCCAACCAGTCCCAGGGTCGGCAAATAATGCACGACGTGGAAGTCTCTGGGACGACATTCGTAAAACATGTCCAAGCCACCGAAGTCGGTGTTTCAAGATGGTGACACCAATTGAATTATCGTCTCTGTGCCCGAACACACGATGCCGAACCTCTGCATTACTAACATGGTGTTGCCACTGTATGTCAGCAATCCTTCGGAGACAACGATGATCGAACACAGAGAGACGTCTAACATCCTCAACTCGGAGAGGCCAGGTTTCACAAGCATAGAGCAAAACTGCTCTCACCGACGCGTTGTAAATCCGACTTTTTACAGCCAGACTAACATCACGAAGGCGCCAAAATCACGTTAACTTATAAACACACTTAACTCTTAGTACCAATCAGTGTTCAGTAGAAACACGAAACGTATGGTCATTGTCTCTCCAGTTGTACTGCAGGGTATACTCGAGAAACTTTATAAAGCGTTTATTACTAAAGCAAACAAATGGTCATTCTTCATACATCTCAGGAACATGGGTAGACAATGCACCGTAGAATCTGATGTAGTGATATTCAGTAAACATCCCCTCGCTTCATAAACAACTGGGACAAAAATCAACAATAAAAAACCAAGTAGTAAAATAACATCAATACTTTTTAACGAAAATGTAAGGTAAGATATCCGGTTGTCTGTATAAACATAAGCTATCATTACTAACTATGAGTAGGATTATGGTAATAAAACTTTATTCAGTCTAACTAAAAGTAGCAGATAATCGCACCAAATCTTCACTGTGTTTCTCGATCGTTTATTTACGTATGCTCATTTAACTAAATATTTCTTTTAAAATTTGACTGTATTTAAATATATAGCATTTCACATAGTGTAGTAAATTATGATGAAACGTTTTTTGTATAGTTTTCAGGATGAATATCACGGACCTGAAAAGTCTTATGATTGCTGTCCAACCCTTAAACTACTAATCGCCTCAGGCCATGTTATGGTGTTTACATGGAGAAATGGATGCGAGCCTGAGCACATTGAAGGAAGTGATGATTTTGTTCCTTTTCTTTTGCAGCAGGAAAAAATGAAAGCTAACCAGTTATCAATGGAATTGGATCAAAATAGATTTACAGATTCAAATGTTCTTCCTGAACTAAACGAGGTTAGTTCATTCTCCAGAGTTATTTGACAAGAATTTCCCAAATCTCCAAGCCTATCACAGGGCAATCAACCATATTCATTTTTGAGAATTCCCTTTCTATAGTCAACCTGATTCAATGGGGTGCTCAAAATTATGGAAACCTGTTAGACTTTTCACGATATCTCGAAGAAAGTTATATATTTGAAATAATCGCTTCATAATATTTTTGTTCTGAATACATAGAAGATACTAAATATTAAAGTCATATTTGAAAAACCCCTGGGAATTGAAATTAAATAACTATGGTGTTTCGCTTAGTATTCCGACTCCCCCTTAACCAATTCACTTGATAACCTTAATCTCTGATTTCGCTTAGTGAGTGAACTTGAACCAGTTGAAGTGCATCTGCTCACACTTCTCAGTCCACAAATAAGTGATTTAATGTACTGAAGTTATATCCTGTTTTTGGTGCTCCTAGCTTTCTCCAAAATCACTCCTACTCCACCTAACATTACACATCTTAGTAGGCGATGGTCAGGCCTATGCTTCAACCACCTCAATCTATGAAAGTTTACAGCGTCGTCAGTCGATTCACCATATCTACCTAATACATTGCACCTAACCTGAAAATTACTCAGCTGTCCCACGATACACAAGTGTCTCAAGAACATTTGTGATCGAAACCTGCAGTATACCCTGATCTACTTTTGTGTACCATGTTCCATAACTTAAGAGTAATAAAAATAGGACTTATGAGCAGTTTACTTTCACTTTAGTATATAGATCAACATCTTGCCTACACCACAAATTGCCCAAATTATCAAAATTCAAGCGGACTTTCTGAATTCACTCGTCAGTGATCAACTTATCGGGGCTAATGAGACTATTAAGATAAATAAATACATTGACGGAAATTGTCCGGACTAATTGAGGTGCGTCGTTTTTATAGTCGGGCTTCTCTCATTGCTTCCATCCGCTATGATATAATAACGTTTCTGTAAATGTCATCCATCTGTGAAAGACACCATTGGCTCCACAGCAGTTGAGTGCATGAATTGGCGAAAACGAGATATCTGTCTATCAATTAAGGGACGAGTATACTGCGCAGCAGTTCGCTCTGTTCTACTTTACGGTTACGAAACGTGGCCATTAATAGTAGAAGATACTCGTAAGTTACTAATATTTGACCACATATTTCTTAGAAATATTGCTCGCATCTGCTAGGATCACCGGTTAAGTAATAGTAAGGTTAGACACAGGGTTTTAGGGAATGATGGTAAATCAGTTGATGAGGTTACGTATTCCTGAACACCAATTGCCAAGACGCGCTATGCTGACTAGTGTGGGGGATGGTTGGAAGAGAGTTAGGGGCAGTAAAACCAAAACGTGGCATCAGTGCTTGAAGTCACTAAATTCTAGTCTGAGCCACGGCAGATTACCTGGTTGGGGTCCTCGTGACTATCGTAACCAATGGTTGGAGACTGTGTGACATGGCTCAAAACCGATCACAATGGCGTAGGTGTATATACTCTTTATCTTCCCTTAAATCTTGAGATTAAAATTGCTTCATAACGTTCTTCCTTCCTATACTATATCCTTATATACTACCACCACTAAATTAACTACTATGAATTCGGTGTTCACCTTGTTATGCTAACGAGGTATGGCAACTTGGACCGATGCATATATGTGCCTGGTCCTACGTTGTAGCCCCAAAATGCCCTGGTACGGTCGAGAGTGGGGAGAGTCTGCTCTCCCTCTCGAAATGCTCTCATATGGCCAGCGAATATATAGCCTCTGCCAGGGAAGTCCTACTCACTGCCTTCTCGTGGCGGGGGTGTTGTTTACGAAATTGAGAGGACGAAAAGCGAATGTCCGGCGCTTTAACCGGGTCGGTGGACACAGCGAGTCTACCTAGGGGAGTTGGAAAACCCTGATTCCAAACCAATGGTGCACATGGGCTCCAGTATCCTGAGGGAACAAATGGCGCACGAATCAATCGTTGATCACCGGCTACCATGGGACTGCATTTCCTCACGATGCTCCACTGCCTTGTGGATCAGATCTTTCGGTCAAAGGCTCCGGGTGTGGCCACCTGGGCAGTATCACAGCCCTCAAGCAAATCGAATGAGATTTGTGCGGCGCATATTTATCTGGTGCTTCCTTGTACCAATATTTATGTGTTTAAATAAATAAAATAAATGTAGATGACTGACTGAGTGCATGAATCCGACCTTGGAGCTTAGATTTTATGATTTTGATCATATCGTTTACCTGGTTGACCACCCTGGCTTATTATGACCTAAAGGACCAAATGTTCCATTTAGCATAGCTCAATTACGTATCCCCACTAAACAAGTCCAACCACCAAACTACGGCAGAACTCTACAGTTGAGCATAATCATCCACTGCAAAGTTTATTCACCAAATATCTGAGATAACGAGTCAACCATTTGGAGATAAATGTCTCCGACAAACAAATATTCATTGCGTTTCGCTATAGAAATACGTAATATATACAGTTTTAAAAGACATTACACAATTGGGGGGTCAATTTACTTAAGAACAGTTGATAAACAAATATTCTCCGTAGCTTATCAGCCAACCAGTAACTGTAAGTCTGAACTGTTCATTCTAACTTGTTATTTCCTAACAGTCACTCTCAGTTATCCAATACTAAACACAGTGAATCACTGGGCCCAATAAAATTAATATGCATTGATTCATGAGTAACAGTACAAATGATCACAAGTACATGATTTTTGTATTTATAACATGTTAACATGTAGAAAATTTATTTTTGTTATTTAGAACTATTTCACATCAAATTTCGATGGTTGCTTTTTTTCTGTCTTTAATTTGATTGCTTAGAATTGCTGACTATGAGCTTCTTATGCTTTATCTAACTTCTAAGCTTATTCTTCTGTGCCTCCATAAAGATCATTTTGAGTTATCACTGAATCAGATAATATTGTTTTGTAATTGTAGTAATAATATTGAGACTAACTTCATAGCCTTTGTAGACTTTCTTTTCCTCAATGTGTTATCTGTAAATAACTACGTATTTTGTACTTGATGTAGATTTTGTGGGATGAAAACGAAGTAGGGGCAATAGACTTTGGTCCTTTTGATGTAGAATCTGTGGAGAACATTGAAATTGAAAAGGAAAACATAATATCAACCTCTTCATCTGGAATGCCAGATAATCCAAGCGTTGATGCTGCCAGTCAGTCTAATGTTACATTGTCAATAGACGAAAGAAAACCGATAGTTGCTTCTGGTGCATCTGCTCGTTATCTTTTAGACTCTGCTGATGGGCGCCAAGCTCTTTTAAATGATCTACTTGAATTGAATGCGTTTCTTCAACGTTTTCAGGAGGATTTACTCGAACGATTAGATAATGAAAGTGAAAATCAGCTCAGCAGAACTGGACGTAATGTGTTCAAACCTTCCGGCGGTGTTCGTTGTGATACTATTCAGAATATGATCATACAGGTTGAGAAGTGTTCTATCAATAAATTAAATGCTCGTTATCAAAATACTATTATATGTACATAATATCTATAGTTTTCCATACACGTTTTTGTAACTTGTATTATAATCCTCATGCTTCTTCAAAGATGATACCACTTCATTTTGCAGTATAAAATAAATCCACCTGAAGCGTTACCAGAACAAAATATTTGAGTCCATCGACACTTTCTGGAAACTTGACTATTATACCACAAATGTTTCGGAAGCGATTTCGTACGGCATAAATCATTATTTACTTTTATGGTAATACTATTCTGTTTGTGGGGTACAGTGATCATTACAATCTTGATGCTACGGAATTCTTGGTAATCTCAAATTTGACCCACATCAAATTACTTTCCGATAAATGCATCTAAAGTGTTCTATCACTTCCCATAAAAATCTTAAATACAACGTACGAAATATGTTATTCCCTTATTGGAGTCAAAAGTGAGCAGTTACATATTGTAGACTACCGTCTACCGTCCTTCTGTAGAGTACTTTACTAGTTAAACATGCCCTTTTCCAGTAGATTTGCATCTAGAGGCATTTTTCATATTTACTTTAACTTTAGCCAAATTACAAATCAAGAAAACGAAATTTTCAAAGCCTTTGTATTTATGAACAGATAGTAACCGATCTTCTAATACCCTGATAGTAAATCGCAGGTATAAATAATCTCTCGCTTTACCTTTGGATTATATTCGATTTATCACAGACTTTTGCGATTTAATTATTTCCCCAAAAACACAACAAGCAACACTGTTTGGAGAACAACAAACATCTCATTGTTTCTACATAGGTAATTTATTGAAAATAGGTCACAGATCTGATGTATTTGACGTGTAATTTAGGTTATCTGCGAATAGAACTGGGTTGTGGTCACAAAACACGGCAAACTTTTCAAGTTTTTTCACCGAAATCGTTTATAACTACGATCCATTTGGCTTACTGTCTCAACAAGCCAACGTTACATTTATATATAAAACTAGTCTGTTGTTTATTTGTGATATCATTATTTAAGGAGCGAATGAAATATGCAACTATCTTATTAATTTTAAGAAATAAGTATCAAATATAATTATTTAGGTCAGCACTCCTTAATAGTTTGCTTATTGACTGAGACATGAGTCTGAGCACCAGTAATAAAACTTCAACGCAGTAGATCAATATGTACATAATCTTATCCGGAAAGCAAAGCCTATTTAGAATTGTTACGGAATCCGAACTAATGTCCAAATGCTTGAATATTACGCTACTATTACTTAATGCATTGCATTAGTTTTCTTAACATTCCTCTTGTTTTTATCTTCGGATAAGTTTATACTTGCTATTTCTATCCCTTTTTTATTGTGTGATGTTGAAAAAATCAACTCACTTTTCCTGAACTTCCAATGAATCGTCCTTACTATTTCGCGGAGCGATGGTTAGTGATAGAAATGTATTCAGTAGTCGTATATGAAACTCCAATTCACATCTATTGTGTGGAGGTATTTTACATTGTCAGTTTGTTAATCATGTCATATGTAGACATTTCCTACTTTTAAGATGGTTTGTTATCTAGGCCATTTAGAACAGATCAAATATGTAGATGAACATTCCTCCGGCTTCATCATTATCATATGTTGTTGTGAAGTCAATGATATCTAAATATATTAATAGTTCAAACGACTTACTACCCTTTAACTAGCTGAATATCGGTTTCTTTAACTACCTATACTGGATGGCATATGACTTCTATTCGATACGAAAATATGCCTTAAATCCCTTCTTATCCATCATTTATAATTGAAGATATGTCAAGAAATTATAGATTTCAATAAGAACTTAGATGCATTAAACCTCCTCATTGTTGTTAATATACGTAATGCTTTCATACTTTATTTTTGCTTATGTTTTTTAGAATGCTCCAAATGATCTGCTGTCATATACATCAAACGACATATCTAAAATGATTGAACTTGTTAAAGAAGCTTTGATTAGGCTGACTACCAGGTAGTTTTAGTAATTACTACTCTATGGTCTAAATATGAAATATCTACCACATGTAACTAGTTTATGACTTCTTTTTTTGTTGATTTAAAGTTCTTTAAGCCAATTAATGATGATACGAACTAGAATAGGATACTTAGATCGATTGACTGATCGACTTTTGGATTATAGACGTCAAGCAGAACTGGCTAGAACAAGAGTTAGTCAGACACAAAAACTGATCGATAAAGCGTTATTGGAGCAACAGGAGAAGACAACACAACTTGCACAACTCAAGAACTCTTGTAAGAAACTAGTTAGCTTCGTAAGTTTTGTGCTATTTACTAATATACTATTACCATTTCTACCAATTTCAGTACTTTAATTATGTGTGTTCGTAAATTATCTTTATCCTGAGATGCTAGGTTATGTAGCTTCGAATCTATGCCACTTGGTACTATTAAACGAGACATATTTGCATCCATGTGAAAATCAATATTCATTTGATTGTAACCCCGTCACTCAGTATCAGACAATTGCTATTAATCACTCGTAATATAATCTTGATGATTACCTAATCCACCTAAAACTACATGCTCCACGATAGTTAGAAAATAATCGTTTACTACATTTCTAATGGTGTCCTAACACCTAGTATAGACTCCCACTATACCTTTAGATACATTGAATCGAAATCTAGCAACATGTCAACATTTTTACTAGTTAGTCTATAACTAAGTAGTATTCCTCGTATTTTTGTCTAGAACTTGAATGTGTTTTTTCTTCAAAACGTTGATTTTGCTGGGTTCAAGCAATAACTGAATGCTACCAAAGTCATATATACCATCAAACAAGTTAAAAATCTGGAGTTCATTATAGTGTCTTAGGTGAATATTTCATTTGCATATTCATTATCGCAGTTCAACTGATTAATTCAGTCTTGAAAGTTGACATAGTTTTTAAAACAGTACCCATTCTTGTTTCATGATTTCAGTTGGAGGATGAACTGTCGAGGATCTGCAATCGCCAAGTGCAAATAACTGGACAGTTTTGCGATCTCTAATAGAACACGCTAATTCCACATTTTCTAAATGTTTAATTACCGATAAATCTCCCAGTTCTGCTTTTTAGATTGGGAAACCCTTCTTTCTCCGATTTGGTTCACGTAAATTTGTTGTTTCTTAAAAGTCCACCCCGGTTTACCTCACTTAGAGCATTGGTACTGTGAGGACGTATTTCCTCACAAAAGTCCACAATTGTGTAGAAGTGACTAATGATCAAGTTCACTATACTTGTTGAAGATTAGACCTATAGGTCAAAAGCTCGAGCAGTACCAGTATTGTGAACCATGAGGTTAGGGAGAAACATCGGATCTCAGCAGCATCTAACGCACTGATGGATGCTCGAAAACTCATCCCATTTGGCTCTGAAAATCACGAAGAGCGGATTCGACTTAAGAGCAGGCTAACAAGAAGCCTACGCAATGACCGCAAACAGTGGTGGGTAGCGAAAGCAAGAGAGATGGAAAAGGCAGCGGCAATAGCAGATAACTGTTCAGACTTGTTAAAGAAACCGGCATTAGGAACCCAACTGTCAGAGAAACTATCTCGGAAAAAGATGGACATGTTATTCATTCTCAATTCAGGAGATTGGATTGATGGGCAGAACATTTAATAGATCAGTACGACTGGCCTTCAGTCACACTTCGGTTTCCCACGATCTTCAGCAGGCCCTGATAGGTTTACTCCTGAGATTTTTCAGGGCGGCGGTCCAGTAGTAGCAGTGTGATTGACTGAGGTCTTGGGTGAAATGTAGGAAGTAGACGGTAATCCTATCTGACTGGTCCCAATCACTGATTGTACCAGTCTATAAGAAAGCACAAAAGTCCTCCTGTGACAATCACAGAGGAATCAGTTTGACCAATACAGTGTCTAAAATATTAACTTCAATAATACTTCGACGCCTAACCAAAGCTCGTGAAGAGCAGACTAGGCAGAAGCAGGTTGGTTTTCGTCCTGGACTAGGTTATTTAGACCAGATATTCACTCTACGTCAGGTCCTAGAACATAGACACAAATTCAGACGTCCCACAATCGTAGTATTTCTCGACCTTAAGGCGGCATTTGACTCCGTTGATCGTGAGATTCTATGGCAGTTTTTGTCATTGAAAGGAGTACCAACCTTATACAGGCTCTCTACCCGAAGACAACTGGCTGGATGAGAGCTTATGACGAACTGTCATCAGAACTGGTTACCTCAAGTGGTGTTTGTCAGGGCTGTCCGCCCACTCCATTCTTGTTCAACTTTATCGTGGACGTGCTTTCAGAAATAACACTTACCTCATCCAAATTTAGAGGGGTTGAACTTCTATCAGGAGACTCATTTCTCCACTTAGGATATGCCAATGACATAGTTCTGTTCGGCGAAAATGCCGACAAAATGCAGTCCTCTGACCACCATATACAACGATGCAACCATGTTCAGGATGCGATTCTCCCTCTCGAAACGCAAAATGTTACTTTATGATTGGGTTGCATCGAAACCTGAACTAATGTTTGGAAGTGAAGAAGTTCAACATGTTGACCGCTTCACTTATCTTGGGAGTCTCATCAGCCTTTGAGGTCTGGTGTGCGACGAAATCTCAGCGCGGATACAAAGGGCTCGCCTAGATTTCGCCATTCTGAGTCACTTATGGCGTAGGCGGGATACATGTCTGGCAACCAAAGGACGGGTTTACTGTGCATCAGTTCGTTCTGCCCTACTTTATGGCAGCGAGAAATGGCCGGTGAGAGTAGGTGATAGTATTCGACCATAGGTGTCTTCGAGGCATTGCTCGTATATCCTGGGACCACTGAATTAGTAATGCAGTTGTAAGGAAACGAGTACTAGGTGGGGATGGCAAACCGACTGATGAAGTAGTGAAACTTCATCAGCTGGGACACGTGTTACATATGCCCAACATGCGATGTTTTATGGTGTAGAAGTAGGTTGAAAGAAAGCTACGGGTGGCCAGACCAGAACGTAGCACAAACCCATGAAGTGTTCTACATCAAGACTGATTATAAATGTTTTTAGAACGGTATGGCGTCAGAACGAGGTTGGTCACCCGTCCGACTCTTAAAGATACCCGCCGAGCTGTGACAGCTTGTGTATACATTGTAGTGGCACAGCTGATACCGGATTTCCACGGGCTCTTCGGAATGGATCTTGTTGAGAAACCACACCACACACTCGAAGTTCACAGATCCCACGGTAGCGCGGTGTAAGGCTGAATAGTTTGTAAATGACTCTTTATTGACATTGACGGTAGTTGTCCTAGGTTTCTTCGTCTAGACACGATCCTCACTCAAGACAAAGTTAAGGTCTTACGTGTTATTGCCTGTGGTGAGTTTCAGCTACTGATTTACATATTTTACAGACGCCGTAGGAACATCTTTCTGGAGATTGTGCAGCAAGCCGTAGTTTTATTTATTAAGGTTCTCTTCACAAGCAACGCAGCTGCAATTTATCTCCATCAATTCGCGCACTATTGTAGTCTCCGAATACACAACCCAAGTAAAACTAAGCAGTGTCTAGGACCAAGCTTTTTACATACTTCGTTACTGACCACAGAAGTGCGTTACCGTGCTTCTCTCCTACACACGCATAGCAACCCAAACAACTTCCATACCCCACTTTCCGTAGCCAGCAATAAAATGAGGCGCGCCGATCCTCCAGGTGACCTGAGGCGACTTACAGCTGACCGCATCAATGTAGGGAATATCAAACCCACACAACCCATTCAAAAAAGTCGAGAAAATTAGTAGTTAATGTTTTATTAGTGGTAAGTTAAGTTTAGATGGCACAAGTTTGTAACCCAGAGGATTTGAAATACCTAGAAAGAAAGAAAAGTGATGTATTGCTATACGAGAAATATTCAAGTGCAGAAATCAGAAAAAATGTCTCCTCAAAAACATCAGAGACGAAAAATAAGTCATCACTAAAACACCACTTACCTTCCCATCAACTTTGACAACCAAATTGACTAGGACCCAGCATCAATTAAGTAGACAACTTCCGTAACATGTGTCAAGTTGCTTCCCCGCCTCACCAGAAAGTTGAGTTGTGAGATTATTTTCTATTAGACTATAAAGGTAAACAGAATTTGTTACACACTTGACTGAAGGTTGGTAATACTACTCTTCAAGGCTAATACTTTTATTGAACCTTAACAAAAGACGCTCACCTTTATAACAGGAGCAAAAGGAAACTGTTGCCGCGAGTACTCAAAGCTTGGTGACTTACCTACACTTAGACGAGTAAGCACACTATATTGCATATATAAACGCTAATCGCACCACACGAAGGAGGAACTCTACTTTCGTTTGAAATCGGGTGACTGGGCTTTCTGTGTTAGTTTTGGCAATGGTGGACTATTACTCAACCTAATCTTCTGAACGCAACAAGGTGGCGCTTTAGTCACCGAAGACTACGTATTGACTAAGGGGCTCGAGAACTTTAGTGGACTATTGCACGACAAGATGCAGTGGTTCCCGGGTCTTAACTAAGTCTGATGGTAGTGTCTTGACGAGCAGCCTAACATGTATGTATCCGTGCCTTGGTGATCAGTATGCATCGTAATGCACTCGAAAACAAGTGCCAGAATTTGGACCATTCAGATTACTTCTAAAGGTCAGAGTTCTGAACTATCACAATCACTTATTATCGCTCTCCATATCTTAGAATCGTCGGCATAAAAAAAACTGGTGATGGGAAACTATAAAAGATCAGTGACATAATGATGAGACGGCACTGGTCCTAAATCTGCACCTACAAATACAGATGATATCTACCTATAGCATAAACCAAAAGACTAGGAAAAAATGTCGAATATTCAAAAGGAACGTCCTTTAGAAAATAGCGATATCCCCGACAATACTAGATTAGATATTTGATCAGTGGTCTTGAAATGTGAACAACGAAAATACTGTTTTTACCAGTAATCTTACCGTTTACTATGCGACACCTTTAGACCCCATAAAAAGTAGGTACTTGTGAGATATGACTGATCACAGGATATGAAGGCCTTTCACTTGCCCACCAAAGTTCGACACAGCATCCCACACTCAAGTACAGTTGCATCATGGGCAACTGACCAGGCGCCATTAGTAAGTGAAGACAATAGAAAAACTAACATGTTGCCAGTGTCCAAGGCTAGGAAACTTTATTTCAGTGAGATGTTTAGGTTTTAGCTAGAAAAGTAATCCTACGAGTTCGAGATCAGTATTGTAATTAGGTATGATGTGCGCTATTGGAAAATAACGAATGTATTTTTCCTCCTTGGATTAAATGTCTAGTTTTGATCGTTTGTTGCTGATCAAAATCACTACTTTTCACTTTGATTCGCCTAATTTTAGCTAAAGTGGCTACAGTAATATCGTTTGTCTCGTAAGTAGTTAGGCATATGATCAACCATGAGTATATTGGTGTTTTTGTTTGTTGCAGTTTTGAATGTTTGATCTTACGATTCCACTTTTTTACTGATCGTCAGTTTTTCTCTGTGCATGTTTTTTGCCAGAGTTATTTTAAACATCTGGCTAGAAGGGGCGTAAAAAGCAATTGTCACACCGCTTCTGTCGATGTCTTGTGCAAAGTGGCAAGCATTGCGATGAGTGTAAAGGATGGTACGATGAAGTTTTCACGAATCCAACGATTGCGGCTTTCAAAAGTGATGCGTGTGATTATGTCGGCAGTGCTGCTCAGACATCAAAAGGCTTGCCATCGGAAGCCATTGCAATAATGAATGCTACTAAAGGGAGTATTAGCAAGCGTATTCGCGATGGATCAAATGTCACTCGGTTTATGGATACATAAGTTAATACAGAGTCGATTGACTTATTTAGGCTAAAAGAGGAAGAACAGAATTCATAAAGGTCTATTAGAAATAAAAGATCAAGGAAGAAAGTTTCTTCAGTCCCCTGTCCTACAATTGGCAGCCATCAAGAAACGCCTAGAAAATCTGATCGTAGGACTAGGTCCGTTTTGCTAGGAAAAACAGAAGCCTGAACATCCAAGTCGTCGACA